GTTCTTCGGCTGCATCTTCTAGATCCACCTCCTCATCTCCCCGCATTTTCTTCATGATTTTGGCAAGACACTTTGTCAAGAATGCCATGATGGGAGTTAAAATTGGAGCCAAAACGGCACAACCAAGTTTTTCATAGAACATGTAGAGCAAACTCTCCTGGATGGCTTGCTCCCGAAGGTCCGCTGAATTGAGGGTGGTGCAAGAAGCAGAATCACTGTTCAAATCCACATCATTGTCTTCATCGGGATTGTCCGGATTTTCCGCATCGGCTTCCCTGGCGCTGTCGTCATCCTTCTTGCTGTCGTCGTCATCGTCGTTTTTGTCATCATCCGAAGCTTCATCATCGGCGTCCTCCTCATCGCCCAAATCGATATGATCCTGCTGACTCTCGCTAGCCCAGGCGTGCAACTCATCCGAGTTTTCCGACACTTCTGCCTCATCACAACCTAGTTTGACTTTGAGAGGTTTCTCCTTGGTAGCCTCATTAAAGAGATCGGCAACATGGAGTTCTTCCGTGTTTTTGGCATCCTGGGCGCGAACTTGACCCTCTTCGTCAAATTCCTCCTCCTTTACCGGACTGCTGCGTTTTTCGCGTTCTACAGCGTTTTCGGCGATTCTTTTGGCTTTCTTGTCGGTCATGAAAATCTGCTGATACGTGGCTCGGCGATCTACCAGTACTCCAGGATCCTGTGCGCGAACTTGACCTTCTTCATCAAATTCCTCCTCCTGTTGTACCGGACTGCTGCGTTTTTCACGTTCTACAGTGTTTTCGACGATTCTCTTGGCTTTTTTGTCCGTCATGAAAATCTTGTGATAGGTGGCTCGACGATCAAAGTCGGGATCCTTTGGCGGGGGTTTGGCCGCGACTTGTCCGGCTCCAATTTCTTCGTCGTCGTCGTCATCCTGGTCATTGTCATCGTCACTGCCACTGCCCAGAAAGGCACCGGAAAAAACGTACTTGGGGCCGCCACTCACGACACTGCTAATATCGGTAAGAATGGTGTCGTCACCATCATCGTCGTCGTCATCGTAGTCATCTGGATCGTCGTTGCGAGCGCCGTACGGTCCCGACGTAGTAGTAGTGATGGCAGCTTGTTGCTGTTGCTGTTGCTGTTGCTGTTGTTGCTGTTGTTGTTCTTCTGGATCGTCGTCCACATGGGCAAATGAAACACGACGCTTCATCCTGTCTGGTAGAATCTTCTATCGTATATATGTACTAGTACAGTATGTGTGGTACTCCAATCTTCTTTCTCTTCTCTCTGTACTTCTAGCTAGGTAGACTACTAGTAAAATCACAGACAATCCGAATTTTGTCACGCAAGTCTCTTGTATCGGTAGATGGCTAGCTAGCAAAGTACTTGAGAAGACTCTCTACTATAGAGATATATCAATCAGGTGTATCAATCAATCCAATCGATCAATCACTTTGAAACTCTCTTTTGTTACTCTCTTTGGTTTTTGTTAGACTACTAGTAGTTTGTTGGTTTGCTGTTGTTACTGGAGAAGTAGTACGCTTGTATGCTTCCCGCTGTTGTGCTTTGCTTGGTTTTGGCGGGTTTTCTACTACGTACTAGCTTGGTTGACGACTGAATGCACGCTTGGTATCCCGCACTGATACCGTACTGATTTCTTTGAGACCTCTGAATGCCTGGACGGAAGCCTGAATAAGATGCCATCCACAGGGTCATCATTAATTAAAATTTTGTGTTCTTCTTGAGTGAGAATGCAGTTCGAAACAGCTAAAAGTTTTCCCGAAGGTTCAAAGATTTACAAGATTCAGAAATCGGTATTGGCTGGAGGTTAAATCCGGTAGCTACTCAGTATCCAGTACAGCTCTCTTCGGTGAACCCTTCCAGCTTCCAGGAGAATTTCAATTTATTTCCACTCACGTCTCAGCCAATCATTCAATCATTCCTTGGAGTACTAGCTAGTAGGCTAGTCGGTACATACCTGACCGGAAGATAGTAGTCAGCGTCCGGAGAAATAATCCTCGACTACTATTAAAAATATTAAGGTTGTGTACTCAAGAGTACTCACAAGTACAGCTCAAGTACTATGCATACATACATGTACTATTAATACTCAGTAATCAGTAACCAGCAGCGAGATTCTTTTTACAATTAATTACTGAGCATGATATTACTGGGAGGTGGAGAAATCCCAAACTACATGTATGTTTCAACCAGCTTATCAACCAGAGTCCCATTTCTGTCGGACAGTGGTTGATAGTGGTAAAGACAGTGGTAAACAGTGCTAAGACAGTGCTCCTTATGCTTGACAAGTTCCTTGACTGTAAGCATTGATTTTCTCCACCCCCCTGCTCGAACGCAGAAAGCAGATTGAATCATTCACTTGTTACCAGCTGTTTTACGGCAGCCTCTGGACTTTAGGGCAATTTTGATAAGCTTAATTCAGTGTGATGACATTGTATGTAAGATAGTTGATGTAAATCCGGAAGCTGGCGAGACGATTCTTTTCAGTCGCCAGTCGCTATAAAAAGGCTCCAAAGTTCAAGCAGCCCACCACCGTGAGCATGACATTATATGTACAGTATGAACCGGTATGCTTTCTGAGCGGGTCAAGCTGCACAGACGAAACTGGTTGACGTTGTTGCCTTACGCTAGGGCTCTTGGATGTAGACTAACTGCCTCCAACAACATCATACCAAAGAATAATGGTTGCCGAATGCCGAGGAGGTGAATTCATTGCTACGGTACCGGTACCAGTACTGGCTAATTTGTTCGGGTGTCTTTACCATGCTGAAGTTCCTGCCGGTTTTTGACTTTTTCTTGGCCGCTGGGGTGGGTGCAGTGGCTGGGACTGAGGGACTCGATGCCTCTTTTTTGCTTTTACTAGTCTACAAGACGGTTGGTGCCTCGAACTTCGGATGATTTGAATCTCATCTCATCTCATCTCATCTCATCTTGTAGACTACTCCATGTGGACTAGCTAGCTAATAGTCTTTGGCAAGATCGGCTCTATCATTCATGTTGTAGTCTCGTCTCCTCTATTAATTAATAGCTACCGTTAGTAGCTATCACGTCATCACGTCGTCACTCGGCTCACGTCACTCTCTGACCGCTTCCGCGAGATTAGTTCGAAGAGCTGTTCCAAGTTGGTTCTACATGTACTGTCGCTCTTCGATCGAGGGCAAGGAGTTCACTTTTTACCTTAGTTTGTCCGAAGTCCGAAGGGGAATCTGAGTACTGCAGTAGAAGATTTACCAAACGCAGAAATCGGTATTGGTCAGAAGCTTCTGGTCAGAACAGTTCCTTTTGTTCGCCTTTTCTGATCGCATCAAGCTAAGGAGTACTTACTATCAAGCACCAGTACCGCCAAGAGCTTTGTCTCACATCTCCACGACCCAAATGAAGTGTCCATAGTACTCAAGTACAATGCTGACTCAAGTACTTAGTATCGATGATGAGCCCAAAAGAACTACGGCGGATCACCGTTACCGGTGGTACTATAACCACTACTAACCACTACTGGTACTCAGCTACTGCATTACATGACATTGCACCACTAGCTAGCTAGAGTGAAACTCTTGCTCGCTTGGAAGCGGCTCATCAGGTTTGGAAGCGGGAGGTAACCAACTGATGATGAGGACCGTGTCATGACCTGCAAGCTGCAACGGGGGAGCACTACAGTATCGACCTGGAAAAGTGATTGAGCAGCCACATCTATGGCTACCGATACTATGCATACAATTTTGCACGAACTGCAGTAGCTACCAGGTAGCTAGTCGGTAGGTAGATGTTAATTGCATGATCTGGATGGGGATTCTCCTTCAGCGAAGCTTCAAGCTGGGCAGCTCTTGGAAGTGGAAGCCTTTTTATTACTTGGTCAAGCTTGTCACTTGCCAGAGAGCCCAGCCAAGACTTGAATACGTGCCAGAAACAATCGGTGATCGGTGGAGAGTGCGATTACAAGAAGAACTGCAGTCCTCCTCCTGTGGATATTTTTTGATGGCTGCTCCAGCGATAATGTGAAGGCGTGACGGCGTTGCCACAAAGATCACTGGGCACAAGATTGATTCGATTCATTTCGTTGCTACTTGTTGCTACTTGCTACTTTTCCTACCTTGTTTTGGTTGTTGTAAACATGCATACTTTTCCCGTCTCGTTGTTGTTTTTTGGAAGCTTTCTTGTTTTCAACCATGTTTTCTTATCTGGGTTTTGCTGCCGCGACTGCATGCTCACTCCTCAAGCCTAAATTCTTTTACAATGCCTTGATACTGGCAATGCCAACAAAACCCAGTATTGCTCATCCCAAAGGATGTTCTTCCTCTAAGCCTGACTCTCAATTGTCCTTGTGAAAGCCACCCATTTATGTCTCAGTGGATGATGCAAAGCCAAGCCCTTTATTCCACCCCGTGGCTGTTGGTCCTCAATTTGTCGGCCGCCCCTGATCCCTGATCCCATGGAACCTTATCCCCCTGATTTCACGGAACCTAGTCCCAAATTCCACCTCCTCTTTGCCTAAGCCTCCCCCCGCATATGCATACATGTAGGGGTCTGTAGATATCTTCCCTACTGCAATTACCAAAGGGGCGAGGACAGAGGCAAGGTTGTCAGGGGCAATGCGTGGGGTCGAGTCGAGTGTCGAGTGGCGGCGAATTCATCGCCTGGACCACATAAATCCAGCAGAGCTGTTTAGAGTACCGTACGGTCCATAAGAATCTCTACGCGGAGGACCCATCGTCTGCTGAGGGACTGGGATGCATGGGAAGGGTTTCTTGGTTTTGAAGAAGAGCTTGCTTGGTTCTGAAAAACTGATTCTTAGACTTATGTATTTTGACAGTTCATCCAAAGAAGCATACATGAAGCATCTCTTTTGTTCTATTCTCGTGGTCAGCGGTTAAGTGAACGACTGGCCACAAACCATTGTGGAGCGAAACCCAAGCGAGATGCATCGTCACAGCCAACAGGGAATCTGCTTGCATGGTTCTCTGGCTGATGTTTCGTTGATCGACACGATGGGGACGGTACGATCACTGTTCCCTTCCCCATCGTTTGTTTCTGCGTTTCGTTTACTCAATCTCCACGAGCAAATCGTCACCTTCCACCTTGTCGCCCACATTGACCAACACACGCTTCACGACACCACCAGTAGTGGCGGGAATCGAGGTTTCCATCTTCATGGCAGACATGGTCGCAATCGCATCACCTTCACTAATCTCATCGCCAACCTTTACTTGCATACCCACAATGACACCTGGCATGGGAGCACCCACCTGGCCGGGACCGTCGGCTTTTTCTCGCAAAGCCTCTTCGCCCACAATCGAATGGTCTGTCACGGACATGTAGATAGCCTCCCCATTTCGTTCGAAAATCACTACACGAGTACCGTCTCCTTCGGCCGCCCGAATCGATGCCAAACGAACATTGATCGTCTTGCCAAAACCTAGTTCAATCTCTACTTCGTCACCAACTTTCATGGGATTCAAAAAGACACCGGTGGGGAGCTTGGCCACGGTTCCGTAGGTGGCGGCAAAGTCCTTGTAGTCGGTAAAAACCTGGGGATACAGTGCGTATGACAAAATGTCCTTGTTGGACACATTCGTTGGGCCATACTTGTCTTCCAAGAACTTGCGTTCGGCTTCAAAATCGTAATCGGGCATGGAGGCACCGGGTCGACCTTCCACAGGTTCCGCGCCACGAGCATTCAACACTTTGCTACGGAGGGGTTCAGGAAAACCACCTGGTGGGATACCAATGTCACCCTTCAAGTAGTTGACAACCGAATCGGGAAAGGCCAACGTTTCGGCTTGATCCAAAATCATCTGGGCATCCAAATTCTGAGACACCATGAATTGAGCCAAGTCACCGACAACCTTGGACGACGGAGTCACCTTTGGAATGTCGCCCAAGATGATGTTCTGGTGTTGCGACATTGGCGATTGATGGGTGGCACGGCACGTCATGCAAAGTTGGAATGGTGAGCAAAAATAGAATACGTGCAGAGCATCATCGATAAGACACGCGTGTAAACTCACCGCTTCTGCGTACTTCCTCTTGATTTCGGGCCACTTCTCACCCAGTCCAAGTTGCTTGCTCTGGAACAACATGTTGGTGTACTGTCCTCCAGGAATTTCGGTATTGACGACATCCGACGAACCACTGAGCTGTCCCGACTCGAAAGGACCGTACATGGATCGGACATTTTCCCAGTACGAGTTGAGGGGTTGGAGTGTTTCCAGATCAATACCAGTATCCAAGTCGGTGTGGCGCAAGTTGGCCACCAATGCTCCCAAAGATGGTTGCGAGGTCATGCCAGACATGGCATCAATTGCGGCATCCACCACGTCGGCTCCAGCTTCGGCAGCCGCAATCATACTGGCAACTCCACTTCCGGCCGTGTCATGAGTGTGGACATGAATGGGGACATCGGGATGTTCCTTCCGCAGAGCACCCACCAACATAGTAGCGGCCGTGGGTGTCAAGAGACCGGCCATGTCCTTGATGGCCAACGAATGCGATCCCATCTCAACCAATTGCCGAGCCAGATCGAGGTAATAGTCCAAGTTGTATTTGGACTTACTCGGGTCTGCGACATCCCCCGTGTAGGACATGGTACCTTCGACGAAACCACCAGCGGCTCGTGCAGCTTCGATTCCAATCTTTAGATTGTCCAAGTAGTTGAGAGAGTCAAAGACACGGAATACATCGATACCCGATTTTTTGGCTTGTTCACAAAACTTGAAGACAAGATTGTCGGGGTAGTTGGTGTACCCAACCGCATTGGCTCCACGTAGGAGCATTTGAAAGGGTACATCCGGTACGGCTTCTCTCAACTTTTCGAGCCGGTCCCAAGGACATTCGTGCAAAAAGCGCATCGAAACATCAAATGTGGCTCTGTTGTAATAATAGTAAACAGCAGATTTGGTGAGTACGGTACAAGTATACAGACGAGAGGAGGCCATAGATACAGTAGATAGAAACAGAAGTTGCTGTTTCTTTCTTCTTTTTGTTGTGTGACTCCACTCACCCTCCCCACATTTCCAATGAGAATGCATTGGCCAGTGCCGTGTTGGTGTAGTCGGCGCATCGTAGCAATTCTTGAGTCCGCATCCTCGTGGCCAACAAGGACTGATGGGCATCTCTCCAAGTGGTATCCATAATCATCAATCCTTTGTGTTCTCGTACGGCCTTGGCGTATCCTTCGGGTCCTTGTTCGAGCAAAATCTTGCGCATACCACCAGCAGACTTTGTCTTTGTTGTTTTGAGTGTGGTTGGTAGAACGGGTGCTTTGACGGCAACATGACACGAGTCTTCCATTTTATGTGGATCCGCTCCCAATTCGGGTGGATGTCCATTGACGGCCAGATTGGCCAAATAGCGGAGCAATCGTTCGGTTTCGTACAACTTTTGTGGATCGGATTGATCTTCATTGGCATAGTCCCACATGGAAAGCGATGTCTGCTTGAGACTTGGATTTTCATCAATAAACGACGTGGTGACGGATCCGGTACTGAATTCGGGATGGGCCAGTACATTCATGAGGAATCCGATATTGGTCTTGACACCACGGATGCGACATTCCTGCAAGACGCGTTTCATCCGAGCGACGGCTTCTTGAAAGGAAGATCCTCGGACAGTGTACTTGACCAACATGGAATCAAAAAAGGGTGTCACTTCGAGACCGGAATATCCAATCCCATCCATGCGGACTCCGTATCCTGCCGAATGACGATAGAGCGTAACACGCCCGGTATCGGGTGCAAAGTCTCGTTCGGGATTTTCGGTAGTAACTCGACATTGAATGGCCACTCCCCGGGGGACAATATTCTCTTGAATCAATCCGACTTGTTCCAATGTGGCACCGGACGCAATTCGAATTTGTGCTTGTACGAGATCAATGCCCGTGACTTCTTCCGTGACGGTATGTTCGACTTGAATGCGTGGATTGACTTCGATAAAGTAAGCTCTCATTTCGGCATCGACGAGGAATTCTACCGTTCCGGCATTTTTGTACTTGGCGGCACTAGTGAGTTGGACGGCATACTGATGCAATTGTTGGCGCAATTCATCCGAAAGTGTCCATGCCGGTGCCATTTCAATGACTTTTTGATGTCGTCTCTGCACGCTACAATCGCGTTCCCACAAATGCACGACATTGCCGGTTCCATCTCCAATGATTTGTATTTCAATGTGTCGTGGTCGATCAACGAATCGTTCCACAAAGACAGCGCCATCTCCAAACGATGCCAATGCTTCACTGGATGCCGCTTCAAACAAGGGCACGACATCTTCCATGGTGCGAACGACACGCATTCCCTTGCCACCACCACCCATTGCGGCCTATACAAATAAAAACCATACACAAAAGTAAAAGTAGAGTAGATAAAGAAGCATGTGTAAGCAAGTGAGCATTGACATAAGTTCATGACTATACAGGATGTGCATTTGGTGCTCTTACTTACCTTTAAAATGACGGGCAATCCAATTTTTTCGACATACTCGACAACTTCCTCGGCATTTTGCAAGGCTCCATCACTTCCGGGCACTACCGGAACACCGGCATCAATCGCCGCTTGTCGTGCCTTTGTCTTGTCACTAAACTGCAACAAATTGTCCACGGTAGGTCCCACAAATGTAATGCCCGCTGTTCCACACGCTTGTGCAAAATCGGGCGATTCACTGAGAAATCCATAACCGGGATGAATGGCATCAACATTGGCATCTTTGGCAATTTGAATGATTTGATCAATATCCAAATAGGCACTAATGGGCGACGCAGAGTCTTCTTTTTCTAATTGAAACGATCGATCGGCGCCCCAACGGTGTTGACTGTACGAGTCTTCGGCCACGTAAATGCCGACGGTGCCACTGTTCAACTCGGTAGCAGCACGCATAATGCGGACCGCAATTTCAGCACGGTTGGCGGCCATGATATTCTTGAACGGAGGGGTATTGCCACTGGTAGTAGTAGTAGCTGGAGCATTGTTGGTGGTAACGGTAGCATCTTCTTTTTCCACGGTTGCCTGCAACAACGTCTTGATCTTACTACTACTGGCAGCACTGCTGATAGCCGTAGTCTTGGCAGAAAAAGGAGACAGAGAAAAGCCTTGGACACCAAGATACCCATGCTGGCTGATGGCACTTAGCAGGTGCAGTTGCAGCAATGCTGCTGAACCTCCAAATACTTTCATCTTGGCTTAACTTGTCTTTGGCTTAAGTCAAGATGAGATCAGTTTCTATAGCTAGCTATTGATAAAGTCTCTCTTTTATGATTGTTTTTATGGCAGAGCTTTGCTTCTTCAGTTTTTGATGTTTTCCCAAGTGCCGGCGGTGTCAAGTGCCAAGAACCCGTGGCTTGCAAGGCTGAAGGGGGGTACGTTGATTTTTAGTTTGTCGGAAGGTGCTTGGGTATCTTTGTGGGATGATTCAAGATGACGTGGTCAACCAATGAAAATGCTGTACTTTCAATCATAGAAGACAGTATGATAGTGGTGCTTCATCGAAAGATACCGGTCTGACTGGTTGGACGGATCATTGGTCGATACCGCTCTTGGGTGCTCATCGTCTGAGGAAGGAAGCTAAGATAGTTGTTGGATGGCTACCCTCAAGATCCGATTTCTCTAGGAAATGTGGGTAGATTGAGTTTGAGATCGTAGCGCATGAAGCAAAGTACCTACTGTTCTTAGTTAGTTAGTTAGTGCCGGTAGTACAATGTTTGACTGCATGATGATGGTGCGTCTTGGTAACAAGCAATAGATACTTCTGTTATTAATAGGCTATGAAAAAATTATCTTCAGCTCTAAGGCATGAATGTATGTATGTTGTGAAGATTATGGTTGGCTATTCACAACCGCTGTGGTCGTATCACAGGATTGAATCTATTGGTACCACTACCACTGTTAGACCCTCTATTTTTGAATCCAGGGTTCGCGACTGACGTGGCGGAGCGAAGAAGACTGTCATTTCTGTTGGATCCAAAATTTCAAACAAGAAAATGATGGATGCCAATGATACCAATAGCCCTGCCGATCCTTCGTCTTCCAGCATTAGGTAGCTCTGGGTATCATTCTAAAGAACAAGAACAAAAGCAGCATTGCTTGCATGGTTCAGGAGCTTTTGAAAATTCAAAAGCAAGGGATAATATACAGTATACCCATCGTCAATCATCATCATCCTGATCACAAAGAAAAGAAAAAGACCACAAACAAACATGCAGCATCTTCTTATAAGTTTGCTTTGCAGTTTCAGTTTTTGGACTGCGCTGGTCTCTGGCTTTGTTTCACTGAATCCTTCCAATTTTCTACTTCATCATCATCAGCATCAGCTGCATCAGCGTCAGACAAGATTGCCCTTTCCAGCTTTTTCTTCCTCGGATCCATCATCGGCTTCTTCGTCAAATGAGTCTTCATCAGTCCACGAGTTAAAGACAAATTTGCTGTCGGCATTGACAGAACTGCGCGACTTGCAAGACCGAGATGGCGATTTTTCCGATATCGACTGGGGCACCAAAGGCGGCGAATTGACGGAAACGGGACGAGTGCCCCAACAAGTCGATTACAGTCTCATTAGTAAGGATGTGGGAAACGCCGCCGACAAGGTCATGACCATTTGCAATCAACTCGCAGAGGTCAATCCCACTGCCATTCCCACACTGTACTTGGGCGACAAACAAAAGGGCGATCAAGCACCACTCAATGGACCGTGGAAATTACTGTTTTGCAATGCCGCCGATGCCATTTTTGCCAAGGATTCCAAACGAGGTGCCGCGTCGGCACAAAATGTCGTGAACGCCAAAAAGGGCAAAATTACCAATGTCATTACGTTTGATACGTTAGCGGATGGAACCGAACCGACACTCAAACAACTCAATATCATAATCAAGGCAACGGCCGTGACACCCCAACGAGTGCAATTGGATTTTCGGTATGCCAAGGTCGTACTTACCAAATTGCCATTTGGTCTCCCCATTCCCTTTGGTCAAAAACGAAAATTGGCACTGTACATTCCCGTACCGGCGGCATTTGTCACGACCTGTATCGAGTTGGTACGAAAAGTGGCACGATTTTTGCGCATTCGAAGAAAAAAGAAACAACCCAACGAAGAAGAAGAAGAAGAACGATCGGCACGGGGATATTTTGATGTCCTGTTCCTAGACGATCAACTACGAGTCCACAAGACCGGACAAGGCAATCTATTCGTACAGGCAAAGGAAGAAAACTGGGATTTGGCAAAACCATTGTTGATTCGGTAATTATACATACAGTAGCTACCATCGTAACACCGCCCATTTTGGGTGCATCCGTGCGTACCGCACGTACTCCTTTCGAAATATCGTAAATACTCCGCAGACGAGTGACAGTCCATTCAGGGAACCACTTACTTACTAACTTTCACCAAGCTTTATCAAAGGGCTCCGCAAACTTGGTGGGTGTACCGTGCCGTATCCAACAGCTCCATTGAAATTTAGGTCATCTAGCCAGCTATTTCCTTTCCTTTACAGCCACAGTGCATGCTCAAGCTAGCTAATGTTGTGAGAGTCCATGGTTCATCTCCTACTAGCAGATAGTTAGCTACGCGCATCATTTCAATTTCCCCCCCGTTCTTGGGATGGGACGGACCAGACCTATTAGCGCCCTTCATCACCCATCTGTAGTACATTTGTAGGGCAGCCATTGTCGTGTAGCCACTGGATCACTAAACTTTTACCGCTGGTTCTGGCAGCTGTAAATGTCTCTGCATTCCACGGACAACCATTCTGACGAGCCCACTTCAATGTTTCCAAATGTCCATTTTGAGCAGCAAGTGAGCATGTCCTTTCATCCCATGGACAACCATTTTCACGAGCCCACTTTAAAACCTCCAAATGTCCATTTTGCAGCAGCAACATGTTCTCATCCCAGGGCATCCTTCCGGCCCACTAATCCAATGTCCATTTAGCAGCATGAACATGTTTTCACCCATGGACAACCATTTTCACGAGCCCACTTCAAATTTCCAAATGTCCACCTTCAGCAGCAATCGGTACATGTCCATGCATTCCATGGACATTCATTTTCACGAGCCCACTTCAGCACATCCAAATGCCCATTTTTAGCAGCATAGGCACATGTCACCATATCCCATTGACAACCATTTTCACGAGCCCACATCAAAACCTCCAAATGTCCACCTTCAGCAGCTTGTGAGCATGTCCCTTCATTCCATGGACAACCATTTGCACGAGCCCACTTCAGAATTTCCAAATGTCCATTTTGAGCAGCATAGGTACATGTCAGTTCATCCCACGGACAGCCATTTTCACGAGCCCACTTTAAACTCAAATGTCCATTTTTAGCAGCATAGGCACATGTATATTCATCCCATGGACAGCCATTTTCACGAGCCCACATCAAAACCTCCAAATGTCCATTTTTAGCAGCATAATGACATGTATATTCATCCCATGGACAACGATTTTCACGAGCCACTTCAAAATTCCAAATGTCCACCTTCAGCAGCATAGATACATGTGTGACAATTCGATGGACAACCATTCACGCTTAAAAATTTGAGCATTTCCAAGTGACCACTTTCAGCAGCACTCTTACACGTCGACTCATCCCATGGGAATCTGTTTTGTCGCGCCCACTTCATGACAGCAATATTTCCAACTGTGGCAATTGCATAGCAAACAAGATGGCGACCAAGGTTTTTGTGGCTGGAATTGTCCCTGAGCCAGTATTCTGCACGAGTCTGGTTGCAGAATGTTTGACTGTAAAGAGTATCAGTGCTTTTTGCAGAGCGACTGCGACGAGAGGTTCGGCTTCCTTTTACCATTTGTGGATTTTTCTGTAGTTCCATTTCACAGTATTCTTTGTACAGTTCATTCATCTTTTTGTTGACAGCTCCTAGAAAAGCGTACTGTCCAACACCAACAAACGATAAAATCTGGCCATTCCAAATCAAATCGTCAGCATACAGAAGAGCATCAAAGGGAGGAGACATTTTCTGTTTCTTATTATTATTGTTGGTCTCTGCAGCAGCAGCAGCAGCAGCAGCAGCAGCAGCAGCAGCTGTGGCGGCAGCAGCAGTACTAGCAGAAGCGCCAGTACCAGCACCCAAACCAGTAGCAATACTATCAGAAGACATGATATGGCCACCAGTGCCAGTCGAAGTAGCAAAGGCGGAGTGAATAGTCCCCGTGATGATGGATGCTACCGGTACCCGATGCAACAGAAGTTTTGAGGCTGCTGTGATGGTTATGGACGATCGAGTTGCTGTCAACTTCTAAGATCCGCCAGTTGTGGTCGTGGAATGGCAAAACGGTAGCTACATTGATTTGCTCCATCCCCCAGTTACTTTCAGTGCGAAGGATAGCCCATCACGACGAAAGCTAACTCGGTTAAGTATAGCGTTAACGTGTTACCGCATCTACCTAATGACAACATGGAATCGAATGATTCGATTCAATCCCAAAGCTGACGTGGATGATGGTGAAGATTAACTTAACCCTAAATGTATAGAGACCGTTACGCGAGACGTGGATAGCATGAACACCCAACCAAAAATTTCTCATTCAAAATGTAGAGGTAGCATTGTGGCTGTCTATCTACATTAGAAGAAGAAGACAATAATGATGACTACTGCTGTGGATGCCGATGTGGTTGTCTCCATCATTGGAGCCGTGTCTACCGTATGTGCGGCATTTGCCCTAGCGCCCACAACCAAGGATGCCGTGTTGTTTAGCACGTGCTTTTGGCTGCCTCTATTGGGTCTCCAATGGATTCGCCAGAGACGACCGTGGATGGCAGCCAGTGTGAATGCCGTGGGATTCCTATTGATTTGGCAAATTCCCGATCGACACGTCTGGCGTCCCTTTGCCACGGCCATGACCTTCTTTGCGACTACCAGGGCGTACGACTATGCCATTCACTATCCCCACTTGAGTGCGGCTCGACACTATGCTGGCACAATCATGAAACTCAACACTACCCAACCACGCAAGCATGTCCTCCGCATGGCCGATTGTTTTCCGTTCGAGACCATTCTGGATCTACTAGTGACAATCATGATAGTAGCCGTGTGTGTCATGGTGGGCATTCCACAGTGTCAAGAATGGCAATCGCCCGAATACCCCACAACAGTGGGTCTCCAGCTACCTCATTATTGGCGGGATTGGATCGTTATGCACATTCGCTGTGGTCTCATTGGGATTGCCTTTGGCTATGGCATTCATTTGCTCCAATTTCTATATGGACTCTGGTACGCTCCCTTTCGAATCATCCACACACAAGCCGTCATGAATCATCCACTCTTGGCCACTAGTCTGACAGAATTTTGGAGCTACCGATGGAATCGACTCTTTCATGGATTCCTCAAACGAAACATTTACACTCCTCTTCTTCTTCACAACAATAATAAACACTACTGCAACAACAACAATAATAATAAGGCCATGGCAGTCATTGGGACATTTGCATTTAGTGGATTGTGTCATGTCTTGGTGTTGGAGGGTGGTGTCGAACGATCCATGAGGGCCAATCTGGGGTGTATGGCATTCTTTCTCTGTCAAGCACTATTGATACTCGTGGAGCAAAGGATCTTTTTTACAAACAACAATAACAACAACAACAATCAGCCAAAAACACAACAACCACAATCTACTGCAAGTATGATTGCCAATCGGCTCTTTACCTACGTCTCTTTGTTGGCGACGGCACCTCTGTTGATTGAACCATCCTTGCGAACCACAACACATCCATCCTGATGGCCGTGATAGAGCAGATGCAATGCACTCCTGGTCTTAATTGTCCATGGTCCCCACTGTACAGTACAGTAGGGCGTGTTCCTTCCATTCCACAGTGCCAAGAAGAGGGGTTGAGCGTGCGTCAACTGCAGACACAGCACAGCCAGTTTCGTGGTTGCCATCACCACACTGTATTCATTCATCCTTGATGGCTGGCTTTCTCTTTTAATTAGAATTTGCTAGTTAAAAGTAAACAACGCTTGTGAAAGGCGTTCGACCATCCGGTACAAGTTTTATTAATTGTATTTAGTTAGTTACGTCGAGTCGAGTCCATGTGATGGAGGTGTCGAGTCGGCCTGCACGCATGCATGTGATCCGGCTCCAAAGGGTTTTCTTCGCAAATACCGTAGCTACGGTAAAATAATGCAGTGCCGATAATACCGTAGTAGTAGAGCTCTGCTTCTTTCGCTTTGCTCCTTCAAAGAATGACGTGCCTTTTTCTCCTGTCGTGCACTCGAATGCATGCATGCATGCATGCGTGGCTGCCATATAGATAGATGCTGTCTGGATGTCTGTCTGCAATGATGGATCATCTGCTGCTATCTTTTACTTGCTGCATGGGCGGCCTTTTTCCGATTGTATGTTCCGTTCCCGGTCCCTCGATCCTCCTGATTCGATTCGATTCATTCTCAAAACACGCATGGCTGACAAGAAGGAAGATGGTTGGTCATGCAGTCGGCTCGACTCGTGAACTGGATGATTCGAAAGAAGGCTGGGCGGCTCAATTGGCAATGATTATACAGTATGATAGCATCCATCCCCATTGCAAATAAGAAACATGATGGAACCACAGGGTCGTATGTATTCGTCCTCTGAGAAACAAATATTGGTACCGTATCGTACATGTAGTAGCTTTGTGAGTGCGAGCATCATGCCACCATGATCATTAAGAATTCACCGGTCAAAGTATGGTACCATGGTACCTGCAAGGTCCCGAAACGGGACTCAAACGATAGTTTCACGCTTTTTGTTAGTTTCACGCTTTTGGGTTAGTTTCACGCTTTTTGTTAGTTTCACCCTTTTTGTTAGTTTCACGCTTTTTGTTAGTTTCACCCTTTTTGGTTTAGTTTCACGCTTTTGGGTTAGTTTCACGCTTTTGAGTTAGTTTCACGCTTTTAGTCGTGTTTACATCGATTTACTATGACACATACTGTATTAGTTTCACGCTTTTTGGTTAGTTTCACGCGTTTTGGGTTAGTTTCACGCTTTCTGGTTTAGTTTTACGCTTTTGGGTTAGTTTCACGCTTTTGGGTTAGTTTCAAGGAAACGGTGGTCCATTTTCGGTGAAACTAACAAAAAGCGTGAAACTAACCCAAAAGCGTGAAACTAGTCCCATTTCAGGACCTTGCTGGTACCGGTACCCGTGCAGAGATATCGATTCTCAGTCGTGCATGTACATAAATCCAAGTCCAACAGGTAAGTCCCCACTTCGAACTCCGGTGGCCAGTCGAGTCACTAATCAAAGCAACCGGGACGCGAGCGAGCGCTGCTTCCACGCTTCCAAGCCAAATCTTTTTGTCTCCCAGCTAGCCGGAGAATGCCAGCTCACCATGCAGCTCGCCTCTCCTCCTATCGATACTCATTGTTGATCATGTCTTCTGATAGTATTGCTACTGCTGCGGCTGCTGCTGCTGCTGCAACTAATGACAATGATAATGGCAATGGCAACGGCAACAGTGCAGAGACAAACAATAACAATAAGAAACAGAAAATGTCTCCTCCCTTTGATTCTCTTCTGTATGCTGATGATTTGATTTGGAGTGGCCAGATTCTTTCCTTTGTTGATATTGGACAGTACACCTTTCTAGGAGCTGTCAACAAAAAGATGAATCAACTGTACAAAGACTACTGTGAAATGGAACTACAGAAAAATCCAAGGAAGGTAAAAGAAAGCCCTGGTCTATTGCGCTCTGCAAAAAGCACTGATACTCTTTACAGTCAAACATTCTGCAACCAGACTCGTGCAGAATACTGGCTCAGGGACAATTCCAGCCACAAAAACCCTGGTCGCCATCTTGTTTGCAATGCAATTGCCACAGTTGGAAATATTGCTGTCATGAAGTGGGCGCGACAAAACAGATTCCCATGGGATGAGTCGACGTGTGAGAGTGCTGCTAAAAGTGGTCACTTGGAAATGCTCAAATTTTTAAGGGTGAATGGTTGTCCATGGAATTGTCACACATGTATGCTGCTGAAGGTGGACATTTGGAAATTTTGAGTGGGCTCGTGCAAACGGTGTCCATGGATTGACACATGTACTATGCTGCTGAAGGTGGACATTTGGAAATTTTGAAGTGGGCTCGTGAAATGTTGTCCATGGGTGAATATACATGTCTATGCTGCTAAAATGGACATTTGGAAATTTGAAGTGGGCTCGTGAAATGATTGTCCTGGAATGAAGGACATGTCCTTGCTGCTCAAAATGGACATTTGGAAATTCTGAAGTGGGTCATGCAAATGGTTGTCCATGGAATGAAGGGACATGCTCACAAGCTGCTCAAAATGGACATTTGGAATTCTAAGTGGGCTGCAAATGGTTGTCCATGGAGAACATGTGCCATGCTGCTAAAATGGACATTTGGAGTTTTGAGTGGGCTCGTGAAAATGGTTGTCATGGGATGAGTGACATGTGCCTATGCTGCTAAAAATGGACATTTGGAGGTTTTAAAGTGGGCTCGTGAAAATGGTTGTCAATGGGATGAGTGACATGTGCTATGCTGCTAAAAATGACATTTGGAGTTTAAGTGGGCTCGTGAAAGTTGTCCATGGAATGAAAGGACATGCTCACTTGCTGCTCAAAGGTCACCTGGATGTGCTGAAGTGGGCTCGCGAAAATGGTTGTCCGTGGGATGCATACGCATGCTCAGTGCTGCTGGATATGGACATTTGGAAATGCTCCAATGGCTTCGTGAGAATGGTTGTCCATGGACTGAGTATACATGTACATACGCTGCTAAAAATGGACATTTGGATGTTTTAAAGTGGGCTCGTGCAAATGGGTGTCCATGATGCAGAAACATTTACAGAGGCCTACAGAGCCTGAACGACATCGAAATGATTGATTGGCTACGCAACAATGGCTGCCCTGAGCCTCGTGATGACGATGATGATGAAGATGACGATGGGTCTGGTGATGAGATGAGGATGAAGAAGATGAAGCTTCATTTATGGTATAGCAATGAATCAAAAGTACACAATGCTAAATTTCGTACGATTTTCTCCTCTGAGTGGCATAGGTTCATCACTAGAGCATATAACCTAGTTGTGTACGCTGTACCTCTCCACAATGATCGATTCGATTCGTGGCCCTTAGAGTCTAGCTATAGCTAACGTTATGTGAAGGTCAAGAAGTACGGGTTTTAGGTAACATCCTGAAAAAGCAACATATCCAAACAGATTGCTTGTATTGTGCAAGGATACGAGGAATTGGTCCATGTTCTATTTGTAGCATCGGTACAATACATAGCTAGACACCCCCAGCCAGTGCCTTTTTGGTCAACTCGGCTCCCAAGAAACTAATGGCATTGGCGGGCATGGCCCGGATCATGGCGGGTCCCATACCATTGAACAAACCTGTCGGACCCACGTCGTCCATAAGAGTGGACCAAACCTGTCCAATGTTTTGATAGGTTCCCTCGGGAGCCGTTTGATATCGCGATTTCAAACAATCCATGGGTAAAATGACGGGCCAAAAGCTGACACCGGCCAGTGACCCCGCAATCAAGGCGCTTAAGGGAGACGGTCCGAGTGCATTTTTGACCACCGTATAGACCCCAAAATAGACCATGCATCCAGGAATGTCCCGCATCAACGTCAATGTCGTCCCCTTGTAGAGACCTGCCAAACCGGATTCTCGATACAGTGATGCGGCACAATCACCAAAGCCGTTGTACTGACGAACAGATTTGGAACCTTGTTGTTGTTGTTGTTGAATTTGTAACAGGCATTTGATTCGTTCGGCCTGGGGCACACAAAAACCGGTATGTGAGGAAGGCTTTTTTTCATTCATTGAAAGACGACGACAAGGACAATTGGTGCAAACGTACCGGTACCATGACGAGAGCTGTGGGGAGAGCCGAAAAGCCTCCGGCAAAACAAAGTTGAGCAATGGTGAGGGAAGCACCGGGTGCCAACCCCGCCATGGCCCGCACAATTTTGTCGCCAGTATCGAATCCCCAGAAACTCACGGCCCAAATGGGTGCGACCTGTCCAAACAAAACATCCAGAAATGAATGAGTACGTGCATGTGTCCCAGAAATAAATGAGGCAAATCCCATGGCCAGACACTACAGTACAGCACGTCACGGTCGGCACGGCACGGTACTTACGGCTACCAATGGCGCCGCCACTCCTCGATAGAGCCCTCCAAATCCTTCTTTTCGAACAATATCTCGCAACACTCCAAAGGTTCCCCTTTTCGGGGTCTTGCCGTCGTCTTTGGTGGAAGCGGCTGCCGTTTGGAGTCTGACTTTGACCAAATCCAATGGGTGTCCCACCAAAACTGAACAGATTCCTCCGACGCCTATAGTAGAGGAGTAAGGAAAAAGGCATTGTTCGTGTTAGTTAGCGCTTTTGCGTGGCACCGTAGAGTATGGCGGTATTAGAAAGGACAGCACTTACCGCCACCCGCGAAACTGTGTAAATTGGACATCCATGGACTGAGATCTTTGGCCATGACGGCAGGGGACAACCATGCCAAGGCTATTATAAGGACGACACTGAACATAAGGAACCGTCGTTGAGTGAAGGAGTTTGACGACGACATGGCTTTCATAGTGTATTTAGATATTGTAGTTAGTTCTTCTATTGTCTGAACTGTTGCGTCTTCTTGGTGTGAGATGTGGTACGAGTACGAAGTACGAAGATACCATGCAAACAGAATGCTTTTCTCGTTTTGGATCTTCTTTCTTGGGAACCCTCCATGGATCTTTGCTTCCGAACGCGAAGCGAACAGGACTTAACCAACGGTCTTTTAGCAAACGGTACCAAAAGCGAAGCGAACGCGATCTTTTTCAAATCAGAACGGGAGGAAAAGTAAGTTCCAAAGATATTTGGCTCTTTGGATGCATCATTGCGTTCGTTGATTGCACCACCACAGCCAAAAACACAACGCCAAGACAGAACTCTCTATCATAGCTAAAGCCAAGCCATGATGATGCTATACAAGCTTGTTTGTCCGGTCCTCCTTTTGTGGGCTGTCGTTCCTTCTTGTTGGGTGGAAGCATTTCACAGTCAATCTGTTACAAGAAAGACAGCACTAGATGTCGTTCTTTCCTATCAACGAGGACTTGCCACCGAGAATATTACGGCCGAAGCTGCACCCCAAGGACTCTTGCCACGTACTTCCGAAAGAAGTTCCACTACTAGTACCACTTCTAGTAGTGTCTTTCGACCTTGGCCCTTTGGTAAAAAGGCGACAGCCAATGGAGATTACGCCCAAGATTTGTACCTGGAACAACACATTGGTGGGACACTCTACAGTCGACAAACAGAGCTACCCAATCTACCCATTCCATCACTCCAAGACACCCTCCAGCGTTTGATACCCACCGTGTTGCCACTCGCTCAAGACGAAACCGAAACACAAGAGTTTCTGCAAGCGTGCCAGGACTTTACTCATCAAGCCGCACACTTGCAACAACGATTGCAGGATCACAACGCTGCCGCCAACACTCGTGCCACTAATTGGGTGCAAGGCTGGTGGCAGAAACAAGCCTATCTACAGTACCGAAATCCATTGCCACACTATGTTTCCTACTATCTCATGATTCCAGATGACAATAGTCTAATACCCAAAGGAGAAGATGCAGCTCTGTTCAGAGGAGCCGCCATTCTCCATGCCGCGGCGGAAAGTCGAAAACTGATTTGCAGGTAAGTCCTGGATAATACATGCTGGGGTTTTGGACAGACTTTTGGGAGTACTGTGCTCTCTCACTCCTATCGATTGACTTGTCATTCTCCTGCATCACATTACTACTTTCCCACGCATGCAGTGGAACCATGCCACCCGACACCACGGCAGGCAATGCCCCACTTTGCAGCGTGGGATTCAAGTATATGTTTCACGCCTCTCGGATCCCCAAGGAGAAACAAGACATTTATCACTTGTACGATCCTGCTCGCTACCGGCATGCCATTGTGGCCATTCGGGGACAATTCTATGCCATCGACATTGTGGACAATGACAATACTCAAGATCCATTGCCGCTGCCAGTGCTCCTGGCACGACTACGGCGCTGTCGAGACATGGCGGCGGATGATGATCATCATACGTTGCCGCAGTTAGGGTGGTGTACCAGCCTCCATCGGGATGAATGGACCCAATGTCGCAACCAACTCCTCCAACAGTCGCCCCTCATGGCGCAGGCGCTAGAATCCATTGAAAGTGCCGCCTTTGTCTTGAATCTAGATGATGAGGTACGTAAGATTTCGTGCGTGTTCATTGTGGAACGTTCTAGCTACTAGCTAAGTAGCTAGTAACCGTACTCAACCTTCTTGATGCACAAACAAAAACACAGGAACCCGAGACGTTTTCCCAAAGAGCTCTGCAGTTTTGGCAGGGTGGATCTCAAGCAGGCAATCGGTGGTTTGACAAACCCATGCAGATTCTGGTCACTCCAGATGGTCACGCGGCCTATCAAGGGGAACACTCCATGGTCGATGCGGCTCCTGTCATTTCGGTGATTCAGCGAATCCTCAAGAAAACATACTCGCGTTTGGCAAAACGAACGGAAGATAGTACTATTCGGAAGGAAGAAGAGTGCGAGGGCGGCGTCTCCAACGTCTTTGAACGGTGCTGGAAAGATCCCATTCTCCTCGAGAAAGCCACGGCAATAGCCAAGCGGGCGCGGGAGCACCATCGGGAGCTCTCCGCCGAGTTTGAGCTCGATACAGCCTACTTTGACGGGTTTGGCAAGAAAAAGGCCAAGCAATGGGGCTACGACGGTCCCTTGGTAGCCCAATTGGCGATTCAATTGGCTGGCTATCGTCTTTTCGGCAAACTGGTGGCAACCTACGAAGCCGCGTCGACGCGTTGCTTTCGTCATGGGAGAACGGAAGCCACGAGGCCCGTTCAGCCAGAGACGAAAGCATTCGTAAAGACCATGGCCAACGAGGAGGCATCGCGCGACGAGAAACTCTCTGCTCTCCAAGCCGCCGCTTCTGCGATTGCAATTTACCAACAAGCAGCCTCGAATGGACAAGGCGTTGACCGGCACCTCTTTGGTCTCTGTAGCGTCGTGAAAGAGGGAGAAGCGGCACCTAAACTATTTTCGAACCCACTCTTTCAGAAGTCCAAAGCGTTTCGTCTTTCCACAAGCTCAGTAGTATTCCTTCCTGGATTTGGACCTGTCGAGGACGACGGGCTTGGCGTTGCCTTCAACGCCGAAAAGGACTGCTTCCTATACACAGTTACATCGCGCAAAGAAAACAAATACACCCGTCCATTCTGCAGGTTGTTGGAAGAAGCCTTGCACGAGATTGGTGACCTCCTGGATGAAACCACGCATACCGGTAGCTAGTTTTTCTAAGATATGAGGCTGAAAGCCTCAAAGCAGGCCTAGTCCTATTGTGACATCAACCCTGCTATAGGTAAGAGAGCCAGTGGATCCAAAGAACCACATTTCGAAAGATGGGAATGTCGCAGGAAGCATGACCTTGTCCCTCAGCAAGATCTCACAATCTTTGACAGATCACCTGCGGCAAGCATCAGGTGGACTTCCTACGTTGTGCAGCAGAAGGGACTATGTTATGAAAGGGAGTGCCTGAGGTGAACCTCCCGGGACTCACTAGAAGGAGGTAGACGTATAGAACCCCCTGTTAATTTTTAGCTGATTCTTTTGTGTCATTCCATGTCTACATTGTACTGCACGGCCAGGCTGAGCACAGCTCTTCCCGTGCCGCGACCATGTGTCTCAGAGGCTCCCGTGTCCCAGCTCTCAAGGTTTCCAAGCGTTGGGATGACAGAGGTGCCCTTGATCTCTTCCGCTAGTCTTCCTCCTGTGCTCCTCCATGCCCCTCACCTTGCATCCCCTCCTTCTTTGGCTCTGCTCCTGCCCTGCTCCCTCCATCGATTGATTGGCTCGAGCGTTCCTGCATCCTGCCTTCCCCTCTCTGCCCCACCCTCATCATAGCTCCCTCTAACCCATAGTAACTTTCCCCTTACAGCCATGCATCGGCCTCCGTTCGCAAAAAACAAATAAGGAGGAGCTAGATTCTCCAAGCGTTCCTTCCCTACTAGCTATATATACTTTGGATATGTGAGTGTCTATAGTGTTGTGTCCTATTATGGAAGATAGCTAACTCAACCACAGCCAACTTCATTGCGGCCTTGAGACTGCCGCCTAATAGTATATGCTCCAATGATTTATGCAAGAAACGCAGTAATGAGAGCGCCCGGCATTGATACAGCTGACAACATAGTGGCGCCTGAAAGTGGTGATTGCTGCTACTCCACTCCATATCGACCTTCATTGTCACCAACCCATGAAGCTGGGTTGAGCATATCTGCCCGCAGCAGGGCAGTAGCTTCATTACGAGATCCGTTGTAAAAGTAGTTTTCCAGGTGTGGCAGCACAATGGAGCCTTGATCCAACTGCTCCGGAAGGGCTGTCAATGCTTCGCCATACTCCTCTGCAGACAATCCAGGACTGCTCCAAATGCCGCTATTTGAGAATCCTGCCAAGAAACGCATCTTGCCGTCAGCATCAATACAGTACAAGAAAACATTGTCACCAAAGGTTGTACTTAGGCTGAATGCACCCTCCACATCGGACCAAGTGTCTCCGTAGTCGACACCAGGTCCCATTCCAAAGAGATCACCTTGCTCAATGCCGTCTTCCGGTGTTGTCATCTGAGGTGCCATGAAGCCATGAAGCCAGCGATGAAAAGACAGCGAAGAAAGGTTAGGAAATTGAAGAGCGAAGAGAAAGAACTACAAGATTTCGACCGATTCAAAAAGCAAGCAGCCAACCTACCACCATTGTGCCTTCATTTGGCACTCCAGTCACCAATCCAGTTCCATTCCAGGCTTGATCGGTAACGAACAACTCCATTCCACCTGGAATATCAAACATGGGCAAGAAGACGACTTCATCAGGATCTTTGGTATTGACCAAGAAGACAGGAACATCGCCTACTTGAATGGATCCACAATCGTTTCTCATGTTGGTGGGAGCCATGGTGGGAAAGTCTTGAATGCAGGTAGGGAAGTCCTTGTTCCAGGTTCAATTCGTTCGGGTGCGCCAAACAATGACTGTGCCAGTTGAGGGTAATCAATGAATGGATTGCGATTTCCTTGCCAACGAGAGCATGCCTTGTCATTGCGCAAGACTTCATCCTCGGTGGGAGGATAGGCGTCATGCCATTCTAGCAATTGTGATTTATATCCCATGGCATTGATGAACGGACCACAATCTTGCAAATTCAACTGTTGATACCTTAAGTCCACGTAAAAGAGAGCCCTAGCAATCTCTCCACGGAAGCGTTGGGGGGGGCGTCCAAATCTTGCCATCTTGTGCGGTATCATTGGCTGTTTCGGTAGAGGCTGGGACCACACACTCTGTCTGGAATTCGACCGTGTCACACATTCCAAAGGACAAATCTCCCTTGCTCATGAGTACCGTTGACTTGGCTGGTTTAATGTGATGCACATCGGTAAAAGCTGGTGAGAAGGAATCATATCCTCGGTTTTGGGGCCACAATCGCTCAGCACTCCAGTAGAGTGGATTGGAATTGGGTTAATCATTAGCATTGATATCTCGGTAGACCAGTCGAACCGTACCAGATTCATTACCTGGATGAAGGTTGATAATGGCCTTGTAGAGATCATCATGATCAAAGGTTTCGCCGTGTGTGGGAAGGATATTGCGATGTGTCTCCTTGATCAGTGAAGACAAATCTTCTTGCGTCCAGCTGGAAGGAGAACCTTCTTGCAGAAGACTGGCATAGTATGTCTCAATATCACAGTTGTCGAACATAGTTGGAGTCATGGTTTTTGCATCCTGACCCACAGCGCTTGCTGCCATCAATGCTGCACTCAGCACTACCAGTAATGTGTCAGATAGAATCTTCATTTTTCTCCTGCTTTCGCCAATCTTCCTCAATGAGAATGAATGCAGATTGCCACAAAATCAGGAACCAAACCAACCCAAACTAACCAAGCCAGTAACCTATGTATACTCTAGTATGATATGTGACCTGCCAAGAAAGTTGCTCTCTTCTACTAGGCTCTATTTTAAATATAAAAAAAATGAACGTCTAATAACGGATTCAGACGAGATGTGCTTGAGGACTACCCACGAGCTAGGGCTCGGGTATTTCCCACAGTCAAGTCTGCTCACCGGCCACACTGGCCTCCTGAGAGGGTGCGACGCCTGTTAGCTATCTAAGGATTTTAAGAGTATGATACAGTGCATGATAAGAGAAGACGCGAAGCTGAGGGCAGAACAGATCGAGCAATGAGAGGGTTCGATCTAGCTACCAGTATGACTATCCCAGTAGAGAAAAGCACCGGAACCGTAGCTTTTCACCCATCCACACGGTTTTCGAAGGCCATGGCACCATGGCTGGCTTGCTTTGCCAATAGTAAAAGAGTACGGAAAAGGCGACACAGGTGTCAAAATGGGTTCTCGTTTTGGCCAAAAGAAACCAGAAGCCCTCATTTCTGAAGCCAAGTGGCCATTTCCTAATAACCTGCGAATCTGCCAAAACTAACCAGCTGAGAACAGAGAATAACGCATTAGCAAAACTTGAATTTTACCACATGGCAACCAAATTTTGCCCTCAACCGACTGAGGGTCTTTCACACTTTTGCCCCCACCAGACTGGGGGTCCTTCCAACTTTTATTGCCCCCACCAGACTGGGGGTTCTTCCAACTTTTATCGGCAGGTGTGTATGTGTGCTAGTTAGTGTGTACGTCTCTGTGTGTGCTGGTTAGTGTGTACGTCCGTCACATAACGGGAAGTTTCCCTTGTATGGAGCTGTGTTTAGTTTGACACAGTTAGGTAAAATTGAGAGACTGTGTTCAGTTGGACACAGTAGCTTTAAACAGTGTTCAGTTAAACACAATAGCAAAAATCGAGAGACTGTGTCCAACTGAACACAGTAGCTTGAAACCAGAACTGAGATTGAGATATAAGCCAACACATAAAATTAAGAAGCTGTGTTTTGTTGGACACAGTACCAGCTGCAGTGCTCATGGAAGCTAGGTAGAAATTAGATGTAAGCTAACAATGAAATTGATTTGATATTTAGCTCCGAACTAATAGAAAGCTATTTTCTCAGCTGTATTGATGCTGCCAGTGTTCTTGTTCTGCCCTAGAGGCGTGTGGTGCTGGTGGTAACTGGAACAACAACTCTGAGTCTGAATTTGAGTGGAAATAATAATGAGCTGCCGACTAGAAAGATCAGCCCAATACTTAAACCAATCAATTTGCTTTTGAGCTTCACTGCGATCATATGAGCTTAAAGAAAGTGATTTTGAAGATGTTTTTCTGTGCCTCAGCTTGAGCTTTCCATTGATAATAATACTCGGTGTATTTCATTGCCATTTTTGCAAATGTTCTTTCTCATCAGTACTGTTGTTCATTGTGGTTGTGGTTGTGGTTGTGGTTGTGCTTGTGCTTGTGCTTGTGCTTGCAGAAACCCTGCCAAAAAAAGCTCTGAATCCATGGTCATCTACCATAGTATCACGAGGATTGTTTTCCTTTCGATAATCATATTTTCGAGCATGTCTTCTGAACATAACTCCTGGTTGATTGCGATAATCTTCTGCAAGGCAGTCTAGTTCATCTTCTTGGATGCCATCCATTTTTTAAAGCCAATATCAGTTTCCTTCCAATGTTTTTTTGCTGCTTCTTTAAATTCTTTTTTTTTTTCAGAACAAAGGGGTGATTCTTCTCTTGTTTCTCACGTCTACTTCGCATTTTTTGCATGCCTTCCTTAGCTTTCTGTTTGTCAGCCTCGTGCTGTTCATTTGTTTGCTGCACACGCTTATCTCGCATTCTTTTCCAGTTTGCATTTAGCTCAGAGATATCGTTTGCTTGTCGACGTCTCTCTCGAAGCTTTTGAACTCTTTCTCTAGTGGCCGCCTTTATAGCATCCTTCTCTTCTTTTGACTGTTTTGCACGTATTACTCTCTTCCTGAGTCTGTCGGCCTCTCGCTTACCATCACGGAAACTCTTAGCGTGTTCCATAGATGAGTTAGTCTCTTCCATCTCTTTACTTTTGAATGTCTACATGTATTGATTTCTTTCTGAAGCGTTGAGGCGTTGAGGCCCCTGTAATAGCTGGATATTTTCTTAAAATCCAGGTGGGGGCTTCAGCCTCCGGCTGCCTGTTCTCGCTGTATGTGTGTGTGTGCTAGTTAGTGTGTACGTCTCTGTGTGTGCTGGTTAGTGTGTACGTCCGTCACATAAGGGGAAGTTTCCCTTGTATGGAGCTGTGTTTAGTTGGACACAGTTAGGTAAAATTGAGAGATTGTGTTCAGTTGGACACAGTAGCTTTAAACAGTGTTCAGTTAAACACAATAGCAAAAATCAAGAGACTGTGTCCAACTGAACACAGTAGCTTGAAACCGAAACTGAGATTGAGATATAAGCCAACACATAAAATTAAGAGGCGGTGTTTTGCTGGACACAGTCAGCTGCAGCATGGGAGCTAGCTAGAAATTAGATGTAGGCTAACAATGAAATTGATTTGATATTCTATTTTCTATTGATTTCTTTGTGAAGCGTTGAGGCCCCTGTAATAGCTGGATATTTTCTTAAAATCCAGGTGGGGGCTTCAGCCTCCGGCTGCCTGTTCTTATCGCTGTATGTGTATGTGTGTTAGTCTGTACGTCCGGCATAAAGGATGGGGTAAATAATAATTGTTAGTTGGTAAAATATACTCCGAGTACCAAACTATGTGTGTGTGCAAGTTAGTATGTACATCCGCCATAAAGGATGGGGTAAATAATAATTGTTAGCAGGTAAAACATACTCCGAGTACCAGAGTATGTGTGCAAGTTAGTCTGTACGTCCGTCATAAAGGATGAGGTAAATATTAATTGTTAGCTGGTAAAACATACTCCGAGTACCAATGTGTGTGTTTTGGTTGGCTATCGATAGACTACAGTAGACTGTGTGTTCAGTTGAACACAGTGTTGGATTTGGCCAAAGAATCAAATCTCTTTTTTGACAGTTGAGGGCATCAGCCTCCGGCTGTCTGTTCTTAATTAAACGGGTTTCTGACCCAAGATTGGTAGAAAAGAGCCCTGCACACTCCCGAGACTTGGAAGCAGAGGGTGACAAATGATTTTATTTCTTAGGCTCCCATTCTCGATCACTCCCACTGCCATGGCTCCGTCATTCACATTTGACGGTCCATTGTCAGGAACGCATCGAATCGTCCAAGGCTCAGGAGGTTTTCCACACTATGATAGCTAGTACCGGCACTCTGGTGTCTATACTCTTGCGTCTATTATGACTGAGTCTCTTATAAAAAGACTATGATGGTACTGTATGAAAAGTTCGCCGGAAAGGATGCGGTTTGCGGCTGTCGGGTGGGGCGGGGTGAGCTGTGGTTTGGCGGAAATGAATCCAATCAATGTCAGGTACTTGTTGTGTTGTGCTTTGGTTGAGCGAATCATTCAATCTATGGATCCGAGGGTTGCATTGCATCACTCCGCACGACGATACATGAGCATGTCGTCGGTATCCTCGTCCTCGGTAAGCAAACAAGGCTGCTCACACTCATTGGCAATTTCCACGACCTTGTGCGCCGCCGTGTCCCAATCGAGTTCCACCGTGAGCATTGGAATATTGGCCGCTTGGAGGAGTTCCAGGGCTAGCTCGGCATGGTTGCCCACCAGGCGCACCACTGTTGGTTTGTTGACCTTGCCTTTTTGAAAGGACGTGATCAGTACCTTGGCAATCAAGTCACATCGGACAATACCACCGAAAATGTTGACAAAAATGGCCTTGACACTGTCATCGCAGTCGAGAACGTCAAAGGCTCCATCAATGGATACCGATTCGGCCGACCCTCCCACATCGAGAAAGCACGCCGGAGTGCCCCCATTCCTCTCGAGCAAGTCCATGGTGGCCATGGAGAGACCTGCGCCATTGACCAAGCATCCCACGTTGCCATCCATGGCCACATAGTTGAAGCAATACCGACTGGCATGGACTTCGCGTGGATCTTCTTGAGAGAAATCTCGTTGTGCAAATATGTGCGGATGCCGATCCTTGGCACGGTCGTCAATGACAACCTTGGCATCGGCCACAATGAGCTTCCCTTGCGGGGTCTCTGCTAAGGGATTGATTTCGACTTGCAAGCTGTCCGTCTCGGTGTACATGTGGTAGAGGTCCCCAGCCAGTTGGACGCATTGGTCGTACAGTGGAGAGTCCACCGGGAATCCCAGATTGAAGGCAACATTGTGACATTGTTCATCAGTAATGCCGTTCCCAATGTCAATGGATTGTGTAAAGATGAACTCTGGATGGGTCTCTGCCACCTCTTCAATAGAAGTTCCACCGCAGGGGCTTGCCACGAGGAGTGGACCACCCGACTTGGGGTCGGAAATGATGGACAAGTAGAGTTCCCGGTCCAAGTCGAAGCATTCTCGCAATAGGACCTTGTGGCACGGTAAGCCATTGGGTGCCTGTTTCGTTATCAGATTGGCACCTAGCATGTGCGAGGCTACCTGTCGGGCTTGTAATGGGCTCTTGAGAAACTTGACGCCTCCTTGAAATCCATTGTCAAAGTGGCCCTTGCCGCGTCCACCCGTGAGGACCTGCGCTTTGATAATGGCGGCTGCATCCTTATTGTTGGCTTTGTCGGCTATGTGACGATTAGGAGAAAGCGAAAATAAATGAGAACAACGGTACTGCATGCAATGACTCGACTCCCACAGAAGAAAAAAGGATTCTGATTGTTATCTTTCTCATGCTTGTCCTTCTTAACTTCGAAACAAGCAGGTAACTTACGAGGATTCAACTTTCTATAAATCTGTTCCGCATCTGCAGGTGTAGTTGCTGTGTAACATGTTGGCGTGGGAAGATTGTACGATCTCATTAGCTCCATGGAGACATTATTCTTGAAGGTTGAGATTCCGAACACCCCCAATTGCCGCTGCGGCTAGGGCTCGTCGCTCCCTTGTCAACGTCTTGCGAAAGGTGGCAGTGAGCATCTTGGCCTCGTCGCTCGCTCCCTGTACGGTACCGTAATAGCAAAGAAAAGAGATGTGTGTGGAGGAGAGAGGAGAAAGCTAGGTTTTGTGTTGTGTTGTGTTGTGTTGCTTGGCTGTCTCAATTGTTTCCTTTTTCTTTGTTGCCAATGACCCATGCATGCAAAGCTTCCTTTCAGAATCCTTTTTTCTCCGAGGTACGTTCGGTTCGCTTCGCACATTTTCAAGAGATCTTTCGACGCCAATAAAATTCTTCTCGGGCTGGGAGTGCCACGGCAAAACGATTGTTACCGAGTGACGAGTGCGTTGTGAACGGGTACCGGTGCAGTGCTCAGAACGTGGATAACGAACGCCTGCCAGTCATGGTTCAATCACAGCATCGAAAGCAGAACGGCACGGAACGATCTACCCCAGTATGTGAAGTATCGAAATTTAGAAAGCACGTTGGGTCCACGATCAGGTGTGGCACTCGACTGTGGTTCCCGTCGCCCCAATTAGCAGAGTGGGACAACTCGACTATGATGGCACTGCTGAATCAGTACGGTACGGTACAGTACAGTATGATCTTTGAGTGAAAGAGCGACGCTCAACGCTCATCAGTGGTTTCATTCTGTTGATTTGAACAGTGGCAAATGAATGATCACGCAAAATACAGAAAGATCTGCGACACCCAGGACCATGCAGCCAGTTCGCTCCTCATTCGGTGCATCGTGATTCGATTCAATTCCGTGTGCTTTTTACCACCAATGTCCCTGTTTGCTCTTTCTTTGCAGCTACGGTTTGCCGCTACAGTCGTAGTCTCTTGCTCGAGTCGAGTGTACGGTATACCGTACTAATAGTGCTGGTGGGGAGCAAGTTTACAGTAAGTTACTAGTAGTTAGCAATCTGGCCAAGACGGATGACGGACAGACGAGAGTCCCCAATCTGATTCATCCAGCCAGTGCTCTTCCACGAGGATCACCAACCTTGAGTCGCAGAGCCCATTGTTTTGTTTGTCTTGATCCACCTCTCTTCTATCGGTGTAACAAGACTGCTCTTTGGTTGCTTCCATCAGTGTAAATGCCTTGATAGCTAATAGACACCATCATTAGTAGCTGTCTACCATCTACATCAATCCCACTGCCGTTGCTGTGTTTCTTCTCCTCGGCCCTTTTCTTTTTCTCTCCCATCAATCCAGCGAGCAAAGAAGTACATCCCGTCATTGGGATCAATCCAACCGAACCCAACCCTGGGAAAACCTCCAGTGTACCACTCTCCCATTAACTCCACTCAATCTATTTGCAATCTCCGTGGAAATTTTCCTTGTAGTGGCAGCGATCCACTACTTCCACAACCGACCAATCAATTTCTCGAGTACCGTCACTACAACCGTCGTTGGCAGCATTTCAACCCCAAAATGGGACCATAATTCAGCATCCTTCCCACTTCCACCATATCCTGTCTCTACTACTACTACCGTGACAGCCAATTTCTACACAACCAGTAGTCAATAAATTTCTATTTCCTCGGGAGGTACTACCAGCATCGATTGTCAGCACTCCAACTCCACCCCGGCACTCCGCCCATCCATCCTCCCAGAAATTGTTCCCTTAGCCCAGCAGCTTTTCCATCAGTGCATTCTTTTTGATGCCAGCCTATTCATTCTTCCAGCCATCTAGGCATCCAGCAATCCTTTATTCCCTCATTTTATGGATCCAACAGTCCATCAGCCCATCCTTCAGCCCCTCCATCCTTTCCACAACCTATCCATCATTCACTGCATCAGCCAATCAATCAAGCAGTTCATCCGTCAGTCAATCCACCAGCCCATTCTTCAGCTCATCCATCAATTAATTATTCCATCAGACTACCTTCACTCCATCAGACTACCAATCAGTTATCAGTCCATTGCACCACCATTCAATCCATGTATCTACAAGTGTAGACGTCAATCCACCAGTCCAACAATCAGTTCATCCTAGATCACTCCAACAGCCTAGCAACCCAGCAGTCCATTCATCAAACCATCCACTACTTCATTATCCCATCACCAGCCTATTAATCAATCACCATCCAGCAGTCCATCCACCAATCGACCCATCAGTTATCAGTTCATCCATCCAAGCTGTGGTTTGACAGTTCCGACCAACTATGGTACGGCAACTACGTCCTGGTACCAGTAGCTATCATAGTTGAATGAGGTCCTTGCGATCGCTGCGCAAATATTTGACAGACACCATGAGCTCACGCCTCGCGATTAAGAAAGTGCATGTGATATAAATGCATTGGGCAATGAAATGCAAAAGTGCCTTTCTACAGTAACAAGAATGATGGATGGATGGATGGATGGATGGATGGATGACATCTATCTTGATTACATTACAGACAGGCAAGGCAGCCCATGGTTTACAGTCGAGCAAGGCAAGAAAGATGAGTATCATACGAGGAGAGACTCGACTCGACTCTGGCTCCACCACCAACTCGACTCGACGCGGATTCGCCCCAGATGGCTGGCTGGCTGGCTGGCTGGCACAGAGTGAGTGGATGCATCAATTCAAGGGCACACATTACACAAAAAGCGCCCGACCAATGCATGCAAACTTGAGACAACAGGTTGCTTTTTATTTACATGTATGTAACCAACTTTGTGTGATACTACTGTACTGTACTGTACTGTACTGTACTGTAGCTATGATAGCCAGCCAGCCATGCAGATGGCAATGGAGCCAACTCTTGAAGAAAAGCAAGTTCACCGTGCCGAGTCTCAGTCGAGTCAGGCTCTAGCTACCAGTACAACTGTAGCTAGCTAGCTAGCGCTGGTCCACCATGGACTTGTCGTCGTCGTCCGTCACGGTACCGGTGTGAAATTTTCAAATGGTTCAATGCTAGGGAGTATGGGAATATTGGGTCAATGCATCAGATTTATGGCGTCATTGTTTCGCTAAACCCTAGCTTTATCCCTATATTTACCTGAACTACCATCTTTGGATCCATTTGGTTCGTTGGCGGACGAACAGATCGATTGGCGTCTCCTTCGCCGTCACAACTGTTCAAAATCTTTTTCCATCAAGGACAAGAGAAGAACAATTACTACAGCAACTATAGCAACTATAGCAGAAGCAGAGAGTATAGAGAGACAAGAGACAGACTGACTGAGCTCTAGAGAAGAGTAGAGAAGATGAAGGACCCAAGTGGATCGTCGTTGAAGAACGGCTCCAATAGTAAGTCAGAATTAGACAATGATGTGGAAGAAGATGTGCGTCTCGCCATGAAGATGCAGATTGAGGAAGGACTGGAGACTGCGGTGCCGCGTGTGGCGTCCTTGGTGATTCCTACTACTAGTAGCAACACCAGTAGCACTAGCATCAGTAGTGACAATGACAATGACGCAGCGCTGGCATGGAATCTCCAATTGAAAGAAAATGAAAAGGCCGTAAGCAATGACAATGACAATGACAATGACACTGCGACTGCTAGTAGTAATCTAGTAGTCAGTAACCTCCGCATGGGCGCCGCTCCCTACGAGACCACGACACGTGCCATATTGCAACAGCAAAAACCCAAAGTACGCGATTTGGTAGGAAATCTTCGCTCTGGCGCCAAACGCCAAAATTCCGTTTTGATGAATTTGCCGCCGGCGCTTCAAAATCAGACGTTTATGGAACCTACTGGTTTTACTACTGGTACTGGTACTACTACTATGAGTAGTTCCTCCTTACAGTTGTCTGCTTACTATGCCGATGGAACTACGGACATGACGACCACGGCCTTTTTGACAGATGGCAGTACTGTCTCTTCCGAGCCAATGACAATGACAATGACAATGACGGACCAACCGCAGCACCAGCTGTTCCACCACCGCCACACGACCATGGTCCCCATTTGGTTTGACGTCAGTCGCCCAGGAGATGGAGATGATGTCTTTCTCCATTTACTAGGAGATTACTGTGATTACCAGTCAAACAAGTCAAACAAGAAGACTACGCTTTTGCTCAAGGGAGTTCCTCCAGACCAAATTCCATTTCTATGCAATGATCCGACCAAGTTGGGGGCCGTCGTGGCCACTGCTTCTATTGTGACTGATGAGGATGAAGACAACGGGAAACCAATTGATACGGATACTGAAACATCCAATGACAGTATTGAAACGGTCATTCAACAATGCATCCATCTCAAGACATCCATTCGACAAGCCGCCATGCATCTGCCATTTTGTGTCCGCTTTCAATTGGAACGCTGTCTGTTGATGGATACTGCGGGCAACAATGATCCACACATTTACATCACGCAACGATATGCACCCAAAAATAACAAATCACCCGAAGTGTTACAAAACAGACAAAACGACTTTCGATTTCCCGCACGCAAAATGTTGATTGCATTCTTGCAAAAAGTATTGCCCGCTCTACTACTCCAATGGTCCACCACTACGGAATTGCAACAATCGTCCTTGACACTCATGGAGTTGTTTGCCGAGGAAATCTACGAACCCATGCGGCATGTCAAGAAGCAAATACAAAAAAAGGGACATGCCAGTAGTATTTCATCCTTTCATAAAGCGGTCGAAGGAGCCATGGACCGGGCACGTTCGACACTTTCAGGAGCCGTCAAGTTGTGTCGGTGTACCGAAGCCGATCTGGATCGTTGCCATGACAAGAAGAATGATACGGAAGGATACACTCGATTCATGCGACAGCGCTCGCTGTGGCCCATGGCGGAATATCGAGTCTACTTTACACCCGACGGAAGACTCTTGCCCAAAGGATACGAAGTCGTCAATACACGAAATGCCAAATTGGCACTCCATGACAACAAGCACAATAATAAGTGGACGATGGAATATGCCATGCGACATGCCAAAGCAGAAACACGACGGGCGCTACGGGATACCGGCTGGGCTGTACGAGATCGGTTTGCCGCCTTTTCGGATGTCCCTTTTACCGACGTCTTTCGCGACCATTTACAAGAATGGTGTCAGCAACGACCCATGGTCTGTGGGCGTCGCTACGAATTCTTGTTTGACAAGGGGACCGCATCTCCGCGGATTTGGTTCTTTTCTCCCTCCAAGCAAGTATCACGGAACGATTTCTTGTGCCAATTGGGGGATTTTAGTATGGTCGACAAGACCAAGTTGGGGGATCGACTCAGTCTCGCATTCACTCAGACCAAACCGTTGATTCAGCTGCAACCGGAACAAATTGTGGCGATTGATGAGATTGTCCACAATGGATACCGATTCTCGGATGGATGTGGGGTCATGGGTAAGTACCGTACTGTCAATGCTTATGTCATGGCGGCTTATGTCATACATTGCTGTTTGTTTGTGTGTCTCTGTCACTCGTCACTTACTAACACCATTCGATCCACGCGTTCACGTGTTCACTTACATCATTGCATCCATCGATCTATATCTATCTTTGAACTGAAGGCTGGGACATTGCTCGACGGGTTGCCGACATTGAACCAGGCGACATTATGGGACATGGATCCATACAGATTCGATTGGGAGGATTCAAGGGAATGCTCACTGTCAAGAAAGACTTTCCACCCAATAAAATTGGATTGCGCCCGTCCATGGCAAAGTTCGCTTCCACCAATCGAATGCTAGAAGTCAAGCGGGTCTCAACGTGCCGAGAAGGGAAATCGCCCTTTAGTCAGGCGGTCCTCATCTTGAGAGACTTGGGAGTGCCATCCGATGTCTTTTTGGATCTTCAACGAATGGCCTGGTTTGACATTGCCGCTACGTACGATCCATCGGCGTTCCAAATCGTAAACAGCAACAACAACAGCAAGAAGAAACAAAATAAAAAGCCAGTGGACTACCAAGCCGTCTCGAGTTACCTCCAACGCGTGGCAAAACAGGGACTCAAACACAACCAAGAGAGATTCACCGCGCTAGAGTTGGATTGTATTGCCAAGAGAATGGAGGAAGGCAAACGGGCTGTCAATATTCGATGTTCCGTCACGTTGATGATGGGGGTGGTAGACGAGCACGACTACTTGGGACCCGGTGAAATTCTCGTGGGCAACGGGAGGGTCACGGGCACGGTGCTGATTTACCGACCTCCGTGCAATGCACCAGGGGACGTGCAAAAGGTCACGGCTCGAGAAGGAAGGAACGACGCGGTCGGTCGCGCTCTACGTGGATCGATAGTGTTCAGTGCCAAGGGGGATCGGCCCATTGCCGATATGCTCGCTGGAGGTACGTACAATGATACGTTGTCGGATGTGTTGGAAGAACGTTGCAATCAATCATGAAAGAGTGCTCACGAATCCAATCTAATCTATCATTGCTTCTGCGACCATGCATGCGGTGTCTCTGCTCATCTGATCTGACCGTACTGTTAGGCGATTACGACGGAGACGAGTACTTTATTGTCAACGATCCTGAATTGGTCGAACCGTTCGTACCAGTTCAACCATGTGATTTTGGAAGCCAGAAATCATCCTTCGACAAGACTATCGACATTCAAAAGTATTTCGAAGTTTCTCCTTTGACGGTTCCGCCCAATCTTGACAATCAGCTTGACGTGCTTCACAAGTTTTTCCGGCTTGGCAATATTGTGGTTGCTTCCGCAGACGCCTGGACTCGCGTCGCGGATAGGTTCGGCCTACAGGACTCCCGGGCAATGAGATTGTCCTCGGCTTGCCAACAGGTACGTGTATGAAATTTCGTGTCACTCTCATCACAACAGCTTCATTTAATAATAGGCAGCATCCCGCCCGCTCACGTGCCTCCGTTTCCTTTACCCCACAGGCTCTGGATGTCCGAAAGCTTGCTTTCTGTGACTATGACTTTGAAGAAATCGATTTGGTCCTTTCGGACAGTCACCCCGAACGCATTTCTAAGCCAAAGTGGAACGGGGGACCTGATGAGAATCCTTCCAACTCAATCAACGGGGAACTCTTTACAAAATGGGAAAACAAGATTTTGGACATCAAGAAAACAGCGGAGATACTACGGAAGAGAGAGGAAGATGGACTTAGCGATGCTGCTAGCATTATATCGGGTTACACAGAGAACACGCGACAATTTGATTCCACTGCAGGGAACCCATCTCTGTCGAGCACTATCGGAACAGAAATGCTAATCGACGCAACTTTTGGTCGTACAACGGGGTTCACTTCGGAGCCAATAAACTACGAGCAAATCACGGAGGAAGGTCGAAAACAGCTCATCAACATGGTACTATTGGAATATTGTGCCTCCCTAAAAAAGGACGGAAGAGCTACCGCCGCCCACTCGAGGAACAACGCGTACAACAAACCACGCTCGTACGACGTGCATCTTGTGAAAGTCAAAGGGTCAAACGAAGAGGATTCATTTCGCAGTACGGAAGAGTTGGCCGTCTGCATGCCGGTTCATTCCAGCAAGACGAATCGTGAGCTTGAGTGGCGTCTTCACAACCGCAAAGTTGCGATCGATGAAGTACACTCCAGGTGCCGGGTGGGGTCGCTGAGCAGCTTCTCCAGGATTCTTGACAGCCTCCTGTCCAACCCCGTGCCACCGCTGATGCGACAAGCATTGAAGCGGGAGGGATTGTGCAAGGCCGTCCTCCCAGAGGTAGTAGAAAATCTTTCCTTCGCGCAAGAGCTGAATTCATCTCAAAAGCAAGCTGTGGCTACCATACGGAGTTCATCGTTTCGGAAAGGGCCCAGTTTCTTTTGCTGCCAGGGACCCCCAGGGACAGGTACGTGACGTGCTATTCGATCTCCTTTGCCCTGCAGAAGTAAGTCATAATGTCCCTGACCCACTGGATGCACTGTTTCTTTTCCTACCGCAGGAAAGACGACTACCATCATATCAATGTGCTGTGCAGCGCATAAGGAGCATCAGGCAACTCTTGTTGTTGCACCCAGCAACGCCGCTGTTGCAAATGTGGCACGGAAGCTCGTGGAGACAACGGGAATATTTGGAAGCCGCAATGTCGTTGTCTGGGGAGATAACTGTGACGAATCAGTGAGTTTCTTGAACCCCAAGCGTAGGTACAAAGAGTACCTGAAATACGTCAGGGCAGACAATTCCGAAAAGAAGAAACTGATTCTCCAGGACATTGCAGCTTGGTTGAAACTCGATGACGTGGGAGCTTTTACTAGTGCAACATTGGAGGAACTATGTGGCGACGCAGACGGTAAAAGGAACGTATCATCGGCGAATGTGGTGCTCTGCACTTTGAACACGGCTGGCTCCCGCTCTCTCCGCAGCGCCATCACAGCATCTCATGCCAGTTTCCACATGGCAATCCTAGACGAGGCTAGCCAATCATGCGAGGCTGAGTTCTATGTGCTGACTACAGTTCCTGGAATCAAGCATATCGTTCTCGTTGGAGATCCCCGCCAGTTGGGTCCGACTGTTCTCAGTAGCGAATGCGAAGACCGTGGTTACGGCGTATCGTTCCTCAGTCGAATTCTCATGTATCACCCTGAGAAAGTCCATCTTCTGAATACGCAGTATCGGATGGAACCTTCCCCGTTATTGGATTTTGTCAATGGAACCTTCTATGGCAACAAGCTGAAATCTGATGTCTCTGTAATGAATCGCGAGCCCCCCATCAAAAACCAATTCTTGTTTGTGTCGACATCCAAAGATGGTTATGGCACGGAAGAGCGGCAACGCTTTTCATGGTACAACGAGTATGAAACGGGCGTCATCAAGACACTACTGCACACAGACCCAGATATCAAAAGCATCCTTGAGGATCCCCGTGGCGCACGTGTCCTTGTTATCACTCCGTACAAAGCGCAAGCTGAGCGCCTCAGTCGAGTCCTCCGGAAAGTCAAGGCGGTCAAATCGTTTGATGTCAGCACTGTTGACAGTTTCCAGGGGCAAGAAGGAGATGTCGTGTTGATTTCGACCGTGAGAACGGACTCAGTCGGTTTCACTGACAATGAGAACAGACTTTGTGTTGCGCTTACTCGTGCACGGCGGATTCTTAGAGTCGTGGGCGATTCTGAATTCATGAAAACGAAAACGAGCCATGAGTCAATCTTGCGGAAGTTGGCACTCTTCTCTGAGGAAAGAGGGCTCATCCAAGATGCTTCCGTTGACTCGGCAGCTTGGCGGAGACCCAAATGGAAGGCTGAAGATACCAGTTGGTTGGCAACGATGGTGCCCAGGTTCCACGGCTGCTTGAAACAGATGGATCCACGTGATTGCAATGTTGCATTCAATACACTTCTGGCCGTCGCGACACCACAGCTCAATTTGCTCAGAAGCAGGCCAAACGATAGCGATTCTGGACAATGGCAGACTTCTGCGCTGAGTAAATATGGTGGGAATGATCCAATCTGTGTCACATACATCGCAAAGCCGTTCATCAGCAGTGATGATGGCCGAGACTATGTCGGAATCATAGAAGCGCATTTTGCAGGACGACGGCACGAGTGCAACAGATTCGTGCAAACAAATCGAGTTCACAACGGAGCTGCGATCAAAGGAGACCTTAGCGGCATCAAAGGACCCACCACACAACAAATCGCTCCGGTGCACTCCGCCGAGATCGACCTTCGTAGCTGGATCGTTACCAGTGATGTCCAAGGCGCCATCATTGATGGGAATCTTGACGCGCTTCCAGATGGCCTTATCAATCTTGATGACCAGCAAAAGCGAGTGCTGTCCCTTCAGCCACCGTTGCTTTTGGAGTCTCGCTCCGGTACCGGAAAAACAAATGTGCTCTTTGCGCATGCAATCAGCTACCTCCGAGATTCCTTGTCTGACTACGAGGAGTCCACAAGCGTGCCCTCAATTCTCTTTGTCACTGTTTCGCCAACGCTCGGGAAGGAATTGCGAGAACGCTATGAATCGGTTTGCAGGATTTCACAGCTGCCAATGCCGCCAATTGCCTTCTTCTCATTCCGTGACCTACTCCAGCACTTGTTTCGCCGCTATCATGTGTATGATGTCATTGTTTCATCAGCTTGTTCATTCCGGCATTTCTACTACAGCAGAACTTCACACCAGGAACTGGCTTTGGAACTGTCGCTTATCGAAAATGAAATCGGAGGGCAAGTGCAAGGATATGCGTTCATGTCGTTCTGATGGTTACTGCCTGCCCATCCCTCACAAGAGCCGTTCCTTCCTCTCTTCTGACATAGAGTTATCCTGGGCGCACTGCAGGCTGCTTGCAAGCGGAGGCACCTCAACAAAGAGGAGTACCTCGAGGAGAAGAGGAGCAACATTCAAAACAAAACCGACGCAGGGATGAAGAGAAGAGAGCTTGTCTACGAATACTTCTGTGAGTATAAGAACTGGAAGGAGTCTAACAAGCGGTATGATCTGGGCGATCTGGTGTTGAAACTCCTTGAGATAAGCGACGAAAACAGAAATCTCGATGAATTCTTTGTGTCAGTCTACCTTGATGAGGTGCGTTTTTGTCAACCTTGCGCATGGAAGTTCCTCTCCTTGGTCATCTACTCACTCTTGATTGTTCATTGTGAAATTCAAGGTTCAAGATTTCTCGTATGCAGCTGTCTATATGATCTGCTCCATTGCTGGCAAAGTGCACGGGCAGTGGGTTGCAGCAGGTAAAGTAAAACTTTGTTTGGAGTGTGCGCAATTGCTGGCATCTACTGACCTATATGATTTCCCAATGCAAGGTGATACAAATCAAATGATATCTGCCGGTTGCAGGTAAGCTACAGGAAGACGGTTTTGTGGTGCAATCGACCCGTCATGGTGCATGCTCAGTTAATGTGCTTCCCTGCATGTACCTATACCGACAGCTTCAAATTCCAGGGCTTGAAGCAGGTACGAAAATGGTCCCTTCGGACCATCGCCTCTGTCTGCAAACCTCACACTCACACCTGCTACTCCAGACATTGTTGGAAGTAAAACCAGATGTAAATCTCTCCAAGACTGAGCAGCTGAGGCGAAATTGGCGGATGACCAAGAGTGTCCTTGAAGTGGGCAATGCCATTTTAAACACAATCAAGATAAATTTCCCTGAGCACATTGAGTACGCTCAACCTGAAGTGCCAATGAAGGACTTGGGCCTGAAAGTAACGCTTGTTTCCTGGCGAGATGCGCTGGAAATCAAAGCACGGATGGGGGTGAATCAGGTGAGTGCAGCAAACTGTTGTTCCTGTCCCCTGTCCCAGAGGCTGCAATCTGCTGTTCTCACAGGCTTCTTCGCAACTTCCAGGCAATCGTCTACGCTGCCTCGGGAAGTGCCGATTCTGAAGAAACGCTTCGCAAAGAAATGCTTGGGTGGTCTCATGAACACCCGTTCGTTCTTTCTTGCTTGGACGCAAAGGGACTTGAGTACGATGTGAGTGCACAAATTCATTTAGATCAATTTTATTGTTGTGAAAAACAAATTGGAACTGACATGCCAGGTTTTTGCGATCTTGAAGGATGTCATCGTCGCATTCGACAAAGATCGCAAGAGCTGGGATGTTGAATTTGAAAAGGGGAAGAAGGCTGGAAGGGACAGCAACGGTGTAAGTGCTTTTGGGTTGAAGTTGGGAGACGGCTCGTGGCTCCTGAATCGAAATCTAAAACTGAATAAATTGCGCTTCACAGAACGCTGATGCCCTTCGCAACCTTCGCGAGCTCTATGTCGCCATAACCAGGGCAAGGAAACGGGTTGTTGTGCTTGTCAAGAATGGCCGCCTGCACCGCGAGTTTTTCAAGAAACTCCCTTGTGAAAGCGAGCTAAAGGAATCTGACGCGAAAGAGGCTTTGCTCGACTTTGACGGAGAAACCGATGTTGAGGATTGGTTTGTTGCGGGTAAGCATATACTGCGCATTTCCCTGATACTACACGATGGTCTTTCTAGAAATCTCACTGCATTCTTCTCCGCCTCCCAGGAGAGACATATTACAAAAATGAAAACTACGGTCTCGCAGAGAGTTGCTTCATCAGAGCAAGCAACACGGGTTCGTTCGAGTCTTGCCTTTCTCTCCTTACCACCGTGGGCATCACCATGAATCCTCATCATCACATTGTTTGTTCGCGTTTCATTATCAGGTTGGTCCAACCGTGCCCAAGGAATGCGCCTACAATTCAAAGAGGGGCGCCTCGCAGAGGCAAAGATCGCATTTCGGAGAAGTTCCCTTGCTTTCTTCGAGCAGAACAGCTTTGAAAGTTGCTTGGACGTTCTAAAACAGATGGCAGAGTTAGACAAGTTGCCTTGGGAAGAACAAGACAACAAAACCCTGGACTTTGCGTTAAAAGAGTGCCCCAGTAAGTGTTTGTCACGCGTCTCATGCAAGACTTCTGTCGCCATGATGAAATCACTCATTGTGGCTCCTCCTGTAACTCCCAAGACCATTTGTCGCGACGCTGGACTGTCAAATTTGCAATCACGCGTAAAGCCTTCGATGTCATTACCTCCGAGGACATGACAGACAGTGAACTACAGTCTAAGTTCGTCGAAAAAAGGAATGAAAAGTGGCTGAAGGATAAGATCCGGGGCATGAACGAAGATGAACGAAGCGCCGTTGCCACCGCATTGCCGCTCATCGTCGGTGATTACATGAGCGACCAGAAGCTATTTGTCGATGCTGTGGATCTGTTTTTGCTCGGAAAGGATGAAACAGCGGCCGTTCGGGCAACGGAGAGTGCCATCACTCTCGGAAAATTTGAAGAAGTTGACATTGGGCGTGTTGTCTCGAGCTGGAATGAATATGGCGAGACCTCCAAACAGAACAGTAGTCGCATGCTCAAGACGCTTCGTTTTCTCTTCAGAAACCCAACAGAAGCGTCCAAGACAAAAGCCAAGGATATTCTTAGGCAGTTTGGGAAGCGCACGGTGCAACTGGCTGTCATGGAGTCTTGCAAACACACCAACATCCCGGCAGTGTTTTACAGATTCGACAAAGAGAAGTTTGAACCAGAAATCGAAAGCGGTAAGTCAGCCATCGAACGGGCAATGCACCTCTGGCCGGCCAGCAGCAGCTCCTTTGTTGTCTTACCACTGCCCTTCAGCCTTGGTCGAGCTTTATGGAGAGAATCCGATCGAAATGGTCACTTTCTTTTGTGAACACAACGACCGCGTCAAGGCGAATTTTGCAGTAATGGACTACTTGAAGGAGTTTTCTGACGACGTGCTGCTGCACAAAATATTTGGATCCTTGGCGTTTCGCGATGTAGACATTGTGGAAGAAATTGAACGCCGCAGCATGCTATTGGAAGCTGTGAAGGTCTGCCTTGATCCTGAGTTCAAAGATATCGCAAAGGCTGCTGAACTTGCAACCAACTTGCTATCCGACGAATCGACCATTTCACCTGAGACAGCAGAAGTCTTATTCCAGGCCTTCGCCCCATGGTTGATGACGGACCAACAAATTGTCAAGGGCATCAAACAAGCGGGTCAAACGAAGGAGAATCTGTATTTGCTTCTTGGACTTTTCCAGAATCCAGAAGAAATGAGCATGAAGGAAGCCCGTGGGGACTGCATGACAAAGCTGGGGAAAGATGTTGTGAGACATGCGGTCACTCGACAAGCCCGCAATGGAGGTGCCTATTCAATTCTCTCCAAATTTGACCGTAAAGCCTTCGAAGATTTGAAGCCTCAACGGAAACAGCAAAAATCACCACAAAAGCCAAAAGCACAAACCAGCTCCAACTTGATTCCCGGAGACAGAGTTCGCGTAAAGGGCCTGGTGAACTCAGCTTTTCTGAATGGGGTAAGCGTTTTGCGGCATGGAATATGTTCCTTTGTTATCTCTCGTTTTCTCAACACTGGTTCACGGTATCGTCGTCACAGAAACAGGGCACTGTCACTTCTCCGGTAAGTTCTGTACCACCCAAACGACGTAATCATGATGGCGGCATGCCACTCACATATCGCGTTTCCCTGCATCTTTAGCTGAGCAATACTGGAAGACATGGTGTGCGTGTTGACGGGTACAAAGAACCCAAATCGATCAGATTGGCGAATCTCGAGAAGATCGAGAAGTCTGAAGACGAAAAAAAGCCGCCGGCAGACAACCTGAAACCCCCTCCTGTCGTCTCCTCGCAAACTAACGACAGCGACAGCGAGCCAGACAACCGAAAGCCTCGCAGTCACCCAAGCAAGAAGAAGGATGCGAATGACAGTGACGATGACGACGACAGGTAAGCCCAGATACTTGCGCGTTCGCCCACCCATCACAGCGGCATCGTGATGGCATGCAGCATGCTGCTCACATGTCGCTTTTTCATGCATCTCCCCAGTGACAGCGATCGCCTGCCTGGGTTGGTCAAACGCCCCACACAGGACTCATCGGATGAAGAACGGCGGAGGCAGGGGCAGAATGCCCAAGGTGGGGTTTCACGTGACGAAGGGGCGCCGAGACGACGCCGAGCGCACCACGACGATTCGTCTGCAGATGAGTCTGACGGTGCTCCTCGAAGCTTTGACCGAGAATCAGACTCCGACTCGGGCGGAGGATCAGAGAGCTCAGATGATGATGATGATGAGGGCGATTGCCCCCCTCTCATGGCTCGAGAAGAGAGTAGTGGCGCTTCCAGCAACAACAGCTCGGGTTTTGGGGGTGCAAGCGACACGGAGGATTTTGGCAGCGAGAGCGACGGTAACGGGTATGTGTTTGTTTCGTGTTTGTTTCCAAGCAAGTGCTTCGATTTGTGCCGCCCTCCTCACGCGTGTTCCCTGCAACTCGTTCCCAGCCCCGTCCCTCCCGGTCTGGTGGGACGTCCCCACAGGCACTACGGCGATAGTTCGGACGATAGCTCTTCCGATGGTACCCCTCCGCCACTATTTCAGCGGGACCAGTTAGATCACAGTAGTAGCAGTGACAGGTAAGTCATTTCCCCACCATCGCAACTTCAGAGCGACGGTAACGGGTATGTGTTTGTTTCGTGTTTGTTTCCAAGCAAGTGCTTCGATTTGTGCCGCCCTCCTCACGCGTGTTCCCTGCAACTCGTTCCCAGCCCCGTCCCTCCCGGTCTGGTGGGACGTCCCCACAGGCATTCGGACGATAGCTCTTCCGATGGTACCCCTCCGCCACTATTTCAGCGGGACCAGTTAGATCACAGTAGTAGCAGTGACGGGTAAGTCATTTCCCCACCATCGCTACTTCATCCTCGCATACAATCATGCTGCATGCTTGTTTCTCAAATGTTATCATTCACTTTTGCTCGGATTTCACAGCAGCGAGGAACACCAGTCAGATCACAGTAGTAGTAGCAGTGACAGGTAAGCCAATTTCCCACCATCGTAACGTCGTCATCATCATGCTGCCTGCTGCTCAAATGCATTTCACTTTTCTCTGATTTCACAATAGCCCACCACCCTTGCGCAACCAACCGGTGGCCAGGTGAGCAAGGAAATGTCCCCCGCTCATTCACTCACTACAACAGCATACCCCTCACATATTATTATGTATCGCCTTTTCCTGTATTTCATAGATCTTCGATGGACGCTTCGAGCGACGAGGATAGTGACGAGGACTTTGAGACATTTCGATGGGGGGGCGCTCAACAACCCCGACGGGCGGCTCCGCCTCCAGTTCCTCAGCAGCAGCAGCAGCCACCCGCCGCCGCCGAAGGTGGCCGTCAGCAAGGACGCAACAGTGAAAGACGAAAGAAAGCCAACCGAAAGAAGGGTGGACGCAGGAAGTAAAGGGTGTTGGCTAGCTAGACATCCCCTGTTTCGTTTTTGTCTTTTTCACAGTCTACCAGTAGATACTGTTAGTTTCGTAGTTAGTTGTTGGAATTGTGACATTGGCCTCCGCTGGCTTGTATTCTCTCAAAGCTTGCGATACCTTTTCCCTGGCTGCCTTCTTGGTGATTTCAAACCACTTTTGGGTTTCCGTTTCCTCCTTGAGAAAGCGCCGACCTTCTTTTTTCATTCTGTCTACAATCCCCCAGCTTATACTGGTCTTATCCTTCCTCCTTTGAAGAGTGTTGTAGATAGGTTGGGCCTCGCTGATGACTGCTAGATAGTGGATATTCCCATCCCAATGATTGGTCCTTGACCCACGGCCACACAAGATGTCCCGATTCGTTTTGTCGAAATAATCTTTGACCGCCGGATCTTCCCTTCGATTCCTGTTTCTGCCTCCTGTGGGTGCTGAGTTTGGAGCGGGTGCTACGTTTGGAGCGGGTGCTGCACCGTTGGTTGCACCGGTAAAATGAGGAGTATAATCGCTGAACCAATCGGAACGGGCATCGCCACCAGGGCACACAACTGTTGCTTCATTGCTTTGCTCGGGACCTTGAAGACTGGCGGCACGCTTTTGGTTGCCGTTTTCCATTGGCGGCTCTGCTCTGTCTCCGGGTGTGCACTCCCCGAGCTCTTGAATCCCTGTTTGCAGTGTATTGGGCGAGACTCCGTCCGGATTGGCTGAGCCAAGATCGGCACTTATCATGAGATCTGCCAGCATATCCATACTACAGAAATCACTCCCTGGACCACTTCCAGCACCTGTAGCCGGGGACTTATTGCTGTTGCCAGGGCTTGTAGCTCCCATCATTACATGATTGAGAAGGGACTTCTTAGAGTGAAAAGCATCTCCTGCAGCACCAGGGCCATGGAATTGATTGTTATCGACTGCAGCCGGTTTTGCATCAGTGCTTCGGTGCCGATTGTTCTTGGTGGCTTTGAGTTTACAGCCACATTCCGGGCAAAACTTGGCTCCCACCGGTGTGGTGGCTCCACATTCTCCGCAGGCATTCGGGTCGGAGCTTGTGGGCTGCTTTCCAACCACTGCATTGCCGTGTTTGTCGGCGTTCGCTGTTTGATTGGCATTGGAATATTGTTCTCCATCCATGGTCTTCTGCAACACACAGTCCTCCACATTCTTAAAAGCACCAGGCCGTTTCATAGTATCAATACTGTCAAAGTCACTGCGTCGAGCTGCCCCCAGAGAATCCTCTGTTTTTGCTGTTGCTGGATCATTATCGATACTGTGCATCATGGGATGATGCAACAAATCGACACTGGCAAAGGGACCGAGGGATGGTCCCAACAGCCCAAACTCCAATTGCGGCAGCGGCACCATGGCCGATCCGAGAAACAGTTGTTCCGCGTCTTGTACCATATCGACACTGGTGATTGTGTCAACTGTTTGAAACATGGGCCCCAATTCCAATGAGGGGCACGAGGAGGATCGTCGTAATAAGGCAGGTCGTTCCACATTTGGCAGTCGTGGATTGGTATTTGGTGTTGGACTTGTTGCTGCTGGCTTTTGTGGTTCGAACTCGTTGTTGCTGGTGATGTCCATGGCTTGTCCCCAGTCGATGGAAGGAAATGTATTTTGAATTTCCTCAAAATCGGCACTCTGAAAGAGACTCCCAATGGACGGACAGGACGACCGCTTCCTCTTGACAATGCCTGGTTTTGTCAGTGATGGCATTGCGGAATCTGCGGTTAAAAAGTCACAACTGGCAAATTCTTGATTGGAAGAATCGTACGATTGAAACTGTTGACAGGAATTGGACCGTTTCAGTTTGGGCCGCTGTTGTTGTTGCCCTTGTTGTTCTAATTGCTGTTTGTAGACATCTCCCAGAAACTGTTGCAACTTGGATCCAGTGGATTCCTGTCCTAGTACAATGGGAGGTTGTTCCATGCTCATGCATCGTGTGGTTTCAGTGGTACCGTCTTGTGGTTGTTTCTGTTGTGTCCGCCCAACATTATTATTGAGTAGAAAGTAGGGTGTGGTTTGTCGACATGTCATTTTGGTGGGTCTGTCACTGGCTCCCAGCAAGGATGGTTTGCGGGGCTTCTTTGAGTCACCAGTTGTCAATGTAGTGGAAGTGTCGAGTGCCGCAGCGGAGAACGCATTGATGGTGGTGGCCATGGAGGATCTGTGGGTGACCGTGTGGAGTCTCATTTGTGAGACACCATGTGTGGCCCAACGAGATGCCAATTGTGCTGCTGCGGAATGTTGTAGTTCGAGTACCGTGGTTGTTCCAGTAATTGGATTGGCAAAGGAAATGAGTCCTGCCATTTCGTGTTGCACTTGTTCCTGATAATTGGTGTTGTCAAAGAGCATGGATCCTCGTAGGTACTCCTCCGCGCCATGCTCGGAAGGCAAATTGGAAGTGACGGGCAATCCATGTAACTTTTGTTGCGTAATGTGCTTGAGTTTTTGGAGTAGATTGTAGATTCCAGGGCGAATGACCTTGTTGTTGTGAGGATCGTGTTTCTGCGTCATTTGCACGTGAAGTCTTCGTTGGAGTTCCTGTGCTGTATTGTGTTGTTGTTTGTTATTGACCAATTGAAGCGTGTAAGTGTGCTGTGGCGGTGGATCTGGATTGAATTGATGTGCCTGTTGACATTCTTGACACAAAAAAAGCCCCTCTTTGGAAATGGGGCAACTCTGCACATCTTGTTCCGTGTAATGTCCATTGCATGTTTTTGTAAGATAATTGGGACACTGGTAGTGACTTGTGTTGGCGGCGTTGAGCTCTTGCTGTTGCAATTGTGTTTTCAACAAATGCAATTTGAGCTGGATGACGTGGACCGCCTTGTTCAAGTCGACGTAATAAAACTGTGCCGTTTCCTTCCTCCTATAAATTCGTTGTTGGGATTCCGTCACCACAATGCCACTGACCGTCTCTACATCCACCCAATGTTGCTTTTGCAAAAAGACCAAGGCTGCCTTGACTTGTTTTGTACTCAGATGCAATCCCGCACCCATCCCGGGACCGTCCCGCAAAAATTTGACTCGCAGCAAAAAGTCCACCACCACCACGTGCTGATCTTCGTAAAAGGCACGAGCGGCAGCACGAACAATCTCTTTGGCCACTTCGGTTTGTTCAAACTCATGCCCCGTGTCGTACGCGTCTTCCACGTAGGAACGGTACCAACGGGGGCGATTCGTGACTTGCATCTTCTCCTCCAAGTCCATCTCGTCTTTGCTACCGTCATTGTCGTTCTTCATGGTAATAATGCTGGTAGACTTATTGCATGGATGCACCAGAGGAGAAGACAACAGGGTTCAACTTTGAGGGCTGTACAAGTACAAGACTAGTAGCAAGTACCAGGTACCGTAGTAATTGTGAGATCTTTGTCTTTGCTTTTCGAGAAGACGTTTGCTGTGATGCGGGCGGCCTGGTCCCAAAACGACTCTAGCTTTCCAAATATAAAGATGCGTGCGAGTCCAATCGCGCTTCCTTCCACCCCTTTGTTGTTTCAGTGGATGGCATGCTTGCCCCTCAAGCCAAGACTCTCTTACAACGCCTTGCTTCTGCTACTGCCTCCAAAACTCAATTTTCCTACTCTCAAATGATGTTCTTCATGCAGACCCGTATCTCAATTGCCCTTGTGAAAGCTACCCATTTATGTCTCCGTGGATCCCGCAAAGCCAAACCCTTTGCCCCCCGTAATGGTCCTCAATTTCTTGCCCCTGATCCCACAGAACCTAGTCCTGAATTTCGACTGTTCTTTGCTTAAGCCTGGCCCCGGCTGGCTTCCGTAGATAATTTCCCTACTCTAAAACCCCCCTTATATACTCTAGCTAGTAGAGGGCTTCTCATTTCCGTTTGGATTCGGATCCATGGAGACGTGCTTCGAAGCGTAAAGCCAGCGAAGCTGTCACGTCCACGTTTCGTCGCTCTGTCTCGGTACCGGTACCTGCTGTCATCCAGGGCGAGGGGGGAACCAAAGCAGAGGAGCACGAACCATTTTGATCTTTTGGCTGTTCAAGCCGCGTGAAGCCAAAACAGAAACCGAAATAGCTAGCAAAACGTCGTCTCGTTGGAAGCAAGCAAATTTTTCTTGTGAGATTTAAAAAGAAGAAAGGGCATACAGGTTCTGGCGAGCTAGCTACCTAGTTAGCTACAAGAATCTCCATGAAAGTCGCCTTTCGTGATGGCAGTCAAGTGCATGGTGACCTACAAGCAGATCAACAACAAGGAAGGAGCATGCCTTGTATATCGGACTGTTATTAGTAGTAGTAGAAGCGTTGGATGATCTGCTACCAGGTAGTCCGTTACATGATCGTGGAGAAACGATCAAAAACGTGGAAAAAACTCATCGTGGAGAATTGTTTCTTTGCGCAGCCTCAACCTGCGATGGTTGGAGAACAACAGAAACAACACAGTGGTGCTACACATACACAAGTGCATTGCTCCGTCATGTCCACTGCTGTACAGATTATCATAATAATATTATCATGACGTATTGGCCACTAGCTAGCTTCAAGAAAACAAAGCGCCCCCTTCGATGGTACTACTGTACAGTGTACCTGTGGGACCAGCTGCATGTATAGATTCTGCTGGCATGTTAAATTTATTGTCAATCTTATGCATCAGTTGTTCTCCTTGGGATGGATACGATGTGGAGAAGCCTGTGGGCATGGTTGGAGTGGACAGGGTTGGCTTCTGCATCTCGAAAGTTCTGGATTTGCTCCTCAATTTTCGATCTTTTACAGTACCTGGTACCAGCACGGAATCGAATCGAATCATTCAATCATATCGAGTCTCAATCGAATGATCGAATGACTCGATCGCCCCCACAGCCAAACAGCAAAAAGAACAGCAAAAACCACCAAAGAACAACACTCCTTTTAACGCGTTAACGTATATCTATTATATCTATAGTAGTGTACTATTTGTTCAGACAACAACAACGACGCTCTATTAGCAAGCCCCAGCAGTGGCTACAGCAGAGACAAACAGGAACGCAAACAGAGCAGCAAGGCTGAGAATAAGGTTCCATGGATCCCGACGGCTCTCGAGATCATCCTGCGGATCAAGGAGATGACACCCGTGTACCAGTACCAGCCATGCTTCCTGTAGCTTCAGCGACTCCTATTGTGAATCAGACTACTATTAGCACTGCTACCGAGACTCCGCTTGTTCCGGTGGAACTCTTGGACGATACAGTGGATGAAGCAGAAGAAACTCCTCTTTCCCTACCCAGAAAAGGATTGCGCAACAATCACAATGGCCCCACAACCACAGCCACAGCCACAACAAATCAACAAGTAACCGCCACAAGAGAACGTACATCGGCAGCTGTGGCCAAACATGGACTCAGACAGAGACCCAACCAAGCTCATTCAAACCAAGCTCAGACAGCTGTTATTGTTCATGATGGTGCTGACACTCCTCAAGCTACCGCTGCTACGTTCGCTGCTGGCCATAATGCCAGCAGCATCAATAACAACATGCTTGATGAATCGGAATCCAGGCTGTTGGTTCCAAATTCCTCTTCATCTGGAGGCCTTTGGACAAGTTCCATGATCCATGCCAAGACAGAGGCAGTCAACGATTCACCAGTGACGAGCCCACCTCAGCATGGTCTTGGAGAGCAAGACACAGAAGCACCAAACCCACCCGGCACTTCGTTGACACTCAACACTGTTACATCCACTGGTAGGAGCACAAGTAATGACATCAACAAAAACCAGCAAGATGAGGACAGCATCTCATGTCAAATGCCAAGGAGAAGATGTTGGATTCTGACCACAATTGTTTTAGTTATCCTCGCTGCAGCGGTTGCCGTGGCTGTTACTCTGGTTGTTTCTGGTGGTGGCAATAATCAAGATGGTGGAGCAGTGGAGGCAATGCTGGGACAGCAACCTTCTCTAACTGGTTCCGGTACCGGTACAACCCCTGATGTTGCTACTAGCGGTACAAATCCTACTACTGATCCTATCACAGCAGTGCCTGCACCAACCAAATCATCATTTTTGACATCCACAAATGTGACAGTACAACCCACCAATGATCCAGCCGATAATCCAACTACCATGATTCCTTCCAGCAGTCCATCAATGGAGCAAGCTATTCATACAGCAACTCCAACCAAACAACCATCCCAAAAACCAACCCTTGACCCAACAGTCCAACGAACTACCAAACATCCTACTCCCTATCCAACTACTAATCCACCCTCTCCCAGTCCCACTGCACAACCCACGACTCGTCCGCCTACCATCATAACACCACCAGGAACAGTCGAGTTCTTTGGCATAACGTATGATGTTGCAAATGCTACAGCAATTGATCGATTCAATAGGGGTCTCACTGGAACCATTCCGGCTGAGGTTGGACTGTTGACTGCGCTGGCTTATTTGGAATTGTCTGGCAACCAGTTGAACGGAACAATTCCATCTGAGATTGGATTGTTGACCTCATTGGCTGGGTTGGGGTTGAATAATAACCGGTTGAGCGGAACCATTCCTTCTGAGATTGGATTGATGACCTCATTGACTGGGTTGGGGTTGGGGTTGCATGATAACCAGTTGAACGGAACAATTCCATCTGAGATTGGATTGTTGACCTCATTGACTGAATTGTCTTTGTCTGCAAACCAGTTGACCGGAATCATTCCTTCTGATATTGGATTGATGACCTCATTGACTGGGTTGTGGTTGTATAACACCCAGTTGAGCGGAACCCTTCCATCTGAGATCGGATTGTTGACCTCATTGACTTGGTTGTGGTTGCAAAACGACCAGTTGACCGGTACCATTCCTTCTGAGATTGGATACTTGACAGCATTGGCTGATTTTTCTTCGAGTGGCAACCAGTTGAGTGGAGGTGTGCCTACCGAGATTGGTTTGTTGACCTCATTGCGAGATATGCGGTTGCATGACAACCAGCTGAGTGGCAGTGTGCCCAGCAGTCTTTGTTCCGACCCTGGTTTGGAGGTGATACAGGTTGATTGTGCTCCAGATCCATTTCCTGTAGAGTGTACATGCAGTGCATGTGAATGTCGCTAATAAAGACTACTGGTACCTTAGAACAACAAAGGAAGCTACAGTTGCTAGAGTACTAGCAGTGGGTGTTTTTGTGATGGTCGTCTTTGCGTTGTTGCTCTTTTGCTTTTTAAGGCTCCGACTGGCTTCCGTACATTAAATCCACGATGCTCCTAAATACTTTGTTTCCGCATAAAGTACACCGTCGAACTTCGAATTACTGAGGGTCGTCGTGTCGTCGTACTCGAATGATCCATGGAATAGAATAATATTATTGCAATTATCGTCAGTATTAATATCCCCAACTCTAAGTTTGTTTAGTCCAACGGTCGCCATCTAACTATTTTCGGTGGTCCTTTTTTGGTTGACAAGATCCACTCCCACAGCACAAAGACTGGAAAACCAAACGAGAAAACAACCATGAAGCAACACCCTTCGGCCGTGTCAATGCAAATGCAGTAGTCACTCAACAAGTAGATAGATAGATAAATAGAAAGCAAGCCAAAGTGAAAGACAGATAGAAACCATGATCAAGAGGATACGCAGCCAAAGAACTTTGTCTCGGTACTTGCTATACTACGCAGGCCTACTAATAATAGCAACGCAATGCCGGTATACCACCGGACAAGCACAATTCTTCACGGCCGTTCCGTCCACTGAAACAGGCACAGAAGAGTCTGTTCCAACGGCAGAACCAACGACTCCATTCCCGTCGGCACTACCCACTGTTAGCAACATGCCTTCCAGGTCTGCAAGGCCAACGGGGTATCCCTCCATTATGCCCACGAATTACCCAAGTGTCAGTTTTCAGCCATCTAGAAAACCCTCTCAAGTGCCTTCACTGGGTCCAACGACTTCCAAAGCACCTTCACTTTCACCATCTTTCTCTATAAGACCTTCCAAGTCACCTTCACTTACTCCCACAGACCTGCCAAGTTGGTTGCCTTCCTTAGATCCTACCGAAATACCGTCTCATAGTCCCACCAATTTCCCTACTGCCAGTGCTCAACCGTCTTTTCAGCCATCAATTGCACCCACCAATAGTCCAGAACCATCGGATCAACCTTCTGATGTACCCACGGTCAGCTCCGCACCTTCCAGTTCTCCTTCAGGAACTCCTACCACCAGTCAAAGCCCGTCCGCACAACCCAGTCTCAGCAGTAGGCCTTCCATATCTGTACAGCCCAGTTTTGAACCATCTTCCACACCTTCTTCACAACCGTCCGTTTCCTCAAGACCGTCCATGGCGCCTTCTGTATCTCATGCCCCAACCGCATCCAAACAACCCTCTGATCAACCTAGTGATGTTCCATCCGATGTACCCTCCATGGTCCCAACCGTATCCGCATTCCCCAGTACCGAACCAAGCGAATCACCCTCCCGACTGCCTTCCACAAGTCCCTCTTACAGTCCATCGGCACTCCCCAGTGCCGCACCCACGTTTACACCCACCAATGTCACACGCGTCCTTGGAATGGTCATTCAGGGACTCGACACTTGGAGAGTTACAAACCTTCATGCCGATCAATTTGCACAACTCATTGACAATCACACCATGCAATTCTTTGGACCACAACAATCTACCAATTGGGCAACGGTCGTTTACGCATCCTCCACCAGATACGAACGAGCCATTCGACGACCATCGCCATTTTGGGGCGATTTGAGAAATGAATTCTTGGATATCACATCGGCTCCCACATCTGCGGTAGTATCGCAATTGCCAGAAATACCGGGAGGTACCAGACGGTCGTCCTTTGATAATACAAGACAATCCACAGTCTTTGATATCATTGGAGATAACAACAACAACAATACTCAAACAGACACCTTGTTGCCAACCACGGCACCGACATTTGATTTTATTCTAGTTGCCGATGACGATGATGACAATAATAACACAACGATCGGCGAACATAATGAAACAATCAACATTACAGTAGCTCCGTCTGCGAATCCGACAGTTTCTCATGAACCCTCCATGACTCCTTCAAGAGCGCCGTCGATTGCACCCTCCATGACCATTACTCCCTCACTCAACCCCACAGCAACCTACGCACCCTCTCATCAACCAACATCACTACCGGGAGTACAGACAAACCAAGTCTGGTACGAACAAACCATTGTCTACGGAGAACGATTTGCACCCTTTAATGATACCGAAGGCGCCTTCAATGACCCACGGACAACCTCCATTGACGAAATATTCCAATTGCCGTTCATGATTGACCAAACCAGATTCACAGAAGAACTCATTCGAATCATCAACAACCAGCTGCCGATTGTGGTCGAGTTTGTAGAGGTTCGAACCACCGAATCTGCCGCTCCTTCGGTATTTGAGAGCCCCGAACCGTCGGATGTACCCTCTGCTGTGCCCACCGGACAACCCTCTCCCGCACCGTCGGTGGAAGCCACAGGAGGATTGACCACAACGGCAATCATTGTAGCCGTGACGGTGCCCGTCGTCGTGGTGCTATTGATTGCCTTTGCCGGGATTATCTATGTGACACGCGTCGACCATGACGAACTGCTTCGTTCAGCTCCTCACGAGGAAGAGTCCACGTACGGAGAAGATTTGCCGGTACCGGTTCCCTTTCCACTCGACCCAAACGTACCACCCGGAGAAGGAGGAGGCAGTGGAGTAATGGCCGGTGGTGGCAGTGGCGCAATGGGTCGTGGGGGTACGCCGGGAGCGGGTGGCGCCCATGGAACCTCCGAAGATGTGAACTATGGAAGACCGGCTGTAGACCCGCTAATTGAACCGTCGGAACTCTTGGCGGTCAGCCAACATCTGCCTGACACTCCCACCGTTGGGGAAGATCATCCTCCCATTGTCACGACACGAGGACGAGCCAACAGTGGAAACTCCATCGGCATGATGCAAAGCGTGAGCGCCATATCGGAGTTCAGCGCTCATACGCCCGATGACCGTAATCGACGTGTTCCGCAGGGAACACCCCTGGGAACACCTGGATACCTGTCTGCCTCAGGGACGCCCTTGCCGTAAGTACATGGTCCGAGTGCCGCGGACAATTTTTGTTTCACGGAGCATTTTCTAACCCCCGTTCGTCGCTTGTGCTCGTTTGTCAGCCCTGCCCCGCCAACTCCTCAACGTTTGGGCCGTGCTGTCTCCGCCGGGGGCATTCCGTCTACTCCGACCGAGAGACATTCTCCGTTTCAAGCAGTTCGGGGTGGCATTCCTACAATTCCCACATCACAATTGGGAAGCTCGGAAGCCTCCTTTGTCCCAAGTGGAGGTGGCAGTCCTGGCGTAACCACGCCCGGTGGCGGCCCTGATGATGGGCCACCGGCAGGTCTGGATGATTCTCAACAGCAGGTTGCGGTTAGCGAATCCGAGGAATCCGACAGTGAGGACGATCCTTTCCAGTACGTAGAATTGTTACTGTTTCGCTGGATGGCACATTGTGCATATATGCTTTGATTTTTACAAGTGTGCTAACGGTGACTTCCTCGTCTTTTTGGCAACGATCTTTAGCTTGGCTGGCTTCAATCTACAAATCCAGGACATTGACGATTTTCAATAGTGTACGGTGCCCAATGCCGTGCGAGCCTTGCATCGTTGCAGTGCCACTTCAAGGACCACAATCGAATTTTTCATGAGCAAGGAAACAATGTTGATGGGAAAGTGCTGCACCACCAGTGCTTTGTCAAGAGGCAGGATTTGGTTTCTGTTTCATCGAGCGGCCAAGGAGGACAGTGCTAGTTTGGGGGTGTCCATCACGAATACTTGGTCAGATTGGCGTGGTTCGTGATAGAGGAGGCTGTACATACTAATTGCTACTTTTGCGTTACACATAGCTAGTAACTAGTGCAGCACTCGATCCTTGTGCAGTCGACGAAGTATTGGAACATCAAAATATCAAGCTTGCAAAGGAGCAGTGGCATCGTCCCTGAAAGCTTATCATTGTCCTGTAAAGCGAAAGTTCGCAAATCTGAAGACAAGCAGGAAGCACCGAGGATTGTTGGTTGTTTGGAGGCAAAGCCTAGGACACATGACACTAGAGAAAGACGAACTTACTTGATAAAGCCCCCAACTCTGAAGGAACTGTTCCGCTCTGCCAATGAAATGCAGTGCATATCTGAGGTGAGAATTCTGAATCCCTGTTCTGATACAACACACCTGCCTCGAGACGACGAAAGGTGCCTTACCAAGTCATTCCGACCCAAACGAAATTCGTTCAGCGTCGTAGCGAGCCCAAGCTCGGTTGGGATCGTGGATGTCAGATCATTGCCATCCAGAGATAAGAAAAGGAGGTTTGGCATGGTGCCAAACTCAGACGGAACAGGGCCGGTCAAGTTTTGGTTGTCAAAAATCCACATTAGCTCGAGATTGCTCATAATTCCTAACTCTGTTGGCAGCCTGCCTGAGAGAGAAGGATTCTCGCTGACAATCAACTCTTGTAGATTGCGGCATTCACCTATCTGAGTCGGGATGCCCCCTGTAACCGATGTCTGTTCAACTGACAGCACTTCAAGGTTTGACAGCAAACCCACAAAGGTTGGAATCTGCGAAAGGAAGAAGGATGAAATCAATATCAGCTTCAAAAGATCCAAAGTGCACGCAATGCAAAATTCAGTGCAAGAGAAACGAAGAATGGCTGACCCGGCTACTCACTGTTCCAGTCAGACCACGCGATTCTTTCGCTGTCAATTGGACCAAGCTGTTGGTCAAATTGAATAGCTCGGCTGGCCAAATATTGGACAGCGGAGTCGTCGACTTAACATGCGCAACGTTGAGCTGCTCAATGGACAACAATCCAATCTCTGGAGGAATCTCGTGACGAGGTGGGGACCCATTCTCAGCGACTGTACAGTTGTCGTTGGGTCCTCGGCAGCCGTTTACCAAGATTTCATCGCCAGAACCACGGTAATCCAAGCGCAACGATAGGATCTCGTAACGGCCAGAGGAATCGCATTTTGAGAGGTCATCCACGCTCCACAGCCAGTCGCATTCGTCCGTGTCATGCTCGAACCAAGGCATGTCTTGGTCTTCCTCGGAGTGATACAGTGCAAAGTAGATTGTTGCCATCGCAAACCGTTGCTGCTTTCTCCACAGAGGGTATCCAAGAAATAAATCCTCTTCTTGAAGCCATTGATACGCCATGTACTGAGGAGCGTCGGGATCTTGCTCCTCCAGAATAGCCTGGGTTGCTGAAGGCAATGTGTTTGTGAATGGTAGTCCTGCGTCGGCTATTACTTCATCATAGTTTACCTCGTCTGATCCCTTGCTTCGAGTAGCCACAGCAGCGACAATAGCAATGATCGCCACGACAACTATAGCACAGGTCACGCCGATGCCTGTAGGCGTGAAGAACCAAAGTCTCTCCTTGTTATCACCAATTGGAAAAGTCGCTTGTTCTCTGGCCACATCTTGATCAACCGTGAGCTCTCGTGGCAAGTTTCCTTGGGAACGCGCAACGGGCACGACTTCAGCTTCGAATTCCATGTCAAATTCTTCTCTGTCAAGTTCTTCGCTGACTTCGTCCTCTTCTACGGATGCTCGAATACTAATCGTGGGAGGTAGAGACAATGTGGTCGACTCGGGACGACGAGGGCTGAGAAGGCTGATATGACTGAAACGGTCTCCTCTTTCTTGCTCTTGACTTTCCAAGGTGGGCCCAAAGTGGCGCTCAAGCTTGGCGTTGATTGCGTCTGCAGCTTGGGTGTCGTTGCTGCTCACAGCCCCAGGACGACTCTCAGCACCGACTTTCGCGCGATATCTTTCTTCAAGTTCTTCTATATTATGATCCGTGGTGGCGGTTCCAATGCTTCCATCCATTTGTGCTCTGTAGGAGTCTTCTCGTCCCTGCATGGTTTGCGTTCCGCTTCCCACCGACCTTATTGACGAACCAGGCTGGTATCGGAAACTAGAATTTGGAGTCCCGCCCGCTCCTCTCATCTTGATATTTTCATCTACAGTCCTGAGACTATCTTGTGAACGTGCCATATGCTTGCCTTCTTTCGCCGACGCTTGTTCCCCATCGTTTTCCCTTGAAGCTCCTGGCATGCTCCGGCTAGATTCATCCTCCATGGCACCGCTGCTGGCAGAGCTGGCACCGCTTGAAAAGCTTCTGTTTGACCTGACAGATGCTCGCCCTCTCAATCCAGCCTTTCTGGCGTAAGCGCCATTATCTGTGGAAAAAGAGGCGCCAGGAACACTGACCATACTGGCATTCATGCTGTCAATGCTGTAGGAGCTCCCGTCCATTGATGTATCCTCCATTCGACTTCTGCGCATCGACAAAGCAGCCTTTCTGGCAATAAACCCATTGTCTGTGCTGAATGATGCTCCAGGAACGCTAGCTCCTCCTCCGCCATTGCTGACTGTGCTGACTGTGCTGACTGTGCTGATGGTGCTGTTGCCGACAGATTCGTGTCGTCTGAAATTTGGTTCTCGAGGGCCAATGGGGTTGTTGTCGCCGCTGATGGTGCCAAGAGCACCACTTTCGATGGATTCCCGCCTTCGAAGGCCTGGCACACGTCGTGGATGCGGCGAGCCTCCTTCGTTGCTTCCAGTGGCACCGCCAACGGACTGGAATCTTCGAAGCCCCGGAGTGCGGATACTGCTGTCGCCAGTACCGACGGAAGCGTACCTTTGGAGGCTGGGAGGCGTTTGCTGCTGTAGGTTGTTGGCTGTTTCCGAAGAGCGACGGCCGCCGCCGAGTCCCGCCTTGCGCACGTACATGCTATTGTCAGCATTGAACGAGGCACCAGGCACGCTCACAGTACTAGTACTGGTCGTAGAAAAAGCTCCAGACAGATCTGGAGTTTCCGATGGGGTGCTTTGTTGTTGTTGATGATGCACGCCGGCATTCAACGGTGACGAAGGAGTGACACCCGCAGCGATGGCACTAGAGTGACCACTTGATACTGGGAGATCCCGAGACGGTGGGTCCGACTGTTGCAGTTTGTTTTTGTCCTCATATGATGTCAAAGATGGAATGTCAGCACTCACTTCAGTTGCGTTGACTGTGCCCGTGGTTGCGTCCGTGGTACCAGTGAAATCCTCGTCACCCGTTCTACGTTCCGTGGTCTGGTCAAACGAAGTTGAGGTGGCAGCAACGGCTATGCCGGTACTTGCCTCGCCGGTTGTTGTGTCAAATTCGCTTCTCTGGTGCGCGACATCATGACCATCCACGGCATTGGGTTCGTCTAGTAGTGTGCTCTCTTGGGATGACCGCTGCTGCTCTTGTGGTTCTGGCATGGACGGTTGTTGGCGATGAGCTGCAGGATTCATGCCTTGTCTCAGATGGAAAAAATCCACATTCCGCCTTCCCTTCAACCCCGGATACAACCTAGGTACAGCTGACTCTCCCTCTGATGATCGAAGCCTGGACAGTGTGCTATCCCTGCCTTGTCCCTGTGCCGATGCTGTTGAATTTGAACGTCTTACGGCGCCATTGTTGGCACTGCGTCGCTCTCTTGTCGACTGAAACCTTCCATGGGTGCTAGTGGACGTTGTTGACAAGTATGTTGTACCCTGCCCTTGTCTTTGCCAACTAATGGAAGCAACCTCGTTTCCCGAGCAATAGCTGGGCCGTGTGACATCGGCAGGTTGGCTCCGATCACTCATGACACCCTCGTTTCCCGAGTTATAGTAGCTGGGCCGTGTGACATCTGCAGGTTGGCTCCGATCACTCATGGCAATCTCATTTCCGGCGTTAGTCTCATAATTGCTGGCCGCGTGACATGTGCAGGTTGACTGCGGTCACTCATGGCAACATCGTTTCCCGACAAATAGCTAGGCCTCGTGACATTTGCTGGTTGGCTGCGGTCACTCATCAAGGCATCGTCTCTTCCAGAGTACGAAATTGCGGGCCTCGTTACATCGGCAGGGTGACAGGTGTCACCAGTGGATGGTAAGCGTGGTCTTGTACTTGCTGCTGGTTGTTGTTGCTGTTGCTGTTGGTGTTGCTGTTGCCGCCAGTTGCCCTCCTCATGCTGTCTGGGATTTTGACTGCTGTTGTGGTACTGCTGCTGCTGGTTATAATTATGGTCGGCAGGATACCCGGGACGAGCTTGTGGTTCACTTGTTTCGTATGAGGTGGCTTCCTGATGGTAATGTCCACCATAGCGAGTGTCACTTATTGTTTGTGAGTATTGTTGTTGTTGTTGTTGTTGTTGTTGTTGTGTCTGGTAGTTCCATCCGGATTGATCAACTAGCAGTGTGTTGTTGTGACTGTATGTCTCTTGGTGCTGATAACTGTGATTGTTGCTGTTGTTGATATTGTTGACATTATGATAGTTCTGGTTGTAGCCTTGGTTGGATTCCAGCAGGCTTGCTGTTGATGCAGTGGTAGAATCCACCGTTCGTTCCCCATGAGTGCTGATGCTATCGAGAGGATCATTGGCTCTCAAGGAATCATCAAAGGCGTGTGCTGCTGTTGCTGCTGGTGTGGATCCCAGTGAAGTACTGTGATTGTTGAAATAAATGGGCAAGTGCTGTTGTTGTATAGAGCTAAAGGAATCTTGTCCTTCTTCTTCTTCCATTATTTGGTCATTGTGCTGTTGGCGACTGAATGGGTTTGCAGGAGCAGCTAAAAAATTGCTGTTGGCAGTAGGGTTGTGATGATGATGGCCATAGCCATACATGTGATTGTATGGATTGGTAGTGGCAATGGTACTACTAGGAGCATTCTGTTGTTGGCTACCCTGATAGGTGTTGGTATTGGTATTGGTATTGGCACTTGTACTTGCATAGTAACTGTTGGTTTGTGGTGTCATTGGCACTGGTCTTGAATCTGGATTTGGAATGCCACTGCTGGTGATATCACGAGGATTTCTATCAGCTTCACTGTCTTCATCTTGTACATCCTCATTGTCAGTGACCAAGCTGGGGCTGATGATATCCTGATCCCTACATGTACTAGAAGAAGAGGAAGAAGAAGATGGGGTGATGGGAGTGGGACTACTTCGGTTGGTGGAGATGTTTCCTTGGGGGTTCCCTAGATAGTTGACTGACATGGTGGTTGGAATGGCATTGCTACTAGTAGCTTGCTGTTGGTGTTGTCCGTCCTTATTATTAAGAAGGTCATGATTGTGATCTTCTTGAAGTTTGGCAGTCTGCAGAGCTGTTGGTGGCGGGACTCGCACTTGTCCGTGAATCACCTCTGGAACACTGCGTCGCGGTCCCGCCGTGCCACCGCGTGGCGCTACCGCCGCAGTCTCCTCGTAGAACTCGTCTTCTCCTTCATCGCCATAGTACTGCTCGTAGCCAGAGTCGTTCATGTTGTCCTCATATGCATAGAAATAGAAACGTAGCGCTTCGATTCGATTCGATTCGATTTATTTTGTTTGTTTGTTCAAGAGAATTGATTTGACTGTTGTCGTCTCTGTTGTGTGTTTGTTGCTGTTGTTGCCCCTCGTTGTTGTGACTTTGGTTTCATCACTGGTGAAGCTGTGCGTTGTTTGGTCGTGGGGGCAGAAAATGACCGGAATAGGGGAAGAGTGCTCGCTTGCTCATTTAAGTGTTTTCAGATCAACTGCCACGATTGAGCTAATTTTGCAGGTAATACGTTTGAACTCAGGAATTAACAAACGACTTCAGTGCTAATCAAAAGTGATTTAACAAGGAAGTCATCGAGCACTGGGAATTAACAAACAATTTCATTGGTTTTGTACAGTTTTAGTATGACACTATACATGGTAGTGTGGAAGGTACTAAAATTTAAGTACCAATCGGGTCATTGAGCACCTCGCGGTAAAAGACTGTCTTTGAGAAAAAAGCAAAAACCTTGGTAAAAAGATGAATTTAGAAGGAAGATGATCAAAGGAGAACACCAGGTCCTAACCTGGTCTACACCCTGTTTCGCTTTTTTACAGTTCCTGGAGGTGGTGAAAATCTAATAGCATAGTTTTGCTACGTGATTCTAGCGTTAAGGATAATCTATACAGAGCCAAAGTCATTGGTGACTCGGGTGATGACAGACGATACGTGGCGGATTTCAAGCATGCCTATGCATAACCTTAACGTCATGGTTAAGATTGGGGCTAAGACTGTAAGTGGCCCGACAATCAACGGGTACTATTAGCTAGCTAGTACCGGTGGCATGCAGATCATGAAAGGAGGTTTCTGTCTTTCATAGGAAAAGCTATTGGCTTTGACTGTAGTAAGTACCTGTAGCTTTAGCTAGAGAACTAGTTAGATCTACGGTATCTACTACTGGTACTAGCTATACTACTGTAGCTAATTGTGAGAGTGTGCGGACCATGCATTGTTCGCTCAAGAAGGGAGAAGGGAGGGGTTTGGTATACTGGCTGTCAGCCACTGCTCTGGAAAATTTGGCAAAGTCTCCCTTTCGCTCGCCATGACTGCCTGCTGTCACTCTAATAATAAGCAGAGCAATGTGGAAGCACATTATTTGAGACGGTGACCTACCCAATCGGAAACAAAAGAATCGAATACCAATGTGGTCATTGAATTCAGCTGGAGCTGCAGGAACGAATTGGAATTGACAGATGAGATTGTCAAGGGAGGGTTTTTTTTCTCAAGAAGTACGGTACCACGTCCATGGCTCGTGATGCGGTCGAGAACGGTACATGACATCAATTGTAATGTAAGTAAGTAAGGAAGTACGGTATTAATAATAGAGTACATGTAGTCTATGTATGTAGAGTAGAACAGGACCACAATTCTCTATCTAATCTATTACCTCTCTACTTGTAGTACATCCATCATAGAAAAGCCAGTCAGTGAGTGATCCCCTTGTGTACCTGTACCGTACTGATCGAGTATATTCATTCATTCCATTCATTTGTTTTGTTTTGTTTCTACCGAACCCACGCATTGTTTGACTCCAACTCCATTTCAACTTATTCCTTGCTAAGACAAGTAGTCTAAGTGGAAGCTTAGGACATGGTCTTGGTTTCTTCGTGTTTGCTGTCATTGCTGCTGATGTTGCTGTTGCTGTTGGTTGGCTTGTTGTTTTCCTTGTTTCCTCGTTGTGTGTTGACAAGTTTCAAGTACTGATGAACCTTGTCACTGTCATAAGGTCTACCCAGAAAGTCTGCGACCATCTGTGCGACTTGGAATGGATCTTGGAGCAAATCTTCAAACTGAATGGTCTGCAAGTCGAGTTCTCGCTGTGCTTCTTGGTGGAACTCGTCCAACTGCGCAATGATTTCCAGTTCATCTTCTAGGGTGGAAGACGAATGTCCTCCAGGTCCCACATATTTGGTATTGGGTTTCTTGTAACGACGAATGCTGCGTTCAATCAGCGCGGGATCGCGTTTCATCCAAATGACTTTCACGTTGGACTGCAAATGAGGAGGTGCTTGCTTGACATTGTGCGTGACGACGTGGGAAAACATTTTGACAGCGCCATCGCACCAGACTTCGCCGTTGGCTTTTTTGGCCGATAGTTTGGCATCTTCATAGTAGAAATCGTTCTTTCCGCCATGGTGTTCCTTCAATGCCGCTTCAAACTCTTCGCAGTAACACAAATCCACGCCCAAGTGTTCCACCAATGCCATCATCAACGACGTACCAGAACGCTTGTAGCCCGTCACAACCACCATCTCGCGTTGTTCCTCTTGTTCCTTCTTTTCTTCTTCCATAGTATTATTATTATTCATGTTCAGGTTCATGTTCATGTTCATCATTTTCATATTCATCTTCATCATTGTCATGGTCAGATATTTTTTTTTATCTTCTTACTTTTAGTTTTGTGTAGTTGGAAGCAAGTAAGTTAGTGTAGTTATTATTAGGTAACGTACTAGTAGTCCAAGTTTTAGTTTCGGGTTTGAAAATTTGGAATTTATGAAGCTTGAGGGTGTTTCCTGGCTAGCTTGGAGCTACCGGTACATGCTCTAGCTAGCTAGGTACAGTAGGTACAGTACAGTAGCTATGCATGGAAAGTGCGGAAGGATTTGCATCCAAGCCAGAAGATTCAAACCTCGTCCTCGCTCGTCGAGAACCCTTATTGGAGGGGAGCCAAAAGATATTGGTTCCTTTGCTTTGCCTTCGTTTGCTTTTACTAAAAAGCTTGGCTCCGTACTTCCACCACGCATGACTTGACTCGACTCGACTAGCTAGTAGTAGTACTGTAGACTCTACATATCCTCTTGCAAGTCGAGGCCAACAAAAAGGGACCTCTTTCTTCTTCAACACCGGAATTCAAAACAACTCATTCCTACGGCCAGCTACGGTACGGTACTTGTACTGCGGGACCTCTTCCGACAAAGTCGGTCACAAGGAGGAAGAAGCCAATGATATTTATTTTAAAATACCATAAAGAATCCTTTCCAGACGAAGAATGTTTAACAGCAGGCAGGCTGACCACAGCCACCTCACGAATTCCAACAACAACAGAACGCTTTATTTGTATGATACGATACGTGGTTCCTGACCAAGCACAGACTTGAGCATCCACAGCCATCGAGGCAGCGCACAAGCCATGGCCATGTCGTAGCGGTATGAAAACAAGAAGCCAGCCACAAGGACTGTTTGTGTTTGGGAGGTCTCACTTTTTGGAAAGATACTGTTGTAGACGATTGCTACTGTATTGATCATCTTGGAACTTGAGGACAGGGCACCCTCCAACTCCAGGTTTTGGTTTCCATAATTTTTCTTGAAAGCAGTTTATTCACACAGCATGACACTCTACTGATAGATTCCCTGCACTTGCTTGCTTGGATGTCATGTCGACGATCGACTGCCATGGCTCCCATGCAGAACCGCTCCCAAGAACGGCCACTTTAGATGGAGAGCGCCGCTGCCGAGGAAACTTGCTACCTGCTGTACCGTCTTCCGGGAACACACGGAAGTTGAAGCACATTTTAGCGCTCCTTATGACATTCCTATGATTGTATCTCACTCTCTCAATCACATCGAGTGCTTATTTTAACACTCTTTGAAGTCAATGTGACTCCCGCAACTCGGAGCATGGGATTGATCAGTTTCGGCTACCGGTAGCTAGTCTAGTGGATCGATCCTTTCTGAATCGACCTCTCGCTAGCTAGCTCCCTTGACCTACGACTTTCTTTGGCTCCCACAACTATTAAAATACCGGTCAACCAAGTTGTCATTCGTTCAGAACAGAGCTATGCATACGGTACAGCGTGCCGTACCAAGTCGTGCTGTGGGCATGGCCTATCATTCTTTGCATAGCTACGGTACCAGCTTGGCTAGACTGTCACTCTCTCATAAGAAGATAAGAGGTCCAAATCGAGCCGTCAAACGCTCAACCCACGAACTACAGTACGAGTACCTGGTACAGTACATTGCTACGAGCCTTTGGGCAATTCGATTGAATCGAATCATGCATGAATCTAATCGAATTCAATCACTCGAGCAGCACGACCCCTACGGCACTCCAGAAGTCCGGCAATGCGGAACTAGCTAGACTACAATGTCTGTCATGTATGAAGCAACTCAATCAGCTCCTCCTCCTAATCAGCCAGTCACCAAAGAGTGCTTCGTCTACGAAGTCATCACTCCAGAAATTTTGGCAGCATCAACCATGTCACAGAGAGGCTCAAAACTTTTAATAGAGTATTACTCTACTGAATCCTGTCTGCTTTGGCCCAAGGTACCACCGGGGGGGGCAGGAGGACACTAGGCGACTCCACAAAATATGGATCACTTTTTGTGGCTCGTCTTTCCAGGCTAGTGCGGTAAACGCTATACCGCATACTTGATGCAGCTCCACTAGCTAATCATGAAATCGTCTCATGTCAAAAAGCTGGTACCTGGTACGTTGGGGGGGGGGTCAAAAGAAGGCTACAGTATCACTACCGAGGCAATGATTCTGAGTATCCAAGATCCAAGACTAGTAGCACCTATGGCCTACGACTGTCACTCATCTGCAGCGTGAATAGAGCCAGCCAAGAACTCGAAGTCAAAGCAGATCGTTTTTTGCAATCTTTTGAGTTGTCCCTCACAATGAACAATGAATAAATAATGCAAAACTACTTTCCTTTGCGGTCACCATGCAGGCAGCAAGCAATTGAGCAGGAAACCATGAAATTCGCACATTTATTTCACACCTTACAGTTGTTTCAACTCCTTCTTCACATGGGAGGAAGAAGATGGACGACAGTACCTCCAAGCGCACACGAGACAATAGGCCGTGACGATCCATGACGAGCCGTCCGCCGAGGTCAGCAAAGTCTCGATCGCCCAAAAAGCAAGGAACAGCGCTACCAGAACACTTCCAATGAGTACGTGGACGATGAAGTGATTGCCGTCTTGGCTCTCGGCAAACCATTTGCCCCACAACAACCATGGCAAGATGCCCGTGTCATTCTGAGTGTTCGTACACACACGGCTGGTAGGCGCAACATTGGTGCACCATATCCGCAAGGGTGCTAACCACATGTGACTGAGCACATGTTCCGAACCAAGCACAACTGTGGCTCGCTCGGTAACCGTGGGAGCGATATCTTGGATCGATACGTAGTTGGAGGCCAAAATTCCACTCGCAACGATGCTACCATCTCGAGTGAGTGGCATGTAGGCACCGCGTTTCCTGACGAATCCAATCTTGGCGACAATCACTGGCTGATGACGTTGCGTGTCCATGTCGTGGTATCGCAAGGTATCACCGACTTGGATATCTTTCGCTCGCGTTGGACGCAAGATGCTCGTATCTGGGTCGATTTTGAAGACTAAATGGTCCTTGGTTATCTCCAAGGGCTCTGCATGTTGCCTGGAGGTGGGTAATGCCGCATGAAGTTGAAGGTAGGTAGTCCATTGGCTGGGATCACGGTGACCAAATGCGTAGACCGGTTGGAAGACCGGATCCTTGTTTCTGCCGTGGAAACCCTGGAAGATTAGATCTCCCACTTGCAAATCTTGCATGGCAACCATTCCTTTGTCTTGCACCACAACTGTGGTGGATCCCGAAAAGCACACATCGCTATCGGACGAATCAGAATCATCCGAGCTGTCGCCTGTTGACCCGGGGGCACTAGTGGGTGCACTCGTCAGCTCAATCTCTGTTGCAATAGCAATAAGGTCATAGTCAAATGCTTCTTCAAAAAAAGGCCCAATATTGACCAGCACTTCTGAAATGAATTCGTCATAGTCAATGAATTCCATCACATCCATAATGTCAAATTCATCGGGCGTTTCCAAAAAGTCCACCTGGGCTTCAAAGATGACTACTACTCCAAACTCCTCGTAGTCGTATCCAGATATTTGGTACTTGGGAAACATTCCTGGTGCCAACTCGAATTCTTCCTCAAATGCCTCGCGATAGAGCCGTTCCGTTGCTACCAACAGTTTCAGCTGTTCTTCTTGGGATGGTAGCACACCAAAGGTTTCTCCTAAAACCCAGAGAATGTCGGCAAAGATTTCAAATCGTGATTGTACAGGTCCTGGCGCGGCTGTCGGAGCTGGTACGAGCGTCGGAGCTGGTGGCGTTGTCGAGCCTGGGCCACCTTCCACTGCATCAACAAATGTAAGGTCGGCGTCAGTGGCAAATGCGAAATACCCCCCAATTCCATTCAGCAAGGGGACCAAAACACTGTAGTCAACAGCAAGCAACCTTTCTTCAAGTTCTGATGTTTCTGGGTTGTCAGTGAAGGCCACACCAAAATCCCAATAGGTGTACCAGCCACCGTCGACGTTAAAACCGATATAAAACAAAAGCAGGCTCTCTTGGTAGGTGTCTGGGTACGTTGTGCGAAAGGCCAGATCGAATAGCGACGCTAAACCCACGGCAAGCTGAAACTCTTCGTCTCCGGTTGGAAACTCTGGTCCGCCAGGACCCACTGCAATTTGAAATTCGGCACTGACGACAATAGGTGTTTCCGCTTGTTCTGGTTGAACTTCCGCCGTTGGTCGATGATTGGCATTTACGGCCTCGATCAGGGCGGATTTATCCGTCGATCCATGACCTGTCATGGAGAACCCCGCAACACTGCTTTCGGGTCGGATATGACCAGGACGAGTGCGGCCATTTCCAATGTCCACCTGGACCACTTGGAGATTGAGACTGTCTTTCAGAGAAGACGTGGTAAGGGTCCGTGAACGCGACTTTGGGTGGGAAGCGGCAACGACGACCGGCGACCAAACACACACGACGAGGAACAAAAGGTGCCGCGCCAGACAAAGGCGGCTACAAGATCCACCAGTTAGCTTCATGGTGGTCAAAGATTCGAGGGTTGTATTCTTTCAGTTGGTCGTGGCGTTTCGTTCCGAAAACGCTGCACGAACAGGTCCCGTCGATGGATCCGTTGCGTCTTCGGGTTGTTGTTGTTGTTGCTCCTGCTGCTTCAATATCCTCGAGCACCAGCTACAGTAGCTGTGTTGTCGACTATTAACTGATGAGCATCATTCATCTCCTGTCTTCACAAATCCTTGATGCCCTGCGGAAGATACGGTATGGAGCTTCGTCGCAACGCTTGAACGGCGATAGATGAGCCATTTCATTTAAAAACCGTTGTTTCGACCCAACGCACGCGAGCCGTTGCTGAACAGAGGTGCACTCCCGCAGAGAAAGGGTTCAGACTATGATAGTTACAGCCACATCGCACACTTGACCCATTTTCAAGACAGAACAACAGCGCTATGATAGCTAGCTAGTAAGCACTTATTAGCCGTCAAGCAACAACCATAAAGAGTCACAAAACGTTGGAAAGGTCCCATCGTAGCTAGCTAGCTAGTAGCAATCAAGTAATCAATAAATTCAGGTGCCATGAAGCTTGTAGACCAGTTGCTAGTAGTGGCGATCTCAACGATGATTCTCCTGCCCAACATGTACAACGCATTTGGTCCGTCTTCCACAGTTCGTGCACACTATACCGCTGTCCGTTCCTCCAGTTTCGAGTTTGCGCTCCGCGGGATTGCCGAGTGGCGGCGCAGCATGGATGGTGGGGATGATGCCGGTTCCAGTAGTAGCACTGGTAACAGTAACAGCCATGACTCTACTAGCGCCACCAGAACGGTGCTGCTTCTGCCCTTTGCCGTGGAGGAGGCTCTGCTGATTCCCGGTCAATCCCAGACGCTGGTCCTCAAGGAAGGACGTTTCTTTGATCTCTTGGAGGAAGCCATGGACGAGCATGCCAGTGTCATTGGCACCCTCTTGATGGGGGGAGAATCTCATTTGGGAGTGCTGCCACTGTGCGAAATCACTAGCTACCAAATGGAAGCTGGGTATCGTGGCAAGGTCACGGCACAGGTCACCCTTCAGTGTGTCGCCCGGGCCCAATTGGTAGAACTGAATCAGCTCCGACCGGTGATGCGGGGGATTTGCACGGAACTACAAGATGACGATCATGACATCATGGCTAGTAGTACTTCCACAGATAGCAGTACGAATGATACAAGCAGCAAAGAGATGGTTGAAGAGTTGGTGGAAGATATTGAATCCATGATAGAGCTTGCCTCCTCTTCGTCGGATACTACACGTACTGGTACCGGTACTACTGATACATTGGATGATCCTCAGACAATGTACGAACAAACGTTTTGGATGGCCCTGACTACTCTGGGATATACCCCCGCATCATCGTCGCAGCTGATGGGTGACGATGATGATGATGATGGTGACCCGGCTTGGCCAGACTCTTCGGCACAAGAATTGCATGCCATGAGTTGGGCAGCTATATCGACCGTGGCAGACCCAACGCTGCGGTACCAAGCATTTGCAACTACATCCGTGCTAGAACGGCTACGGGTGGTCCGAAGAGCGCTGCTACAGCAGAGTCTACCAGTATCCACCAAGACGCAAGACGTGTCCAGCATACGACATGACAGAGACGACGATAGTAGTGATGATGGCCCTTCGTCGTCATCATCCTTCTTTGGGGATTCCGGGTTTGAATAATAGAGACAACAAACGAGGAATGAATAGATGCGATTCGGATTGCAGAACTCTAGCTAGAGCAATAGAACCAAATACGAGAACCACAGCCAATGCAAAAGCACAGACAGAGGTGAACGAGGGCCCATTTCTGTATTTTGGGAATGAGTCCTACATGTACTAGCTAGCTAGCACGGTTGGAACGTTTTGATCAGGAGATGGCAAGCTAGGGCATGATGTCATTGTCAGTGAGATTGCTGAAATGCTGATTTGTCTTCCTCATCCAGGTTGGGATAATCCAAGGGTCTGCGAACGAATGATTGCCATCGAGCGATGGTTCATGGATCCTATACTAGTATCCTTTTGCCCTTCGTTCGGTCATGAGCCTGCTCCTTGCAAACAGGACGGCTGGGTAAATAAAGCAAACAATTTGAATCGTATCACTCCCATTTATTTACCCCATCTACTTTAACAAATCTTAGCTTCGCGCTGGGATCGTGAGCTCGGAATCGAATCATGACATGCAGCCGACAAAACAAAACAAAACAAAACAAAACAAATCGAAGCGAAGCTGCATGACATGCTCCTACGCAACGGCATTACGAAACGCCCCTTGACACTGCGGATTGTGACATGGGTGTTCCTCTTCTTGCTGCTGTACTGGAATGTAGTACTAGTTCATGTCGCAGATGGCTACTGCACGGAGGAAGAGCAACGACAGGCAATGGACCAGGACGTGTTTTACAAGTGCGTTCGTCGCATTTCCGCTGCGGACGAGAATGGCGATGACTTGTTGGATCGACACGAACTGACACATTTTATCAAGGGCTTTTCGTGGAGTCTCTTTGTCGTGTCGCCGTTTCCAAACGGAACTGGAACACTGAAGGAGGACGAAATGAACGACTTGTTTGCGTCATTGGTCAATCTCACCGGACACCGCGTCAACGAGTTGGGTCAAGATCGTATTGATGTCTACGGAAGTAATATCCAAGATGTGAGTACTGTACCATAGCTAGCTATCTTAGTTTGTGCTATCGTACGTGTCACCATCTTTTGTGAACTGAATGAACTAACGCATGTCTGTCTCGTCTCTTTACGGCACCACCAAAGATGCCTGAAATCGATCAAGAACGCTTTCAACTTCTTCATGCTATCTGTGATCACGTGGTGCAAGGTAAGGGAGGCTTTGCATTGCATGCAAGTGTGATCAGACGAGTCTGAAGTACTGTACTGTACCGTACTGAACAGAAGTGTTTGTCTGTCGTCTGTCTTTAGCCTTTGAAGAGTACCAGCCACTTTGGGAATTGTACCAAGAGGGAGAAACAGAGCCTGTAAGTACATGTACCGTAGCAGCAAAGCTCACAGCTCTCATGACAAGAATTTGGTTCTTATTAAAGCTCACCTCTTGCAATGGTACCGATACAACAATGACAATTTAAAATAATCACAGCCCAAATTCATGGTACTAGAAAAAGTCAAACAGCATCCGCTCGAGAACACAGCAGATGAGGACTCATTCATGTACGACAATGCCAATCTCAACCTTGTCGATGACGACGACGACGACCACCTTTTGTCGGTTCACGCTTCCTTTATCATTGTCAACTTTGAGGGACTCGAGGCACACGACTTGCCGCCGGATAGCATCTTTTTGACCTGTTTTGAACAATTCTTGGAGACGCTCCTGGCCACCGAATGTGATCCTGCACTAAGAGGGAACGCATGTTTGGAAACAGATGATGCCTACGATCCCGACACGGGGAGTTTGTGTGGATCTCACGAAGAGTACGTTCGGCGAATATTCTGTGGGGAGCTCGAGTTGCCGGATGGACGACGACGAGGACGAGGACGAGAAATACTGGCCAATAATGACGACGAACGACTCTTATTATTGGAAGATCATGCCATTGAAAATGTGGTGCTATATCGAATTCAAAATTCCAACTGTCCCATTCCCATGATGTCTCAAGGAGAAGGTACGTAAGGTTACGTTGCTTCAAGTTCTGATTGTCAATGCGCCATGACATTCTTTCGTGGTTGGTTTGTTGATTTGATTCATTCGCCTGCAAAACTGACGCATGCTTCTTCTCTTTATAACATAGCCGGCAGCCAAGCGCCTCTCTGTCAGACCATCTATGCACATTACATGGTCCATCTCATGCATCAGGACTTGGGCATACTCTCGGAGCAACAGCGGAAGGAATTGGAGACTGTGTACACGAACGTAACTCAGACGGCAATTCACAATGGAATGCTACAGGATAGCCTGCGACAACTGGTTCCTGATTCGCCATACTTTGTAGAAGGACAAGGCTTTCGACTGACGCCCATGACACACCACCATCACCAATCCGACAAGGATGAATCAACCAACAGCAGCAGCAACATCAGCAATGCAGAACATCCAACAACCATGAAACACTACAGTCCCTATCACCACCACCATCATGAGCGACTGCTTTTGAATCAAAACAAGAAACCATGTACACGTCGGTTCTTGCGTGGTAAAGCCGCCGAGCGGGGGTACGACGCAACTGTGATGGCCGAACAAATACAATGATCTTTCGGGTTGGGTGCTCGTGCTTGGAACGGACCGCCCAACCATGGAATCATTGATGTGGGTATGTATCAGCCAAGAGAAAGCGATTTTCTGGCGGTTGTTCTGGTTCCTTTTGTATTTCCTCGTCACATTATTGGGGAGACTGTTTCGAATCGAAGAATAAACACAAGACCTGTCAAGAATACAATTCAATCCTTCTTTATCGTAGCCGTACTGTGATTTGCCTGGTCAATGATGTGCAGTAGTTCTTCAAAGGTGCAGAACCAAAGCTCACACATTTTTGGTAGGATGACAAAGCAGCTCTTGTCCTGACAGGCAGGGCAATTACAGGTTGCCAAGAAACTGGAGAATTTCTTATCCTTGGCTTGGACGATCAACCTAGGCGGTGGTTGTTGCGCAGAAGGCTCGATCGTGACTTGGTCGTTTTTGTTTGAAGAAGACAAAGAGAGTGGAAAGCACCTACAGACCCATCTCAACAAAGCGTGAGGACCCACGTGCCATCCCAAGCATAAGCCCAGAGTCGTTACTACGAGAAGAATCACATTGTTCTTGAGGTCGTGCAGCAGCATGGCATGCATGAAAAAAGTCAAATGCTTGGCGGTATCTGCAAATGCAAAGATGTGATCCTCGTAGTGTTTCCCTGGAATCCCCTGAAGGTTGTTGTGGGCAGAGTGCACCACGGACTGGATGAGTCGGAGAGACGTCTTTTTGGGCAGGCAAAAGGCAACCAATGCCCGTAGATGCAAACCTAGATCTAGCCACGACATGCAGACCAGAAGCACAATAGTACTACTACTGGAAGCAGTCTCGCCTGACAGTGTCAACATGTGATGAAGCATGTAGAGCAGACTGGTGAGGCAATCAAACAGGACCCCCACAAAAATGAAGAGCACCAATCCTTGTTGGAGTACATTGAGTATGACAGCCAAATGGCTGATGCAGTTGAGAAATGAAGCCACCAGAAGGACCTTGTGCAGCAGGGCTGTGTAGACCGCGTAGTCTGAATGGCCTTTGGTTGCTTCAGTCATATAATTATTTGACTTCAGAGCGGAAAGCAAAATGCAGCTGCATAAAAACAGAATGGACCAGCCCACAAGTTTGTCTTGCCAGTACTGCAGGCTCCTCTGCGTTCCGCCACGACCTCCCGGCATCTTCCTTTCTTGGTGGTACCACCTGGAGTGTCGTCTTCATGTATGTCGAAAGATGAGAGAAGCAATCAGATGCAAATGGTATACTTCATTACCAGCAAGAGTAAAATATTCTTCACACAAACGAGGACAAGCAACGGCTTTTGCTGGATAGGAACACTCGTGAATGTTGCTTGTTTTGTGGCCTTGGTTTGCTCTGACAGGACTCACTGTTCGTGTCTGATTTCTGCATGTCGTCCAACGCGTGGCGTGGAAGTCAAAGAGCAAACGATCTTCGACTTTTGGCGATTGTCATTTCTTTCGCACCGACAACAATCACTGCATGCATGCATCCAAAGGACCAACCACTCATCTTTTTATTACCTTCAGCCTACGTTACATACACAGCACCGCCATGATGGAACTTACGAGTACTGCCGCTCGCATTCCCAAGGAGAGTGATCCGAGCATTCCTACTGTGGATGCCGAGCCCGTGGATATTGTAACCTGCGGCTCCTTCGAAACCGGGATCAGTGCCTGCACGGCGCAGTCCAACAGCACTTTGTTCCGCCATGCCAATTCTCTGAATGAGATTTCGTGGTCATTATGGAGTGACAATGGTGGAGAGAGACGTTGTCTCTTATTGAACTGCGTCACCACGGGAAGCAATCCTCCATCGCCGTCGTCCGTCATGTCCGCCAACACTTCCACACCCCTCAATGCCGTCAAACCGACATCCAGCAGTCGTGGCCACTATACTGGTAGCAACCGTAACGTATGCCTCTTCATCAAACTCACAGTCTTTTTCTTGGCGAGTTTCCTGGCGGGCATGACAGTGCAGCAAAAGGTTGCAGCTGCATCATTGTCCACTGCAACCATCAAAACCACGACCAGCAACCTTCGCAACACGAATGGTAGAACGACCAGTACTACTAGTACTACTATTGTTTACGGACATGTCCACATGGCCAAGACGGGAGGTACCAACTTGAACGGGATGCTCGCCACACGGTACGAACGTGTCTGCGGTCACAAGGGATACAGTTACGATGCTATAGCCCACAACCAACGCACTCGAGAATGGCAAGCATCCACCGAAAAGTACGGCGACGGCTTGTACACGCTGCACGATTCTATTACTCAAATCAAACCCAATTACAATCGAGGACGTGTCCCGCCCAAAGTCATGTTTGAAATTGGATTCCAAGATTGCGATTGGATCAGTTTGGAAGATCCCGGATGGAGGGCATGGCCTCATCATGTCTTGCCCGATTTGAAAATGGCCACCACGGATGCTAATAACGATGATGATGATGGTAATGATGATGATGGTAATGATAATGACGCAACAACAACAACCACGAGATTGGAGTTGCACGTTCCTTGTCGAGATCCCGTTGATCATTTGCTCTCCATGTGTCATTACCAGAGCATTGATTTTGACTGCAGTATTCCCTTTGAGTCGGATGTCGGCACCAAGAAACACAATCATGATTCTTCCAAACAAACTGCCGATACCACCATGGAAGAACAAATTGATTCCTGCCTCATGGGATTGGGCCGATTTCACCACGAACTAGCCAATCTGCCACACACCGACTTGAAATGCTTTGACTACCAACAACAGGATCTCTACCTACAGTACATGGATCAACGATTGCAACCACGACGACAGCAACAAACATATGTTTGGAGGGCATCGGATCGAAAACGACATTACGAACAAGAGTGTCTGGGTGGGCACGACAATGATGACGATGTGCAGCATGCCACCAAGCAAAAGGAGAGATTGCAAGAGCGCATCGCAAACTACCTCCTGAAACACCATGACTATTATCGATTCTGTAAAGACTGTCGAGGGAGCCCACAAGATTTATTTCCTGCTGCTGCATAAAGGCTCCAGTCACAACTAACTATTTGATCGGGACGACAATTCGCCGGGTCTCCCCCTTTCTCCGCCAAGTTTGATTGAGCCATGGAAGGTGCTGATCAATCCAATCAATCAATCAATCAAAACAGCGACACCGCTTCCGTACGAACTGACGAACTTGTGTGCAGCCATTTGCGTTGCCGTGCTTGAAGCAGCGCAAGCAAATGCCAACGTTTCCAACCAAGCAGTGTCTTCTTCGTACCGTCCACCCGCACTGCAGTTTGGTTTGGTTTTGGTGCCTAGTTGTCCTTTTGTCGCAGTGTGCCATACGTTACTTTATCCATGCTTCGTGAGAGACATGCCGTGTACCTTTACAATGTAACCTAGAATATATTGTAGAATTGTATCAATGAAAAACAACTGGCTGCTGAGAGTTGCCTGCTTTCTTTTTGTTGCACAAACGAATACACAGCAGAGGGGATGCCGTGAGTTGCAACACAAGCCCATCCCTCCCGTCAAACTATGCATAGTCGAGGCTTCACAAATATAGTAGTGGCAGACGTTGCAAAGAACATGTATCTGGGCCCCACATCTTGCTCCACTTCCTAACTATGTCCGTCTTCGGTTCCCTTGGCCATCACCAAAAGGCAAAGGCATGCAATGTCTCACTTCTGGCACACACACACACAAATGGCAGTCCCCAAAAACTTCGTTCCCTCATTGATGGCTCTTCCTTTTTATTACTAAAAATAAACAAACAGTACGTTCCACGGACACTCAAAAAGGGGCTCCTTGCTTCAAGGAACACCGCCACACAACAACCGAGCTTTGTGATAGAGTTGTCATATGGTTGCTTCTAATTTACTATATGGCATATGCGTGGAGTAAGCTCGGGAGGGCCACGTTCAGGAGTCTCGAGTCTGAGCGGAACAAGATCCTACCCGACACAACAGCTACCGTTCATTCCGCAACCCTCGTTGCCGGCCTTCCTTGTGGCTTCCATCCTTCTTCGTCTTTACTCTCTCCTTTTTGGATCCTCCTTTTCGTTTCTGCTCTTCCTGGTTGAGTGCTTGTTCGTACTCGTGCTCAATGTGCTGTGCTTCGTACTCGGACATTTCGCCGACGTAGAAGGCACGAATCATTTCCTGATCCTCTAGAGATAGCATTTGACTCTGCCACGTAAATTGTCCCGGTTGTTCGAATTGCATCTTGATTCGAGTGACTGCCATGAAGCAAAGATTAGTAAGCAAGCGAGGATATACAAAAAGTCGTGAGAGGTGCCACGTGGGGAGTGTGAGTCGAGTCCGATCGGTGTTCCACTTACCCTGCTTCGGAAGCAGCGCCACTACATCGCGCGGTAGATAGTCTGAAAACCCAAACAAGTCGTCGTCTGGTACCCTTGCCCCGACGGTGGCATTGGCCACTCGGAATCGATCTGCAGCGTTCCCATCAGCCCAGTTTACCAACGATTGCCGTTCCAGATAGGTTCCATCTCCCACTGGCTTTTCTTTCATTGGTATTTCAAAGTGAAAGGAACTGGTGTGATGGGCTGCCCTCGTCCCGGAATCGAAGCGAATTTCGTGTCGTGACAGCACTTCCATAGTGACGGAGGAAACATGAATTGGGTGAGCCTCTCGAGCAAAACTGTAGATTTCCCAAACCTCCGTCTCGTGAAGCTGGGGGTTCTCCGTAATGGGAGCATGCCACGGCAAGCTTCCTTCCATGGGCAAACTGGCCAAGCCCACTTCCTCATAGAGACGGGAATCCGGCCACAAGATGGGATTGCCGTGGGCATCTACCGCAGGCTCTGCCGTTCCCAACAGCGGGGGTAATGGATCACCCAAGGCACTCGGTATTCCACCGAATACCGCCAGCTTTCGAACTCGAACATAGCCCTCACTGATGGCTTCTTCGTCGTCGCCCAGTAATGATGGTGCTGACAATCCAGCTTTCTTGGTAATGATCAAAGGGGAAGACGTGCCCGGAGGATGATGGGAATGTGGTAAATGCTGCAAAAGCGGCGCAACGTCAAAGTCGCTGTATTCGGGAACGGAGTCATCCAATTCGAGTTCGACATCCAATGCCATGATTACGTTGGTGGACGAAAATCGAAAGCTTCCTTCCGTGTCACCCCGAAAGGGCTCGTCGCCGGCAGTGTTGGTCATGAGAAGCCGAAAGCCTTCCAGATTCTGAAAGTCCAGCAGAATATCGTATCGAGAGGATGGCTCCATGAGCAGCGTGTCTCGTGTGGTGAGCTCGGGTGACAGGCCTTGACCACCTCCAAGAAGAGTGAACTGTAGCGGCACTGAAGTGGTGGGTTCCTCGTCGTTGTTGTTGTTTTGGTTGTCAGTGGTTGGTAGAACCTCTGCACGGAACTGAATGGCTAGGAATCGACTGTGGCACGCATTGAGCAACCGTAGCCGGTAGCGACGCGGTTCGACGGGATACTTGGGCCAAATTTTGCCATTTACCGTCATGACATCCCCAAGGAAAATGTAGTCAGGTTGTGCAGGTTGTGGATGTGTTTCGGGGTGCATTGTTGCGTTACTCTGTGTTGCGTTGCTTTGAGCCTCTGTTGTCGCGTCTGTTGTGGATGATGGAAAGTAGAGCTCTCCATTTTCTTTGAACATTCGATCTTGAATCACAAAAGCGGCCTCGTACGGCCCAGCCGGCAAATGCAACGGATTGTCTGGAAGGCCCGTGTCAAATATATCTCGCAAAATATACAATGCGGAGAGGCCCGCATAAATATTAAAGCTCGAGATGCCAAGCGTCTGATCATGAAACCACAAACAGGTCGCCGGCTGTTGATTCTGGTATGTGTAGACATTGCCGGCGAATTCAGAGCCCGTCACATCCAACCCAGGGCCAAAGAAAGCTTCTGGATCCCCCTCGTATGTGCTGGCGACGTGTCCCCCGTGAAGCCTAGGGACAATGGGGACGCCATAGTGTTCCACCGTTACTCCGGAATCACGGTTGTTTTTCTTTTTGCGGCCTCCTTTTCGATCTTCTTTGTCCGCTTTATTTTGCGTAGTAGTGACATGTGTCAACCCATATGCCCAGGGAAGGCCACTCGTGGAGGTACTGGATTCGTCGGGTAAGATGGACTCTCCATGGACCAGATCGGTGAGCAAGTAATCCCCGGGACTGATTTGATTCTCCCACTTGATTTGTAGGGGTTGATAGCTCTGAGCAATGACGGTTTTACCTGGCCATGTAAAACCAGTGTCTTCCGTACCGTACCCATAGATTGGTGTTGGTAGCGGATCCCCCGTGGTAGGATCCACCAGCCCGGTAAAGACTTGACTCTCTTGAACGGCAATCTCCAAGAATCCGCTAGTAGTGTTCCATTCCCATTGCTCATCCAGCAAGTTGGGGGCAACGGTTGCAAACTTAGGTTGCAGATCTGGATCTATCAAGCCTTCTTGGATGGGGGCAGCATGGTTGCTAGTAATGCTAAAAGCAAAGGCTAGCAGCACCACAGAAAGCAGCTTGTTCCCAGGTGGGGGTCGGGTCATTTTGGCTAGACTGTGTTTCTGATGAGGTTGGTGTTGCCTACTGTACGGTACCGGTAGCTACTAGTTAGATATTGCTAGCTGGCTAGATAGATTTTGGTTGTGAGCTTGTATAGCCAGCAGGAAACGATTTGGTGAGGGCCAGATTCTTGCAATACATGTGATGAGTCACACTTTTGGCCAGGCAATTTAGTTCTGATGAGAGCTCAACAAGACCAAACAAAGCGCTGGCACTTGGTTTCCTATGACAGAGCCAATTTTGTGAATAGATCATGACCGTCCCGTGTGCCGTTCTTCATGCTAAGTATCTGTATTTTAGATCTTCAAACATCTAAGTATCTTTGTGCGCTAAAAGTTTGAATTTGGTACTTAGCCAGTATAGAAAAATTAGTACCAGCACCTTGCCTTGTGCGGGTAGGTCTAGTTTTTGTTGCGTCCTGCCATCGTGCTCAACTAAAACCTTTTTGTCCATCAAAGCAACTTGAACAAGTGAACCGAACATCTTCACTGGATTCTCCCAGAAAGAATGAGACAGTGGCAATTTGATTTCATCCCAGCCTTTCGATCTGAGAGCCACAAAATCCAATTGGCCCAGAGCACACAGAGCTTGGGTTCCTGCCAACAGATACAATCTATATAGCCAGCTGCATCTCTTCCATAATAATATTATATATATTCCAATGAAGACAGCCTGGACAAACACCACTGTGGCAGTGCTCCTCGTTTCTTGCCTTCCAGCATTGGCTCGAGCTGGTTCCCGCACCCAGCTCCGAGGACGCCACCGAGCCAGGTCTCTCAAGGTTGATAACACCAGAGGAATTGACTTTCCAGGCTTTCGCTATGTGCCATGGTGTATGTTAGACGAGAAGGAACAAGCGCAAGCGAGTGACATTGAATGTAGGTGGATTGGCGTGTAAATCGAATCAAGGCAACGTAGTCCTTTTGGTTTCTGATGATTATTTGTCAATTATTGCTTATTTCAGGGGAAGAAGATACCTGGAACATTCCAGGAACTGGATCCAATGAAGAAGACTCATTCTATGTCATCACAGAAAGAAGTCTTGCAGCAAATGATACAGTAGCTGGGTCTTTGGCTGCCATGGGATGGACTGAGGAAATCTATGATTGCTATGTTAATCATTACGTTGGGTATGATTGGAGCGGTACGTGAAAGATTGACCACGCTTTGCATTCACCTCACAGCCATGCGTTAATGTTCCCGGACCAACTCAACCAATGTTGCTACTTACGTGCTTGCTTGCTTGCTTGCTTGGGACGACCAGAAATGGAAGAATATGACATGGTTCCATATTGGCAGACCCTTGGCTGGAGTGAAAGCAGCTGGAATGGTGAAACTGCATACCCGGAATCGGAAAACATGGAGTGGAACGAGCTCAATGCAACACAACAGGCCGCGGCTATCGCACTCTGCTATTTTGAGGAGCTTTGGATGGAAACGAACATTACTCAATGGGAGGAATATATCAATGCCGCAATCTGCAATACGGACGTCAAGACGGACGCCCCAACAGATGGTCCCGTCCCGGCTGAACCCGTCACCGATGCTCCTGTGTCAACTGATGCTCCCACAGACCCTCCTCTCACTGATGCTCCCACAGATGCTCCAACAGACGCCCCCGTCACCGATGCACCCAACACTGATTCTCCCACTGCTTCACCCACAGCTGCCGAAACAGCGGCGGAGACTGCTGCCCAAACCGCTGCCCAGACCGCTGACCAGACCGCTGCCCAGACCGCTGCCGAAACGATGGCCCAAACGATTGCGCAGTCTGTCTCCCAAACAGGAGTACAGTCCGCAGTTTCCACAAGCGAAACAGAAGAGGACGGAGAAGGAACTGCAACAGAGGATGATAATGAAGAAGGGGGAACTGAAGCTGTGTACGTGAGCAACCCAAACAACCGTTTCCTTCTTTGGAGCTGGTTGTTTGAAGCGAGTCGAGCTGCTGCTGTTACCCTTGGATATGATGAAGCGACATGGAATCAACCAATGACTGCTGCAGTAGAAGCCATGGTGTTTGATGATTTGAATGCAGACCAGGTAGAAGCCACATATGTTCTTGGACTCGCACCAGGTGAAGTGTGGGATTGCAACATCAACCATTTTAGATCTTACAACTGGGACGAACTCGACGAAGCAGGAGGTATGTAATCAAATTGAACTGTATCAACGCCCGTGCACTTCGAGTCAATTCTCGGCTGACCCGTTCTTGTTTTTCTGCTTGACCGCCTAGTCCGCACCCATTATGAGGTTCTTGGTTGGACCTTTGAAACATGGAGTGTAGAGGGCGACGCGCCTGAAACCGAGGGAGCCTCGTTTGCTTCCTTGGAAGAGGGCCAGCAAAATGCTGCAAGACAGCTTTGCTACCGCGAAGAAACCTGGGATAAACGTAACTTGATCGACTGGGTCATGTGAGTGACGAATGTCGTCATTCAACCAGGAGAGCCAGCCTAGGAGCGCACTCAGCGGAGCCAGCAATTGGACTGGCCGACTTACTCTTCGTCAAGCATGTATGTAGGCGGACACTTGATGTAGAAGGGGGGACTTGGTCCCTAGAATCCACAGAAAGAATTCAGTACAACTCATAGTAATCCAAATTTTGACAACACAAATCTAGCTCCTGCAGGGCTGTCTAGCTAGGGCCTCGATATGGAGCCTTATACCATGGCACTGTCCCAATTAGACAAACCTACTGCTGTTCTCCTAGACTTGTTTCGGTGGCTTGGGATAGCTAGCAATTTGACGAGGTTTTATATTCTTAGTTTCCTCAGACTCGGACAGGCACAAGTAAGGCACCCACACAAAGTCTGGGAGCAAGTGAAATGAAGGTTGTCTATGCGGCACAGACGTGCTGGGATTCTTCCTGATACGAGGGTTCCATTGACGGTCATCGTTTCAAGTTCAGGTAACCCACCCAACGTAGCTGGCACCCGCCCCGTGAGAAGTGAATTGTGAAGCAGCAAGTGCCGTAACTCCTCCAGAGCTCCAAACTCTGGTGGTATTGTTCCTCGGATGGCGTTGTGATTCAGCTTCAAGTGCCGGAGTTCTGTCAAGTTCCCAAGCAACGATGGGATGCTTCTGGATAATTCTGGCAATGCAGGGAGAAAACAATTGAGGCTTGGTGTGTGAGGAATGGCACCATTCGCTTCACGTCGATTGACATACCGTTGTTGGAGAGATCGAGGGACTGCAGGGATGTTAACTGAGATATCTCAGAGGGAATGGGTCCTGCTCAGTCAGTCACAGAAATTGAGTTAGGCAACGAGACGAAGCATCGAGTGAGCTTTTTGTTTGAGGAAACGTCAACTTACCAGTCAATTCGTTGTGGGAAACGAAAAGATGAACCAAGGGCTGATCGACCGTTCCTATCCCGGCAAGTGGACCCAAGAAGAAATTCTTGGAGAGATTGATGTGAATTGCGGACGTAAGATTCAACCATATCTGCGCTGGAATTGCGCCTTGCAACAGGTTTGCCGAGACGTCAAGATGATTCAAGGTGGAACCCAAAAGCCCAATCTCAGACACCAGGCTTCCCCCGATTCGATTGCGAGCAAGATCCAGGTGCTTGAGTGATGTCATTTCGCTCACTTGAGTTGCGATTTCGCCAGAAAGCAAGTTGCCGGCCAATTCAAGAGTTTGCAGCGCTCGGCAAGCGCCAAGCTCAGACGGAAGAACTCCTGTCAATCTGTTCTGTAAAATCCACAATCGCTGCAACTTTGAAAGCGCCCCGAGTTCAGTAGGAATCGACGAATTCAACCGATTGTTGGAGAAACCCAGAGAGAGAAGAGTCTCGTGCAACAGACCGAGCTCGCTGGGGATCGGGCCTCGAAGCTGATTTCCCCAAACTAGAATGTTCAAGAGACTCCTTGCTGTACCTAGCTCAGAGGGCAGTTGTCCTCCCAGGAAATTGTGGCCCACATCTAAAACCTCAATCTTGTCAAGGCTTCCCAGACTTGTAGGAATGAAACCCGTCAAGAGGTTGCCGCTCAAGTCTATCGTTCGAAGCTCGGATAGCAACGCTAGTTCCGGTGGCATGTTCCCTCTGAGTCCATTTCCTGGCAATAAAAGGGCAATGTACTGTCTCTCTTCCGTGATGTCACCATCCACCGTGACGTCAAGCTCGCATGGATCCTCGAGGTTCAGCGCTTCCAATCCCATAGGATCAGAAAACCAGGCACATTCGTGTACGCCATATTCGAGCCACCCTGTCGAGTTGGCCCACGGCGTGGAGTTGGTTGAATACCAGAGTGTTGCCAGGGCGAATCGTTGCTGAGCCCGTTGCGCGGAGAACTCTTGCAAGGACGGGTCTTCTTGTAACCACGTAAACGCCTTGGATTGTGGTGTTTCCGGGTCCTCTAACGCCTCTAGTGTGTAGTCTGGGAGAGTCAAAGTATCCAGAGTTGGACTCGCAGTGGGGGTATCTGTGAAATCCCAAGGTAGCTCGATCGTCGGCGACCCCGTTTCAATCGACGGACCACTAGTACTGCTGGGAATGCATTGACAATCGCACCCACAAAGACTCTCGGAACAGTCAAACTCCAACACGGTAATATTGCACACCGCGGAAGGCAGCTCTCCAGTGACGCTCGTGTTCGTCAACGTGAGTTCTTCCAAATTCGCAAGCGCGTCAAGTCGTAGCAAGTCGTCCGAATTCGCAACGTCGATAGTGTAGTAGTCACCTTCAATGGTCCCTCCCAACATGGGATTATGGGACAGCAACAAACGCTGCAACGACGCAACCTGGTTGAGTTCGGCAGGAAGATCGCCTGTCAAAGCGTTAGCCTCCAAGTCCAGAGTTCTCAAGGATCGCCTCAACAATCTGATTTGACTGGGTATGGACCCGGTGATTTGATTGTTTGCCAAGTGTATTTCTTGTAGTGTCATGATCGACGTTGTAGTGGATTTAGTCTCATTGCTTTCTTGCCGACCCACCTGACTAACAGTGCCCCCAAACAATGAAACTGGCAGGGTTCCTTGTAGCTTGTTGTCCTGCAGAAACAGGCCTTGCAGTCTGGACAACTGTCCAATTTCTACGGGTATCACCCCGGAGAGCATTGTTTCGTAGATCCACAACTGCTGTAGTCTCGACAATCTTCCCAGTTGGGTTGGTAGCGTGTTTGCGAGACGTGGATTTCCGTGCACGCCCAGGTTGACGAGACTGGTACAAGCGGTGAGAGGGATGGGCAGTGCTGGACCCGTCAGTTGATTCAAGCCGAGATCCAACGTTTCCAGCCGCGTCAGGGATGCCATTTCAGAGGGGATGGACCCGCCCAACAAGTTGCTGTTCAAATCCATTGTCGTCAAGGTCGACGGCGACAAGAGCAAGGGCACTTCGGGTGGCAGCGTACCTTCCAAGTTGTGATTGGGCAAGTACAGGATCAGATATTGATCTAGTTCGTTACAGGTTTCTTGTCGCGTGAGTGCGGGCATCATCCAATCGCATTCATGGGTATTGTAGCTCAAGAAGAACGACGGGACACGTCCATTACTGCTGTCATTGTCATTGGCTTGTTTGCCCGTGGCAGATGCAGATATCCAGCTATGTCCATTCGTGGCAAAATAGAGTGTTGCCAGTGCAAAGCGTTGTTCTGCCCGCTCCTGTGAATACTCTGACATGTTGGGATCCTGCAGCAACCATTGATATGCTTGTGCTTGAGGCGAGTTGGAATCTGCATCAATGGCTTGTGCCGTGACTGTAGGGAGTGGGAATAGAAAGGATGTGGGAGCGATGTTGGCGGGGCTGTGGGGGTGGCCGTGGTGGGGGTGGCTGTGGGGTTGGTTGTGGGGGCGGCTGTTGGGGCGGCTGTGGGATTGCTTGTGGGGATGTTTGTGGGGGTGGCTGTAGTAGGGGCCGAGGTGGGCGGTGCCGAGGTTGGTTCCTCTGTAGTGATGCTTTCCGCCGTTGGATTCACGGTCGGAAGTACGCTTGTGGCTGTAGCACTCGGTGGAAGGACGGGAGGACGGGTCGGCAATGCTGGCCGCACGGGGAATGTGGGGGGCGATACGGGAGGCCCATTGTCGTCCGAGTTGCCGGTAAGGAATCCCACAATGAGGAGCACCAATGCTACCACCACCCCTAGCAATCCAATAGCGCAAATGTATGTACCACATTTCCGTTCCTGTTTTCGTTTCGCATTGAGTTCTTCCGTGGTTTCGCTAGCGATGCTGTCTGGGTCGTCGTCGTTGTCGTCGCTGGACTGTTGCTGTGCGAGTTTTTGACTGGGCGTTTTGGCAGTGGTGGATCCCAGCAATGCCTGTTTGTCACCTTGTCCTACTTGTATCTCCTCTTCTTCTTGTTCCGCAACATCTGCCGATAAACTACCCACCATGAGCAAGGTGTCTTGTGTTGGATTATTCTCAATGACTCCAAAGTCATAGGCACCACCACCCGGGGCAGCAGCAGTTGTAGTAGTGGTTGTGGTATCTGTCTTCTTTTTGTTGACGTCTGGATCTTCAATTTCTTCCTTGGTTTCATCACTACTGGGAAGACTGGCCAATTTCAGTTCATCAAACGCAGTTGTTGCGGACGCATTGTTATTATTAGCATCATTATCGGGAGTATCCGTGTCAGCAGTGGTGGGTTCCACAATGTTTCTGTTTTCGGTGGTAGCTGTATCCCCTTGTGTCGGAAGTGACGACAAGTCCTGCTGCTGTGGTGCTGGAGGAACTTCTCCATGAGCTTTGTCTTGTTTTTCTGTGTCTTTTGCTGCCACATCATCTTCTATTACTGGTAGTGGTTCTTGTTGTGGCTCCTGAGCAGCATGGGATGGTGAATCTTCATTGTCATTTTGTTCTTCCTCCTTGTCTGATCCCACCATCAGGTCACTCTCTACAAGTGAAGTCTCATCGAGAGCTTGCTGCAACAACCAACTTGCTTCGTCTTGGTCTTCCAATGGTGGTTGTTGTGGTTGTTGTGGTTGTTGTGGCTGGTTTTCCGTTGAAACTTCTTCTGGTGGTGCTGAAGCTTGTAGAGTTTTTTCTTCCTCACCAGTAGTGTCTCCAGGCACGTTTTCTTCAGGCTCGAATTGGTCCGGAAGTTGATCAGTAGCGGTACTGGTAACAGCCACGGGTGAAGGCTCTACAGTTTCAGGGAATGGCTCTGAAAGTGGGGCGACCGTTACTGACGGGGTTGTCGTATGTTCAGGCTCAGGCTCAGGTTCAGGTTCACGGACTTCTACATGTACTTCTCCAATGTAACTGTCGTCATTGTCACTGTCATCGCCAGTAGCTTCATCGTCCGTCACCGTCACCGTGGCTGTCTGAGTCTGTGCCTGTGCCTGTGCCTGTGCAAGTTCTGGCTGAGACTGAAGCTGAAGGTCTTGTTCTGTCTCGGCTGCTTCAGTCACTGGTGGAATTTCAGATTCCTCCATGGTCAAGGCAGAAGATCAGGTCAAGTATAAGTGAAGTTAGAAGATCAGGTCAATCTTAGTTGGAAGCTACTGTACTACAGCTTTGCCTACGAATGGATCCAACAGGCAGGCAGGCAGGTACAGTAGGTGGCCAATGCGAGGGAAGGCGCTTGACGGTGGCGCAATAATATCGAGCTAGCTGCAATATCAGTTTCTTATTACCCATTGTCGAACAGATCGTTGCCTGCCAGAAGGGATGCCACAGACGAAATTCAGAACCAAAAAAGATTTCCTGGTCCACAATTTTGGGAACGCGAACGTTCTCTGGACAATAATAATTTTGGTCACGTTCCAGCCGCATTTTTGGTCCACAAAAATGGCGTGGATTATTGCGAGGCTTTTTCAAACAAAGAACAAAAATAGCTAGCTAGCTAGTACGGCTACGGTACCGTAGAAGGAAAGCGTACCGTACGTCACGGCTGCCCGTTCATCCTCTACTGTTCATTCACGATACGGCCACAAATAACACAAACCCAACAACAACCAACAACAGATGATTTGCTAAATGCAGCAGCACTAATGGTAGATCGTTGTCATAGGAGGAGTACACATTCTTAATTATTAATTAGACTAATATAATGGACAACATCCAAAGCATATACAGTCAACAGAAAATGGACGTGGAGCACAATCGACATATATGTCATACAAATTTGGGAAGAAACAAAGACTGCTGGGTACACTGCCACTCAACTGGTTGTCTCTCAAGTCCAAAAAAGTCAATGAGGTCAATAATCCAATCTCAGAAGGAATGGTTCCACTCAACTGGTTGTTATACCAGCGCAAAACAGCCAATGAGGTCAATAATCCAATCTCAGTTGGAACATTTCCACTCAACTGGTTGTCATGCAAGCGCAAAGAATACAACACAGTCAATAATCCAATCTCAGTTGGAATTGTTCCACTCCATGTGTTGCCAGACAACAATAACCTAGTCAATGAGGTCAATAATCCGATCTCAGTGGGAATGGGTCCAATGAGGTCGTTATACATAGACAACCAAGTCAAGGAGGTCATCAATCCAATCTCAGACAGAATGGTTCCGCTCAACTGGTTGCCAGACAAAGACAAATAAGTCAAAGCAGTCATCAATCGAATCTCAGAAGGAATGCTTCCACTCAATTGGTTGCCTTGCAAAGACAACCCAGTCAATGAGGTCAAGTATCCGATTTCAGAAGGAATGCTTCCGCTCAACTGGTTGTATTCCACAGACGACCTAGTCAATGAGGTCAATAATCCAATCTCAGAAGGTATGTTTCCATTCAACTGGTTGTTGAACAAGACCAACCAAGTCAAAGCAGTCATCAAACCAATCTCAGAAGGAATCACACCCACCAAGTCATTATTACGCCAATCCAAATGAGTCATGGCAATCAAGTATCCAATCTCACTTGGAATCTCACCCCCCAAGTCATTATTATTACGCCAATCCAAAAGATTCAAGGCTGTCAAGTATCCCACCTCAGTTGGAATTTCACCAACCAAGTTGTTCCCAGACAAATCCAGGTAAGTCAGCCTTGTCATCACAAACCAATCTCACTTGGAATCTCATGTACCAAGGTGTTATTACCCAAATCCAAGTATGTCAAGGCAGCCAAGTATCCAAGCTCACTTGGGATCTGACCCACCAAGCTGTTATGACGCCAATACAACAAAGTTAGGGCTGTAAAGTATCCGACCTCAGTCGGAATGCTTCCAGTGAGACCAGCATAATCTTGACTAATCCTTGAAGTAGTGGCAACATTATAGGTTGTACCAAAGAGCTCAACTGTATCTGGTGGCGTTATGGTAGGTTGACCCATGGGTTGTGACGTGGGACTGGGAGAGGACAGATTTGTAGTTGGATTGGGAGTGGTTGGTTGTGCAGTTGGTTCAAGAGTTGTTCTTTTGGATGGAGGATTGGTTGGTCTGTTCGTAGAAGGCGCCACCGTCGGGTTGCTGGTAGTGGGATTCGAATTTGGCGAGTTGCTCGGTTGGTTTGAAGGGATGGTACTGGGGCTGGGCTGTTTGGTAGTTGGTTGCGCTGTTGGGTCAAGAGTTGGCATTTTGGATGGAGGATTGGTTGGTCTGTGTGTAGAAGGAGCTACTGTTGGGTTGCTGGTAGTAGGTTGTTTGGTTGGAACTGTCGATGGGCTAATGGTGGGATTTGTGGTTGGAATTGTGGATGGTTGTATTAAAGGGATGCTACTGGGGTTGTCACTAGCCACCTTTGTTGGATTTGTCGATGACACAAATGAGGGTTTGTTGCTGGGATCGGCACTGGGAGTAACGGTTGTAGGATTCATCCTACTAGGCTGAGCAGATGGACTGGAGGATTGCCATGCTGAGGGTTGAGGAAATGATGGCAATGTAGGGAGGTTCTGTATTGGCTGCTGTGATGGGAGAAATGTCAGAGTCTGAGGTGACATGGGAATATTAGTTACATCACTGGACGGTGATGCCGCTACAGGCTCCTTATTTGAGGAAGAAGTACAAAATCCAGATCCACATAGAATTCCTGTGATTGCTACTGCTGCTGCTGCCAGCACGATAACAATAATGGCACAGAGCCGTCTCCCACCAGGAGTGCTTGTATCTGGCAGGCAATACCTGGATGGATCAACAAGATATGCACTGACGGGTTCAACTTCGGCCTCAACCACAATGCCTTCAGGGTCTTGGTGCTCTGATTCCAGCATGGAACCTGTGGGTGACATTTCTGGTGGCAGCTCCTTGCTCCTTGAGCTTGTGGTTTTGTTGCAAGAGGAATAGGCGACTATTTTGCTGCTTCAAAGATCTGTTAAACAGACCTGTCCTCGGGTTAGTGGCTATAGCTGGCTATTCTCAAAGGCAAGTAGTGTGCTTGTAGTCTCCCGACCGTTGTATCGATCTGCTATGGCTTGTCGTTGAAGATTAAGGTTAGGGATACCCAGATCTGCTTGAGACAGCCAACCTGACAGTGGCGAGTAAATGTTACTACCGGTAGTCTAGCTAGTAGTATCTTCGTTTACTACTACCGTACTTGTAGAACCGGTAGTGGTTCGGTTGATCGGTCTAATAAGGATTTCTTTGTTGCTTCTTGTTGAAAAAGGTTCGATGCGACAATGGCCAAAAAATGGATGAAGCCGTCGCTCGATCATAACAAACCAGCTCGGTAGATGCGGTAAAACACTTTTGTCATTTAGAGCTTTAGAGCAAATTGTAACCTTAACTTTATATTTACCTTAACTACTGTTTAATGGTCATCGCGGCTTGGATCCATGCATCAATAACCCAAAACATCGCAACGTACCGGTACTGGTATCGTCATGGCTATCGTAATACTCATCCTTTTTTTGAAGAAGAAATTGATTTCAATAGACATTCACATTCGCTGCATGTACCTACATTCCACGTCCTTTGACGTACTCTGTCGTTCCATTGCTCCGACATACGGTACCGGTAGCCACGGAGACGCGAGCCACGGAGACTCGATGGTCGTAGTAGCCAGCGCCTAGTGGTATCATAGTGCGGTCTTGGGAGAATGGAGAGGTGCGAGCCTTTCAAAAAGGTTGGCTCAGCCACGGTGAATCGAATCGTTTCCTCCGTGACACCACGAAGCAACCTATTTGGCTTCTAACAGATCTGATGAATACCACAGTCACCACCAAAACACTCACATTCTATTTTTCAAAAGGGTTTCAACCAAGCAACACGTCAGGGCAGTCTCCGTACCGCACAGTGGTCTTTCTTAAACAGGCGAGATAATGATGGAGGCAAACGTCGACACCGCCGCCCGCTGCCCATACATTTGTAGTATTCACGACACGGCACAGCAAACAACAGATGATCGGCAAATGCACAACCATTTTTAGGAGATAGTAATCGTAGTAGTAATACACATTCTTATTGACTTTCATTTTATTAAGTGCAAACACATTGACTGCATGTGCAGTCCACAGGAAATGGATCTCCAGATTTCGAGCAATCTACCCATATCCCAAACATATCTTGGTTGGAACAAAGACTCCCGGGCACGCTGCCACTCAATTGGTTATCATGCAAAGACAACCTTGTCAATGCGGTCAATAATCCAAGTTCTGAAGGAACACTTCCACTCAAGTTGTTGATATCCAAAGGCAACCCAGCCAATGCAGTCATCAATCCAATCTCAGAAGGAATCCTGCCCCTCAACTGATTGCGAAACAAGCCCAAAAACGTCAAGGCTGTCAACAATCCGATCTCACTTGGAATGGTTCCGCTCAATGTGTCGTTGTACACGCCCACATAAGTCACAGTAGTCATCAAACCAACTTCCGTCGGAATGGTTCCGTTCAACTTGTTGTTAGAAATGTCCCAAGCAGTCAACGAGGTCAATAATCCAAACTCGGAAGGAATGTTACCGGTCAACGCGTTGCCATACGAGACCAAAAAAGTCAAAGCAGCCATCAATCCCATCTCCGTTGGAATGCTTCCGCTCAACTGGTAATTATCTCGCAACGACAGCCTCGTCAATGCGGTCAATAATCCAAGTTCCGAAGGGATGTTTCCGCTCACTGTGGTGTTGGACAAGCCCAGATAAGTCAACTTGCTCAACAATCCAAGCTCCGTGGGAATGTTGCCACCGATGTTGGTGTTGTGAGACAAGTCTAGAAGAATCAAGTCCGTCAAGTATCCCAGCTCCGTTGGAATCTCCCCCACCAAGTTGTTTGGACCCCAATCCAGAAGAGTCAATGCCGTCATGTACCCAATCCCCGTTGGAATGGTTCCAGTGAGACCAACATATGCTTGCTCAATCCGAGACGTATTTGCAGCATCGTAGGTTGTGCCAAAGAGCTCCACTGTCTCTGGTGGCGTTACGGCTCTAGTGGTAGGCTGAGTAGTTGCAGGTTGTAGAGTGGGACTGGGAGAGAGTGGATTTGTAGTTGTAGTTGGATTGGGAGTGGGTTGATTGGTTGAAATTGCTGTAGTCGGTTGAGGTGACATGGAAACAGGTTTGTTGCTGGGATTTACACTGGGGCTGATGGTTGTAGGATCCATTTTACTCGACTGAGCAGATGGACTGGAGGATTCCCATGCTGAGGGACGAAGAACTGTTGGTTGCGGTGATGGGGGAAATGTCAAAGTCTGAGGAGCCATGGACATGGGAACATTAGGCACATCACCGGATGCTGATGCTGGTACAGGCTCATTATTTGAGGAAGAAGAAGAAGTACAAACTCCAGATACACAAAGAATTCCTGTAATTGCTACTGCTGCCAGTGCAAAAACAATAACAATAATGGCCCAGAGCCGTCTCCCACCAGCAGGGGTGCTGTTGTTTTTGTTGTTGGCGTCAGTGGTCTGCGTCAAAGAAGCTTCTGTTGGCGGCGGCGGTGGTGGTTCATTGTCCATCTCATCTTGCCATTCCGAATCATGCTCTGGTGGCATCGATGTCAGAGTAGGTACTGGTTTGGCATCCGATGGTTCTTGAGAATGGTTTGATGTTCGAGAATGGTTTGATCTTTTTTCGTTTTCCTCTGCCGTGGACTTGGCAGCATCAACAACAGCATCACTGTCAGATTGTTCTTGAGAATGGTTTGGTCTTCTGAGTCCATGCTTGGCTAGCTTTTCGGAGATGGCTCCTCTGGCTGCCACTCTAACTTCTTGAATTGGATTTTTGAGTCCATGCCTGGCTACCTTCTCCGATACGGCTCCTCTAGCAACGACTTGAACTTCTTGTAGTTGATGTGTGGCAGTGCCAAACTTGTTGGTAACGGCTGGTGGTTGATGATTGTGCAAACCTTTTGAGGGCAAGTCTTCTTCTTCCAGTCCACCACTTTCAATTTCAAGTTCAATTTCATCTAGCATTCGTACCGAGACCAGAGGCGTGTTGGTGGAACGCCTGGAACGCCTCTGTCTCTGACTGGCAATCAGGTGCGCTGAAGCTATAGGAATGTTGTCATCCATGGTCGATCGATCTGTTCGTTCAAAAGACAATAAGCTGTGGCACGTTGTTTGGTTCTGTTTGCGTCCGACTGAGCTGAAGGTTAGGGTTACTCCGATGAGCTTGGTGAACTCAGTCGTCGCAGCCAGCTAGCTAGCCAGTGAGCGTGTTCTTAGTTTCAGATGATGATGTCCCTGGTAGTAGACTAGAATAGTTAGCTAGCGAGTTTCGAGCGGTAGCAGTGCGATCGGCGACAACAACAAACGGAGATAGTGGTATGCTAGCTAGTAGCGGTGTGGTTGATTGATCGAAGGATAACTTATTATTGTTGCTGCGTGTTGAAAGACGGGCAATGACCAAACTACAGTGTGGAAAATCGCGTAGCGGTGTGTGTTGTTAACGGTCCTTGTATGACTTTAACATGACCGATTTATTTTAAATAAGCCAGCGGAGCTGTGTAACCTCGGCAGAAAGGTTTCAGTGAAGAAGCAGATACGCCTATTAGCTAGCTAGCTAGCTAGAAGCAGATACCTGTAGTGCTTAGCTAGCTAGTGCTTAACTTGCGCTTAGCTAGCTAGAAGCAGATCCCCTAGCTAGAAACAGATTCCCATAGCAAGCTAGAAGCAGATACCCCAAGCTAGCTAGAATACTAGATATAGCTTTTGCTAGCTTTAGAGTTTTTCCTGGTAGAAGCAGATCCCCCTACTAGGATGCATGTAAATAGCTTTAGCTGGTTTTTTTAAAAAAGCACCATCCTAGGATACTTATTTAGTTTTTGCTGACTTATTTGTATTCTAACCCTACCCTTATACCTGCAGGGACCACCGTAGCAGGAAAAACAATTAAAGGGGTTGAGGGCTCTGGCAGCAAGACTGCCGAGGTAATTGTGATGAGGTAGTCTAGGGACACAGGGACACTGAGAAGCTGGCCACTATCATGCGAATTGAATCAGAATGGAATCAGAATGGAATGGAATGGAATGGAATCGAATCAGGGAGCCTACGGGTTCCGAATGAAAGTATTGAAGTCAATAGCTCTAGTGTTCAGCAGCCCAGCTGCGTTACATAACGCTAAATGCGTTAATATTAAAATGCTATAACTCTCTCGCTCTATCTATAATATACATTGCCTTGTCCACCAGTACCTGCACTGAGGGAATAATGTTGGTAAGAAAGCAATTCGTTCTTGAATTCGTATCATCAACAAACCCTGTCATGAACAGCTTGACCCGCTTTGAGCCGTCTGGGCTGGCAAAGGTGGCGCCAGTCGCATAGGGCTCGAAACAATCAAATAGTGTGCTCGAAATAAACAGCCATAAGGCAGGGGAGTTACCAGCTCCTTGGCCAGACCCGTGCCAGGGATCTTCCTCCGTATGACCGAGAAATGTGACTGACGTTCCCAGAGTGGTCTTGATATGGTACTGGGCCTGTTCCAGGTTCATTCCATTCACTTTACAGACACGTACCGGCATACCCATCTTTCGGCTTGCAAGACTGGCAATGTACATGAGAATCCTGTCGTAGCACGCAGCTGCGTCATTGTCATTCTTGATTAGGGGGTGCAAGCAACAACATGACACTTCGTACTCTAATTCCTCCATATAACAGAGATCAATTGCTGACCTCCCTGGAACGGAACCAAATTGCCGGGTGTTGATCAGCCCTTGCTTGGAGGCATGGTGGAGGAGTTCGCGCCACTTCACTCCTAGAAGCAGGTTATAATCGGCTTCAAAGATATGGATGACTCGCAGACGATGGATTTTGCAACCACCCTCATCCTTGGGGATGAGGGTATTGACAATTTTGTTCCATCTACAGTAGGCAAAGCCCTGTTCCAGAGCAAAATTGAGGAGCCGAAAGTGGGCCTGCTTGATCTTGGTTTGAAACTCTGCCAACTCCTTTCCTTCCTCAGACTCTGGGTCGAGACTGTGTTCTGTAAAGAGAGATTTCCAATGACCGAGATGTTGTCCAGAGGGAGAGGTTGTAGTGCGTTCATTCCAGCTCTTGAGTTTCCCATCGAACTGTTCCTCTGTCAATGTTGCTGGAATCTCACCATCGCAAGCCCGACCCAGATGTCGAAGGAGGACTGCTGTAGCAAACGACATTTCGAATGGGCAAATGTCGTATTCTCCATCGAGGATTGCATCGGCGGTAGCAGTGCTGGCGGAGAAGTCTGTATCGGTGCGCAATGTGAAGTCGGATCGGAATTCTGTCTCCTCAGCCTGCCGGAAATGCTTTTTGAGGTGAGCCTGGAGATGTCGTTCAATTTCCTCGGGATCCTCAACATACATCCAGTCTTGACACTGTTTCGGCGGCGCGGTGGGGTCTCGGGGGACTTCCAAGGCTGTTAGTCCCGCACCATGACATTTACCCCGCGCGTGGGCACACATTTGCCATGCTCTTCGAGTGGCTTCAGCGTTTCGCAAGCGCTTCATCACATTAGCCAACCGTGTGTCTCCTTCTGACTCGTATTGGGCTTGGAGTTCCATTTGGTACTCTTGGCGCAACTTGTGGGTTCTCCACTCATCCACCTCCGCCGCACGAAGTTCCTTGCGGGCTTGCTTCTTTCGTTTCTTGCAGTTTTCCAGCGATGTGGGTAGTTCAAAAGCTGGATCGGAGATTCGCTCCATAACACCAACGGCGCTCCAAGACCAGTACCTCTCACCAGGAAGAAGCTACTGCTCGCGGCAATACAGATGTATCACCATTGGTCGTTCAAGAGGAAGGCACCCGTCCGCATCGTCTCGCTGATGGTCACCGCCCTCGATGCTTTCAGAGTTGGACTCTTCCAGCCGCACGGCGAAATCGTCCCATGGCAACAAATGAGACGCAGCGATGCCACGGTGACCGATGGGGAGCGTGCAATCGCACTTTGGGACAAGAACAACAAGCCCATCCGCTCAGAGTTCAGAGAGTTTCGCGACGAATCAGTCTTCATCAAATGGAGGAAGAACTTCCTCAACACGCTCAAATCTCAAGGTCTCTCCCACCTCATTGATTCTGACTTCACGGTCACCAACGTCGAACTAGACGAGAAACAACGAGAATGGATGTACAAGACCTTCGAAGACATCTTCCAAGAAGCACAGGCAAGATCTGTCGTCCTTGCCAACGAAACCAACAAGGACACTCGTGCGATCTGGAAGGCAATTGACGAATATTACTCCAAGTCCATGGTCGCAACCCTGCGCTCGGATAAGATTTCGTGTTATCTCACCTCCGCCGATATCGCAGAAGGTGTATGGAGAGGGTCCCAAGCTGGTTTCATCTCCAACTTCCTCGAACAATTTCGGCAGTACAATGAGATCAGCGACGAGCCGTACACTGACCAACAGGGGGCACGTTTCTTGGAACGCTCAATCTCCAAGGCACCAAATCTCGCCCCTGTACGACGTCTCGCACTGCAAACCAAGAAAGCTGCAGGCGACACCTCCGGAGATTTGCTCCATTCGGAGTCGAATCTGATTGGTAATGTCGTTCTTGCATTGGAGTGCATGCAGGGCCATCGTCAGGACTTGGAATTTCAAGCGTAACTGGGTCAATGCGGGGGAACTGGGAATGGGCGAATAGGTCGGGCACTTTTTGGCGGCATGGAGGCTTGCAGAAAGGAGGAGTTGGTCCAAGGCCTCAGCCTCTTGCTGGGTAGGTGCCTGGTTGAATCTCCAGAGTCGTTGAAAGAATCCATGATTGTCAAGATAGCTGTACTTGGATTTGATGTAGGTGGTGACTTGATGGCGTTTCTTGGAATGCACCCTTCGTTGACAGGGCTTGGGTAAAGCTGCTGTATCAGACCCAAACAGCTGTTTCAAGTCGAAGTCAACAAAGCAGGCACGGTGGTCACTATAGAAGTGGTCACAGAACGGATGGTAACCACAAGCGTTGACAGCATCCAAAAGGTTTTCAGAAACGAGGATGTAATCGATTACCTTACTGCCTCTGACATAGGTGTTAAAGTCACTGATTCCGTGATTGTAGAAAATTGGATCTACAAGCTTGCAATCGGAGACCAGTCGTGACAGCCCCTTCCGTCCTCTTGCCAAATCGTCATTGAAATCGCCACCCACAATAATCTCATGACCATTTGCGATGTCTTTGGCCACGCATTCCTGAAGATCATCATAGTGGTTCCTCCTTGGATCTAGGGACTGCCGTGATTCCTGTACATAGATGGCATGTAGTTGGGCCAGAACGGTCCTATCACCAGCCCTCTCAACACTCCCATCGGTCACAGTATACACATTGTAAACTGATAGTCGCTTTCCATCTTTGCAGGATAGAACCGTCCTTGTCCAGCGGCCAAGGTAATCTGCCTCGGCCTCCAACACTCTGCCAACGGTGCGGCCCATCACCAGAGATAGAGAGTCCCTCCTGGCTTGTATTCTCTCAAGTGGATCTGTGGAGTGCTGCCAAAAGTGACCTTCCTATGGTCAAAGGCCTTCCTCACAGCTGCTTGAATCTTCCGTCGCACACCTGGCTGGTTAGTATCAAGATTGGGCTCCTGAAATCCAGCATAATCGGTTCCTAACATTCCCAAAGTTTTGCATTCTTCAAAGAGTTCCCCGCCATTTTCATCATAAAGTGGGAATCCTCTCTTGTTGTTGAAGATGAATCGCGCCACATGTGGTGGCTTCTTGGGTGGCATAATGTCCCCCACTGGCTCATTTCGAGCCAGCATCCCCTTGATATTGTCCCATGAGTCAAAGTCATCCACTAACGGTGATTCAACTGCCCCTGTAGGTTGGCCTCCGCCCAGCGAGTCCCATAGAACACTTTGTGCCGGGGGAGCCCAGCCCATCTTTAACTACCCCGCCCACCAGGATGCCCCTGTGGGTCCTGGTTGGGTGGGGGTTGAGATGGGGGTTGGGTAGGCTGGGGAAATCCTGGGTAGAATCCTGCACCACCAGCAAGATACTGTAATCCATGGTAGGGTGGTGGCTGCGGCTGCTGGTAAGGCTGATAGGTGGCTGCTGGATACAACTGTGCTGGCTGAAGAGAGCGTGGATCGGCACGAGGATGCTTGTCATCTTGCTTGAGTAGAGGAGACGTAACAGGAATACCATCTTGAGTCGCAACTGGTACATTTGAAGGTGGTGGTCGCTTCTGATAGGGATTGCCATGGTAGCCCTGCAGAAAATCTGGGTGTGTATACACATCATTAGTGCCTTGGTGGTGGTATTGTCCATGGGCTGGAGACTGATGAGGAGTCTGGTAACTTCCATAGTGGGGCGCTGTCATACCCGGTGCTGGACCATCATTGGCACCCCCTCCAGGAGGATGTGGTTGTCTGGAGGAAGGAGGATTAGAGGGGGTGGCAGTGGCTTCAGATGGTCTTTGCATGTTACTGAACAAGGCCATCATCTGCTGAAATCTTGCTTCACTGGCTACCTGGTCCTTTTGGTGCTTTGCTTCCAGTTGTTGCAGTTGTTCCTGATGTTTCTTCTCCATTCTTTCCATGGCATCTAATGTGGACTTGGTCTGTTGCTGCATAGCTAATGTGGACTTGGACTGTTGTTCCATGGCTGCTTTGAGGGCTGCTATTTCTTTGGGCGGTGCATCAATAGTAACATCACTGGTTGCCACAGTGGTGGCTGTAGCTGGTACAGAGACATTAGGCACTGGTGCCGGATTCTGTCCCCAAGTTCTGACTTTGTCTGCCCAAGTAGTCACAATTGCTTCCACTGAAGCAAGGGAGGAATCATCTTGATACAGTGTGTGAAAGGAGCGACTGCTGTATGAGTACTGATCCCAAGAGTCATCCCTTGGAGTTCGTGGTTGTCTTTGAATGACAGAAGGCTCCTCATCCTGAAGGGCATAGTCTTGTGGGAAGATGGTGGCATCCGAGAAGATATCTTTGAGTTTTTCCACCACTGTGTCTCTAGCACTCTTTTGGCAAATGGCATAGTACTGTCCTGCAGTGGCATAGGATTTGTGGCGTTCCAGATCCAACAGTAGGGGCTTGCCATTGGCAGTGACAATCTTCTCTATGAGCAAAGGACGAATTTCATCTTCAAAGTTTGGATTCAGATCTTGTAGGGGGACTCCAGTGGTGGCATTGATGACATCCATATGTTGAATCATTGCCTTCTTCATAAGGTCATGGTGCTTTCTTTGTCTGCTGATCGTGTTCAATTTTAGGCTCAGTAGATCCAACTGTGGGTGTTGCAGAGTGGGGTCATTGGCAATGGCTTTCATCAGATTCTCAAAGACAGGACGGTCGGTGATTCCAACTTGGATGCCAAGGATGTCAATCTTCTCAGTATCGACCTTGACTTTGGTTGGAACAATGGCAATGGGACAGGTTATGGAAGGCCTCTGCTGACGTAGCCAACTAGATACCCTAGGTAACAGGCCATCACGGAAGGTCTTCTTAGGATTCTTCCCGGCAATGTAGCATACCGTGGCAGTCTGGGATTCTTCTAAGCTGTGTGGCCGCAGGAAGAGCTTGTGTTCTTTGAGAAAGGGAACCACCCCTTGAATCTTCTTTAATGCACCAGGCACGCTGTCGTAATCAGGGCTTTGCACATAGAAAGAACAGGCAAATCGACGAATGTAGTCATTGATGGGTCCCCAGTCCATCACTGAGGCATTCGGTGTCGTGGGAGATGAGGGCCACAGCGTGGCGGAGGGCGTTGATGATGAACTGGGGCTTCACAGGGTACCACCGGTTGCGGGCCGCATTGAAGTGGTTGAAGAGGGGAGTATCAGCATCGGCGCCTTTGGTACGGAGATGGTAGACCACACGCGCGAGAGACTTCACCGGGCAGAGCCACGGATCAGAGGTCGGGCGGTGGCCCACGGATTCGCAGCGGACAGCATTCTTTTGGTCAGTGAACGTAAACGTGCATCGGTGAGGCACGCGTGGTTCTTCACGTCATTCAAAGAGATGGTGTCTCCGCGGATTTGGAGGCCGCCGCGGACAGGGTTGGGAGCGTGGAACCCTCGCAGAGGAAAACCAGCACCTAATCCACCTTGAGAAGAAGCTTTTGGTGACTGCCAACAAGGAGACAACAGGAAGAAATCAGCAACGAAAAAGCTCAGCCAGCAAGGGAAAACTTGCTGTCGTTGCAACCCCAGTGTTCAATATCCAGGGTGATCTCATTGGAATTCATGGAAACCCAGAAAGTCCTGTGGGAATACACGACAACTATTACTTCCTGGAAAGCCCAACCTCCTGGGGGGAATGTTCATTGAGGCAGCAACAAAGGAGGCGGCTAAGAACAGGCAGGGCAGGTACAGAACCGGAAGAACACAACACGAATTAGGTTTCTTGATCATATTAGCCACCACCATTTAACAGCAACATGGAGGCAAAACAACAGCTTAATGTCTTCATATAAAAGCTACCAAAGCAATGCCTTCGTACAATACAGATGTTCTAGCAGGGGAAAGACTGGTTGAAAGCGGAGACAAGGTAGGTCAGATTCCATTCCATTTAATTCCATTCCATTTAATTCCACAGCGTGGAAGCTTTGATGGCTCCACGCAGTGGAATGGAATCTTTTTTAGTGAATAGGCCTGCGCCCTTTCCTTCTAAACATGACATTTTTCTTCTTTGAACAAACGCAATTAGGACCCAACTTCACCAGCGCAGGAACCAGCCAATGAACTTCTAAGTTGCATCCATTGTACCATAAATTGACTTGCATCCACCACGGAAGAAACAACAGTACCATGACAGGAAGGGGTACTAAAGGAGGAACCACCAAGAAAACTGGAGGAGGAGCAGGTGGTGTTTCACAAACAGAGTTTAACAAGTTTTATGATAACGCCACATCCGACTTTACATCCCTCAATGGCAGGTGTGATGCATTGGAGGAACGAGTCAACGAAATGGAGAGACTGCTCAAGGAAGCCAGTGACAAAGATGTGCAGCTAAGACAGCAATTCGGACAAACCATTCAACAGCTTGAAACTAAGCTTCACGCTGCCCTCTGCAGGATAAAGGATTTGAGCGAAGGATGAGGCACTGCAGATTTGAGAAAGAAAATGAAGGATCTGAACAAATTGTGTCGCCCGATGCCATGGAAAGAACCTTCCACAATCTCTATGAAGCCCGGTTGCAAGAAAACGAGAAGAGTTTCACTGGAACTGGTAGTGGGACAGGCCAAATTCGGCAGTCCGTATTGAGGCGAGAGGTGGGTACAGGGATTTCCAAAAAGCTGAGAACTGCAAATACCTTAGAGTGAAGGTTGTCGAGTAAATAGTGACAGCCATGCATCCATTGCTGTTTTGTTCGACATGATGCAAACTAACCATATCACATACTTCTCTGGTCTGACAGGTTCCTCCAGAAGAGTATTTTTCCGGTTGGCTTCTGGTTCTTTAACTCTACAATGGAGGGTTACATGGCTGGATTACATCATTGATCCAATCATTGAGACTGCATTGGGTGTGACTGACAGTGTTTTCCGCATGGAGCTCCGGCCATTGGTTTCTAAGATAGCACAAGAGATCAAGGATGTTACTGTGAACAACAAGAAATCCCCTTTCCGCGACTACCTAAAGAGATGTAAGTGCCACGACCACGTTTATTGTATTGAACTAATGCACTCACTCAGTGTTGCATTCTGCGGCTTCTTCACCTTTCATATAGACTTGATGAATCAAGCTGGTCCTGAGAGTATACAAGATGTCGACATTCCAACCATGACATGCATTCAGTTGGCCTTTGAAAAGGATCCCTCAATTGGGTCAAGTTGCCAAGTACCCAAGGCTTGGTGCGCTCCGTTTCTTCTACCACGTGGGCATTTTCGCTATGTATCCCAAGCTGAAGAAATCCCAAGATAAGTATTCGTGAGAATTCCTTGGACCAGAGCAATGGTGCTGCGAGGCAGCAACGGCAGCCACCTTAATCGACGTGGCGGCAAAAAAAGACAACATCGTTCACAACCTGAGCCTACAGCAGAGGAGCCAAAACAACGGTATCAAAGAAAAAAGAAGAAAACCAAGATGATCACTATTTAAAGGCATGTGGCCCGAATTGACTAATAAGTTTAGTGACTGCTGCACGAAGTTCAGTGAGATGTTGAAGGATCCACAGCAGTTTGATTTGCTCAAGAAATGGGAGAATAAACTTGGCATTTACCAATCGTCCCACAAAACGACCCATGCGATGCAGCGAGCAGCTGCAGGCCCACTATGTGTTGTGCAGAATTCTGCTGCCGAGGATGCATGCAATATTGACAAGAGGGTGAGTTCCATTGCGAGTCCCTATGATTGTTCATGCAAGCAATTCGGGCTCATGGCAGCTTGCTTTGCTTCCTGATCGTTCCCTACTAACGACCCCCGATCTTTGTGCTTCCTCTTGCTTGTACACACTTGTTGTTCCTGCTTGGCTGGTACTAAAGAAATCCGACAACTATCTGATTACTTTGTTCCAAAATGCATGCGGCAATGGCAAGGCCAGAAGAATTGGTGCTGGTGGTCCTCGTGCTGCTGGCGCAAACAACCCCTACAAGATGCCTCCACTCACCGGCACAAACAGCGAGAACAGCACAGCAGAAGAAGCAGCAACAAGATGCCTCCACTCACCGGCACGAACAGCACAGCAGGAGAAACCTCCTCGTCATCCAATGACGATGAGAGTACGTCCAATTCCCCCAAACCACATTCATCACAGCTGCACTCCAAGAATGATGCTAACTTCCTGCTTTACCAAACAAACAGTCAAGTTCCAGACGCGACCACAAACACAATCTGATTCTCACCCCTAGCTAGAGCTGCCTCTGCAGGATGCATATCTGGACCCATGTAGTGCACGCCCTCGCATTTATTAGAATTAATCCATAGTTCTTGTTTCGACTGTAAATCGTACTAGCAGTTCAAGTTACTACTTAGACCAACCATGTTGATTTGTGGTGGTACATTGTGAGCCAGTGTCGTGGAATAATAATTTACTTAGGGCCCACCATGTTCGAATCTGAACCTACGACAAATGGCTACATAGTGACACTATTTGAATCTTGGGGCCACAATGTCAACTTGTTGTGACGTAACGAGCTTTCTTCCCCTATCCATATCCACACATCGTGCGGCACAAAGTTAACATCGTCTATCGACATTATCCCACCATGTTTCGCTGTCGTGACACCATGTTTCCAACACCAACAATCAATTTTGGTGAGACGACGTTGGGGGTGGTCGTACACCAAGTGAAAACGTCCGATTTCAGTTCGTAGATGCTCATTAGTGACTTAGCTTGGTCGGAAATCTAGTGAGAACACGTCTAAGTCCTTCAGAAAGACCCCCGTCACCTCGCTCGTGAGTTAAGGAAGAACTGGTACACGCACTCATACTAGTACACCACAGTCAGTTGATTCCTGCACAGGAATCACCCTTGAAGAACACATAACGCATGGCTGACTACTAATCGGTATTTAGCAGCTTCATACAGTAATTGTCTCATGCATGTTCCAGGAAGATACTAGCATAGTTGTCTATAGTGAAATAGTACAATCGCTGAAAGAACGCGACTAGTCAGTTTGCACGATCAACCCGAACACTTCCTACCCCTCACCTTAACGTCGTCAAAAAAGGGTGAGAGCCCCCGGAATTCCCAGAGGTTCCGGGGGAGAACACACGATTGAACGAGAACCCGTACCTTCACCGCTGACGTACGTCGCTCCGATGACGTACGAGCAACTCGAAGATCCTTCCGTGAACCAGAAGGCTAGCGCTTGAATACAGGCAGCGCTAAAGCGTAAGAAATACCTGCATACACACCTGTACGTGTATTAGTGCTGGCTTGTCACAACTGCTCGAGTACCGGTAACACGAGAAAACAGCAGAGATGTTCGGCAATGGGGGAGTGATAAATGTGGTTTATATACCACAAAGATTGCCTCCTCTCTCACCGAATAGATAAGATTTTTTATGATTTCATAGAGAGTTTCTGTACCCTTTGGTTCCAGTCATGCTCTAAGATTGTGTGTTCTTTCTTTGCCTGTTCTGTGAGTTCTACAAGCTGAGCTTTCAGCCATCCTCTATTTAAAGAGTTTTCTAGGTCTTCAACACCACCGATAACTTTTAGAAGCGAGAGCTCTGGATCCCGTCAGAGATAGCTCCAACAGCTATGCTGGCCTACAGCTCCAGCACCGCAGCTGGCTTATCTCCAGCCAAAGCAGCAAGAAAGGATCGTCCTTTCCATCATAGTTAAGAAAATAGTACGAAAGATTGAGACCGATCCTGATTAGCTTGTAGCCCATTGATACCGCAGCAGTTGATACCAATCCTGTTGAGGCCGGGCAGAAGCAGTAGGAGGTAGCAGATAGTACTGTTCCCAGACTGCCACTGCACGATTGAATAACGAAGGTCCCCAGCTCCTGAGGAGAGCTGGCCCAAAGGGCCCAGCAGAGAGCTCTGCTGGCCTCCTGTCTGACTGACAGGGCCAAGTCCTTGGTTTGGTGCCTACTGGAGGTGTTGGAATACTCCTGAGGCACGACAAGGCTCCCTGAACTGCCTGACTACCGCTGTCCCTGAGGAAGGTTTCAGCGAGATCCAGTCCACTACTTGGTATTGGGACTGAACCTTCAAGAAACTTATTGGATTAACAGTCGCATAGAATTCAGGCAGTTTTAAGGGAAGGAGAGTCTCCAGGTCGACAAGGAGCTCTCTGCACTACAACAATCAGTGCTACAGCTACAGTTGGATTCATTGATTTCATTGGAATTTGGTGGTGATTTCAAGGCCCATCTTGAAGTCTTATCTCCAACAACCTTCTGGTCAATTTTGATACTTCAACCTTCACCACAGTGACAGGAACTTTGACTTGACCATCTACCACTCCTACAAGGCCAACACCATCAACCATTGCCTTGAAAAGGACCTAGATATCAACCAACTTGACAAGGACCTCATTGCCGATAGCGAGTTCCTGTTGACACGGAAAAGGAACCAATTCGCTGGGAAGTGGGAAGAAGTCACCAGTCCCAGTACCGTACCCCTCTGAAACTCCGAAGAACGGAGATTATTGATTTCGCACCTATCTTGGCAATCGAACAAGTCTTTTACGTGGAAGGCGCACCATTATTTATTACCGGTGTACGAGGCTTATCTCTCTTTTGATTACGGGCTTATTCCTTCAGCCATTCCACGGAACGTTGCAACAGTTCTCGAAGAACGTTTGGATTTATTTGAAATTGAGTGGCTTATCTCTTCAGGTTGTCCGTGCAGTCTCGAGTGTCACGAGTTTCCGTCCCGTGCCAGATTCACCCTTTTTCGGAACGTTGAAGAAGTGCAATACACGGCTCTAGCCTTATTCGCGACTCGATCCTAGATAGGGTCTGAGTTCACTCATGACGTAGTCCTTCGCGAATAGTCATTGGAGACAGAATTCTCAATGACCGCTCTAGTCATACTAGGTTGATGATGAAACATCGCTCTAGATATTTAGCCAGCGTGGAGTACTTCCACCACTAGATGAATGCTAGCGAATCTTCCACGCGTTCCGTTTTTGATCGTGGAACGAGTAGGATTTCTACCGCAACCTACTCTATCTCACTTTAAGTCTCCCGCGGAGTTCAGATCTACGATCCTTTGATTGTGGATCTCTCTCGTTGATTAGTTTTCATAGCTTTCTAATCTCTCATAACTTTCATTCTCTCAAACCAAAACATCGAAAGATTTTACACTAGCTTTTAGCGTAGTGCATTTTGTTAACAAACACAATAGCTTTCAGCTACCCTCAACTATTCCTCACCATGAAGTGCCAAAGACGATACACAGCTTCGAGTCTAAGCTGCGTGACAAAACAATCCTTCCTCTCATCGACCTCGATGATGAATGCGAAATCGACGATTCTCGCTCTACCACCTACAAACTTCGCACTATTCCAGCAGATGCTAACAGTGCCAAGTACACTTTCAAGGTCCAAATCATCAATGATCTGAGACTCCACGTCAAACCATCAAGTGGGCTGGACGTATGGAGAAAGGTCTTCGTCGGGCTCGCCATTGCTACGCCTG